AGGTGCTATATCATTTCGACTGGATATGTTTAGTGTTGATTCGATGACTCCACCTAACTATATTACTTTTTAATACTTTTACGCTACCCTACCCCAGTATATCATCACTCCAAAGTGAATGTATTACAATGGCAGAGATTAACTTCTAGATTACTTAACTTATAATGATTAGTAATTCTAGATCTACCTAAACCTAACCGACTTTGACCTATTAGTTTGACTTATGTTAATGACTTCGAAGTCATTCCATGGTATTTGACAAATTATATCATTTTTCTTAATCGGGTCTATCGAGTACTTAGGCAGACAAAGTTTGTCTCTCACTGGGTTGTTTCTACCCTTACATTCTACTGTCACATTAACTGCGTCATTGTATCAGAAAACCTCATCGATAAACCATATATTTAGCAAAATGAAGTATATACGTACTCATTCTCAAGGCTTGCTGTCGATCGTCTCCAACCATCTAAGAAACATACTTACAAATCAAATGAAACACTGTCTTCGCGAATTCTGGAGGTAATCACTGTAGACAACTCCCATTAAAACAATGTAGTCCGTTCAGTTACCTACGCCAACCTACTTACCTCAGTTATTTCTACTAATATTACACACTTACAACTTTATGTAATTCATCAAGATCAAATAACTACAGTCCAACTGGATATACACAACACTTCAATTACATTGTACACATGATAGTGTGAAAAGGCTTATATCCACGTACAGTCGTTACAGCACAAATTTTCAGCGAATATTAACGCTATAACAAAAGTTTAATTAGCCTAATAATATCAGGAGAATAACCACTCAGTCTAGAAGAAGAAGAAACTTTTAACTGTTAGTTTTTAAGGGTTTAATTGATTTCAAGAATGATCACGGAGTGACTTCAGTAACAGAACCACTGAAAACCAAGAGGCACCGGACAGCTAATTTATCCTAGTTCGGGACTCTTCAGCAGTACGCCCCCATAATCCCATCGGGGATCAAACCCAGGACCTTCTGATCACAAGGCGACCTTATAAACCATTCAACCACTGGGCAGAATCCAATAGTCCTCTATGAAAAGCAGAAATAACCAATACCCTTCGAGTAATAAGAAGGAAATCATTTCATTTTATTCATAAATCAAATCATTGTTTATTGATAATGGCAATGATAATAACAATCAAATTAATTTATTTAAGAGACATCATCCTTCCCAATAGAATAATTCTTTTCCGTAAATGTAAAATCATTTGCGTGTTAGACAGTCCTTGTTGATGCAGTGTGGTTTTTTTTACAACTAACCTTATTTACAGGCAGGTAGATAAACAAAAGGATGAAGAAGAACACATAGAAAGAAGAGAGAGACAGCGTTTGCAGGACTTTTCAATGGATCGAATGAGAAAAAGGATTATTCAGAATACAAGTTGATTAATCAATTATTTCTTTGTTAAAAAGTAAATTAAGCACTGTCAAACAATCTTATCGGTAAACATAAATAAAGTGTATTTTGTTGTCATCCAGCAAACACAGAAACAGAATTCTGATTTGAGGCATTTGGAGGATCCATTGGAGTTCCTCCAGTTGCTTTTAGTGCATCATTTAAACGATCCATTAGAGTCTGCTTCGTTCCGAAAGTATTAAGCCCACGTCTCCTTAATTCAGCCCTCAGCTACGGGACATTCAACCTGGACATAACAATGTCCTCACTCATTTTGCCAATAAAGTCTTAAGATTTGCCGTAGTAGAACAATTATCCGTGTCAATAGCACGTGTATCAAACGATTTAACAACCAGTTCCATGGTACTTAAAAATCACACTACACACCAAATAATGAATAATGAAATCAGTCGTCAGTGTGTTTTTTTACTAAATACCCACTGTGAAGTATGAGATGAAGACAAAGATGGAAGATATTGCCTACAACTGAAACATCAAAATATCTTTTGCTGAATCCAAGTGATCTTGTTTTTGAGTTTTAAACAAAATTAGGAAGCATTTGACAGTTTTGTTCTCCTACAATACTTGCAGTACAATAGAATATCAGTTACGGAACTAACTGCTTTAACTCTGTTCAGCGTTTATTTAGAAACAATAAGATAATGACAAATTAATTTTACCATCCTAAAGAAACTTTGAATGTCCCTGCAGCAACCGAAACTATTGTAATTCCATTAAGGGTAAATTTGTTTTGATAAAGTCTCACAGTGTTATACAGTTAAGTTTACTGAAACAAATTTTACCCATAATGGAATTATACTCTACCACAGTGCGCAAGTTTTATTCTTATATCAAAGAAACCATTGTAGTCTGAAGAATTAACAAAATATTAGTATATGTAAATGAGTATTAAGATAACTACGACCTATCTTTCTGTTAAGTGTCATGGCTAATGTAAGGCATCTGATCGGCTCAGTAACTTGGTAGGAGAAAATCAGCGATAAAGAAAGCATTAGGTGTGACACCTATAATTCATTAAATAGTCAGTAGAACAACTGGACCTCGTCTTTCCAACTCATATCATTTATAGGTACAACATCTTTCTCTCTTTTCCTTTTCTCTCTCTCTTTTCTTTTTTTTTCTGTTATGTGCTGCTTTGTTTCTTTCTTCCGCTTACGCCAGTAAATCTGATAGCACCTACTTTTCTAACACCTTCAAACACTGTTCAACTTTGGCTTTGCTACCGACATGCCAATATGTTGTTGTCATAATGAACTGAGATTTCCTTTATCTATGTAGAATTCCATTTATTGATAATGTACTAGCTGGATGCAATACTGTAGTAAAAATGCTGAGAATTCCATTCTGTATCACAAGTACTGTTTTGGAATATAGCAAATTATTATTATTATTACTATTATTATTATTAGGAAACTGCAGAACTACGTCTTTGGTTTTCTTGTTATACATCAAGAACTGTTAATATCACAGGGAACTTTTCGTGATCAAACTAGCATATTGTCATAAGAACACTGCTACTGAATTTCGGCTGCGAAATAGGTTTTCTCAAGACTAAAGAAACTGTCTGTAGATAAATATAAGCAAGAACTAAGTCTAGATACATGACATTCTAGAATAATAAATTCTCACAAACTTTGCAAACCTTAAAAATATCAGTAGACTTAAATCAAACTCACAATTTGAAAAATGGTTAGCAATTCGCTAGTTGTAAATGTGACCTATGGTGTGACCAGTTTTACCAAGTAGCTAGTCATAAATCAGGTGGTTTGGACTGAGTCGAAACCTAGTACACCACAGATAAGCTCGGCCTCAAACGAACCATCCGGTGTTCAGACCACCTCGACCTGGCTACCAAGCACTGCTGGTTGATATGAGTTGCATTTAACTACTCATTGTAATCAATCAGTAGTATGCGGTTTTATGCAAATCATAGAACTTAATTTAATGTGATCACCTACATAAACATTACTCCATCATCATAAAACTGCCATGGGAAATGAAGCTAATAATAAAAAATCTCCAAAAAACGTCAAACTACTTATAGTTTGTTAGTAAACAACTCAGTTTCAACTCGAGTAAATAGCCTCTAATTTTAATCATATGTCTACATATGCCTACTGTCACTGACATTCCTGACTGCCATAAACTAGATCATGCAACAGACCACAGGTGCGAGAAGACAGATCTTCAGGAGATCTGAACTTTGACGAATGACTTATGTTCTACCTCGCATAATCCTGAAAATCTACAGACAAAAACCAAGAAGTTTGCAGAAAAGGCAGACGGCAAATACAGAACTTCAAGTGAACACTGAGAAGACAGGAGTAATGAAGATACCTAACCAACAATAACAAAGCAACAATCACCATTAACGGCAGAAATTTGAAGGGATTCACCTCTCTCCCTTATCCAGGTAGCAAGTTTCAATAATAGGCGGCACGGATGAAGACAACAACACCAGACACGGTCAGATTGAGAAAGCGAAACAGACCTTCATTATTCTGAGCCCAGTGTGGAAATCTATTATACTCAGCATACAGAACAGGTTTCGGATTTCCAACGCTACTGTCAATTCAGAGCTTCTATGTGATTCAGAGACTTTGTACACGTGTCACCAAAGCCATTTCCAAAAGGCTTTTATAAACAGCTAATTCCTTGGCTCCATACTCAAGATCAAGTAGCACGTTAGAAAGGATTAGCAACAAGAATCTCTTGCAACGAACCAACTAGACTGAACGTAAGCTGAGGAGACTGTTGTGTGAACTATGCACCCTTGATTGGAACCCTAATGGGAAGTGATGAGCTGGGTGTGGGTCTGAGGATGACATGAAGGAGACCGTGTATCCAACCAGGAAGGACTGTAGAGAACAAAATGAAATGGATAACTGCAGCTGAAGCCTCCTGTTAATCGAGACAGACAGACTGCATGACAGGTCGCCAATCAATATAACCTGACCTTGTCTGTCGTGACTATTAGTTATCCTAATGTAAACTCTCACCACTTGACGCATACCTTAGATGACTATGGTGTTCTGTCCTTTTATCTGTATGTAAATGTAATTCATTGCTCATTTTGTTCTCTCCATCAATACTGTTCGGCATGTTTTCTTTCTTGCTTAAATGACAGTTATTTTGTATTGTTACTTTTGCGTAATCGTATTATTTCCGTTACATTTTATGTCAATCTACCTTGTGTTTTAACTATTCCGAAGCCTAGACACCGTATCATCAGTGTTGACAGTGGGAACTAAAATCTGTGGGGAAATTTAATCCTACGCCTCATGCCGCACTCAGAACCCAAGAGAGTCATAATAAATAACTATACATATACCAGAAAACAGGATGATGTGCTTACGAACGTGATGGCATGAATTTTTAAAGCTGAACATACATTTGGCTAGTTAAATAACCTAAGACTCTATACCTCCTAAAGTAACGTGTTCTACTTACTTCCGTTATCTAACGCATTTATCCTCTAACTTTTTCACATCAATGTAAGCGCCAATTTTTAGAGTACCCTTTCTTGTGAAAAAACAAACAACTTAGAAGTCACAAAAAATAATTTAATCAACGGTTTTCTCTATTTTTTTAAAAATTTATTCAAGCTTTTCTCCAAAAAAGCACAAAAACAAACCGCTAAACAGAATATAACTTGAAAACATTACTGTCACCAGTATGACGACAACGCGTGCATGCCAGCATGCTTGTGTATGGCGAAATATACAAAAAAATAAACTCTCTAGGACAGGGTAAATAACGATGGAAGTAAGATGAATAAAAGCACAAAAAGTAATCTGAGAACATACCATCAAAGAGGTAGTGCCAACACACACAAAAAAATGTGACAAAATACAATTCGATGACAATAATACTGTTCTATGTAACAATGAATGGATGAGGAGACACATATATAACAAAGCGTAAGGATGGACAATCAACTTTACTCTAGGTAAAAACAAATATTTGTACAATGTGAATGTGATATATGTACCATCAAACACACTATATGTAGGCATACACTTCAACAACTTCACACAAGATTTATTCCCACTTTCTATTGTCATGTTGAAGAAATATGAGAACATCTTCCGTAAATGAAGAGAAGAACAATTCAGGGGAAGGAGAAAAGAAAACGTCGACAGATGATGATAATATCCACAATCTTCAACCGCCTACAATACTGTGTATATGAAATAGTCTTCAAAAAAACAACCGGAAAAGTTCAAATTGAATAGAATACATCAAAATTTCTAGACAGGAAGATTAAGGACAGCAGAGAAAGAAAGGAAACGTAGCTATAGAGACATTTAATCATTTCACTGGCAGCAAATAATAACAAAATATTTATTCAATCGAATAATTATAATGTGATAATAACAATAAGCAATAAGAGCGGAAGATTCCTATTAGAAATCGATGAGTAGACAATATCTTTATTCTACATGTGTGCGTGTGAGAAACAATAAAATGAGGATAATTTAATGGGTTTTACAGAGAACCGGTATACTACCAATAATAATGATGACTAAATAAGGCCGAACAATAATAGTAGGAGTACAATTAATAATAATAGTAATAATAATAATAATACAGATTTATTCCAAGCCTTATAATCATTGATTAATGCATAAATAAAATTCTACGTGAAATGCAACGAATAAAGGAAGGCAGCTCTTTTTCAAAACAAAAAAATCAAATGCTCTCCTCTCTATCTTTCAATTTTCCCTCACCACTAAAAAAAATCAATTTAAACAAAATCTCTCCTGTCTACGCTACACAACTGTTGTATTAGGAAAATACGCAAGATTGAATGATAACACTAATACTCACTCAATACCACTTACATTGTATGTTGTTGTCTAAGTAGATTTATCAGAGGGGAGATCCATAAGTGGGATAGAAGTTCTTTCTCTGTATTTGCCTCTCTCCTGCACACACACACAAACACACACATAGTGAAATAAAAAACTTGCTGTATAAAATCTAGACTGACCACCTTATTGTTGTGTTCACTCCAAAAATAGAAAAACTTATGAATTAAGTACAAGTTTTATGTATATATATTCAGGATTTTATAATAAAATGTTCACTTCCCTTATAATAAAAATACAAATACTTACTTATAGAATTCACCAGTCTGTTTAGCCTTAATATAAAAGGACATAAAATGAGTGTGTATATGCATAGAGGGGGTCGATTTATGGATAAGCTGTAAAAACGATCTACAATAAATGGAAGCGATAAAATGATGCAGCAAAGAAGATAAATGCCAAATTGATATACAATAACGTATAAGGCAACATCCTGAATGAGACAGATTTCAAATACAGTGAAGTTGTATAGAAAAGGAGAGAGAAAGCATATACAAGAGTATTTATTCATGACAAGAACAGGAGTGATTTCAGAAGAGCTGTGCATACACACACGCATAACCTTTCTAGAACAATAAAAAATGATCTATTGTTAATTAATATGAAGAATAATAAGAATTATTATGATTACCAACCATTATGTTTGATGATTGTTGTGGTTTAGAATTATTTGTATTCTTTTTATGATAACCCGTATTTTGACTAGCTCCTAATTCATCATCAAAATAATGATATAATATCGATGATATTAGTTTTCTAGGCGTATATACTGTTGTGCTGTTACAGTCCTCCTCACCAGTATGTATTGATTGTGTATCACCGCCACCAACACCAACACCACCACCACTACCAAGACGATTACTATTACTTGTATCCAATACAAGTTGATTCGATCGAATAGATTTATCCAAACTCAATGTTGTACCGGATTGATCAGCGCCTAATGCTGGTAGCTGAGAGTGTGAAAATATACCAACGCGTGAATCTGGTGGTAAATGACCAACAAGTTGTGGCCATTGCCATTGTTTCCAATCTCCAGTAGAAAATGATGATGATGATGATAAATTTATTCTACCTGATTGTCGTGTAGTCCAATTAGCTAATGGTTCAGCCAGTGTACGTTTTATCCATTGAATTAAGAAACGATAGACAAAACGTAGTTGATCCTGTGTATATGTGTAGATAAAGAAAAGACAATTGTATAAGGCATTAAAAATACAGAACTTATAGAATGATATTCCCTTTCATTCCTTGTGTTCCAAATGGAACATAGGGTTTCAAGATTTGAAGTTCCAGTAGCAATGGTGTTGTTTTTTAAGGAATTGGACTGCTAAACTCATGTATAACCTTCCCTCTCCTCCAGGTTAACCATCAGCTAGTAAACCAGGTAAGATACAGGAGTGCGTCAGCCGGAAATCGAACCTGGACAGGCAAGCCACCGATACTTACAGAATGATAAAATAAAGTTGTATACAAATAAACAAATAAGGTCAACCAATCAGATTCAATTCCCTGTGAGCAATATCATCTGAATTACTCATTGAAGAAACCTGATTCATAATGACCTTCCACTTAAGACTTCAGTAGGAAAAAAATCATTTTCAGTCGTTAATTCACTTTCAACTTTTGTTAAACTGTAACGACAGAAGAAAAGGGCCAGACAACAGATCGTTTATTGAGAAAATCAAGAGATATTTATAGATTTTTATGTACATTACTGTCAGTGGAGAAGCAACGTCTCCTGATTGGTTGTTTTCTTGCTGAAGGTTATTCTGTACTGCTTGTGACCGTTTCTTAGAAAGTTAAGCCATATACCTGCGAATTCTATTTGCACACGTTAAGTCTGCTGTGATTGGTTGGTGAGTTCCTCAAGGTTAAGCTTTGTTATTGTTTTTTCTCATGACCCCGATTCGGGACGTAAACATTGACGTAAAATTAATATGACCCGTTGCACAAGAGGTGGCTCTCGTGGCCCAAGTGGTCTAGTAGATAACGCTTTGGCGTTTGAAACTATGGGCACTGGGTTCGAGCCTCGGTGGGAACGTCATCACTCACCGGGAAATGCAGGTACATTCATATGACGAGTCCCAAATAGGACGAAATGCGCATCCTGGATTTCACTGCTAGTCACCATTCACATATTAAATTGACGTAAATTGTTGCCTACAATTTTGGTCTGCAGACAGCTCTCACCACAAAACATCATGTGACAAGTTTTTATCCAAGACATTTACAGCTTAAGATACAAAATTAACAGTACAAACAATATAGCAACTCTGTAACAACAAATGGTTGGTCATTCCACTTTGGTCGCTATACTTTAGAGTCTTACGAAATCATGTTGAATGCTTCAAATTAATCTCTCACGTTTTGAATACACAGTCAAGTGTTTAAAACCATAAATCTTACCTGCATTATTCCCCTCCTATTTGGTCTAGAATCTCTCTTACATTGATAATCAACATGAACAACGGCTAAAATGGTGTCTAAAACCAAACAGAACTTCAGGAAACAACAAATATTCACGATATTATACGTGTAAAGACAGAGCTAGTTGTGCGAAGACTATCAATAAAGGCATTTTATGCTTTAATATCAGTAAAAAGTTTGAGCATTGTGGATTAGATCAAATAAAGTATAATTATATTTATATAGTTTACACACAATAATAAGTTTTGTTATTGGTAATTTTGCTCGAAATATTACCAATAACAAAACTTGGCATCTTATGCTCTACAATTTTATTGTTGTAACTCGTGGGCTAACGACAAGACTATTGGAATACATCAGAACAGAAAAAACTTGAAAAATCATCAGCCATAGGTCTACATGCTATAGAATCAGGTCACAAAATTGATTTTGACAATATTGAAATAATCCAGAAAAACTTCAGAAATCATAAAGAACGTCTAATATCAGAAGCACTTCATATCAAGTGGAATCAAAATTGCCTGAATAGGAATGATGGACTAAAACAGAATCTGACCTGGTTACAACACCTCCCTCCCCCATGAAGTGACAAAATCAACACAAATGTGATATGCAAGTTCACTATGTAAACACACACTGCCTTTATAATTTTAAACACTGATCAAATCCAACAATCTACACTTGGTTTTGTTATCTTTACCAATTGACCAACTTGACAACGAAAAATGACCCCAGACTAACGAACGATGATCAAGTTAGTAAACTTTGTTTTGATACCATAACAGATGTACTATTACCTTTGTTATTTGGTTTAGTGATCTTCATTGTTATTTTAACTTTCAATATGTCCTTTTAACTTGACCTAAGTCTATTTTCTCACCCCTTAACTCTTTGTTATATATATGCTGAGATTTTGTAAATTCCGGTTAAATAATACTTTAATTGCATGGAGGGTTTCATCATGAGCTGACATCAGTTAGAGAACCACTGGAAAACCTGGGAGTACTGGACAGCTGTTTCGTCCTAGTTTGGGACTCTTCGGCAGTACGCGCCCACCGGGATTCTAACCCAGGACCTCGAATCCCGGTGGGCGCGTACTGCCGAAGAGTCCCAAACTAGGACGAAACAGCTGTCCAGTACTCCCAGGTTTTCCAGTGGTTCTCTAACTGATGTCAGCTCATGATGAAACCCTCCATGCAATTAAACAAAATCCCTACCAAACCAATACTTGAAAAATAATACTTTGATAAAGCTATTAGCAGCATTAAATAGCGAAACGTCAGTAAAAACAATATCGTTTTGTTTTTCATTCATACAAAAACCTTTATTTTAATCAGAATAGACTCATTCAAACCCTAGTTTACACATAATTCTGTATGTTGGGATAATTTAGTAATATTTATTATTGCCATCAGCCTTACCTTATGTTATCTTTCCAACTTTACGTCTGTCTATCCACTTGTTTACCTGTCTATCTGTCCATCTATCAATCTAACAATCCATTTATTAGTTTATAAACGCTTAAAAAATGCAGCAGATAAATGATCGACGTACGCAATTAAAAATGCCTAGTGAATACAAATGTGAATCAACAGTGAAAATGAACACTAAAATCCAACATACACAAGCGCAAATAATTTGAGTCAAAATAATAAAATAGAAAAAAGCTGTGTGTATGTTCATATGAACAATGAAACAACTTACAGGAGATGCTAAAACAGCTTTTCTACGCATTTTAATCATTTTCAGGACATGAAACAAATCAATATAATGATCTCTTGTCATACGTTCAGCTAAAAGATAACAAGCAGCTAGTAGGCCACTTCGAGTAGCTCCATCTAAACAATGTATAACCAATGGACCTGTACCACGTTCTAAGCGAACTTTTTCTAATAGACAAACAATAGAGATACGTGAATCAGGCACCTAAAATAAAAAGAAGTATACAAGAAATGGGTTTTGTACATTTGAAGACAATTAAAGTTATCCATTATTAATTAAATTGCTATTAACGTATTGAATTATCACTTTTCACTATAAACATTTTATATGCATTCCACCTACCTAACATTTAAAACTGAATGCCACCTAATCGACGGATCACCTAGAGTAATAGTAATGTGGTGTGTGCTACTGATAAGATTTGTCTGTCTGTATTCGACATAGAACTTTGCACATATGTGCGCCAGTTCAAGTCGCCACACTCCATGTAGCACACAAAGCAAGAGAAGAAAGTAGGAGAAATGCATAATATAGACAGTAAACAGAGGTGTGAGACAAAAGAATAGTAATAACGAAGAACAAAACAGTTTAATTGGAAATCATAAGTCACAAGGAGTGGATGCATCTGCACCAGCCACTGAGAACGATTTTGAGCCATGTCACCAATTGTTTCCAACCATTGGTTTTTACCGTCCCGAGGACCCCAATCAGCCAGGAAGTCTACACCTTCCTACGTGGCTTAAACTAACTGTTGTAGATTTCATTGACTAGTCCCATGTTTTGGTTTGACCACCACTAGCTTGCTCTTTCCAACCTGACCCTATGTCAGCTAACATTGCCCATTGTCGAGGAAGGCGATGACTAGGCATACGTAACACATGTCCTAACAATCTCAGTCGATGTAATTTCACAGCCTCGTCTATTGATTTCCCCTCCTTACCCAGCACTCGACGCCTAACCTCAATATTGCTCACCCTATTATACCACTTCACACGGGAGATAGAACGCAGACACCTATGATCAAAGACAGCTAATCTTTTCATGTCTTCCACTCTTAGTGGCCAGGTCTCACAGCCATAAAGGAGGACGGAGCGGACTACTGAGCAGTACACCCACCCTTTGGTCGATAGCCGGATATCACGTCTACGCCAGAGACGGCGTAAACTGGCATATGCGAAACTAGCCCTCTGTATTCGTGCTGAGATTTCGTCAGAGATCAACCCGTTGAGGCTGACGGTACTTCCCAAGTAAGTGAAGCGGTCAACATGCCCTACCACTTCACTCCCTATTTCTAATCTAGGGGTCAGTGTAGTCCAGTCTTGTAACATCACCTTACATTTGGCGGGGGCGAGTCGCATGCCAAACATTTGTAGATTGCAGCTCAAGGTGTTCAGAAGACTCTGCATTTTGTCAGCGTCCTCGCCTAGAAGGACTATATCGTCTGCATATTCTAAGTCAACGAGATTATTCCCTGGTAACAAGTCAATCCCTGAGTCTCTGAAGTGAGTTAAGGTTAAGTCCATTAGTACATCTATGACGAAATTGAACAGAAATGGGGATAATGGGCATCCCTGACGGGCACTGGTAAGATTTATCAGTGGTATATAGGGAGACGTTTGTCGACATAAAAATATCAAATAGCGGGGGTGATGCATTTGACGTCAACGACAGTGAATGATTCAGCGTTGCGGCAGAACATGAGAGACACAAACAGAAGACAAAGAAACACAATACGAAGGGGGCAGAAGTAGCACCACACAGAAGATCTGTTCAAATGATAGCTTGCAGATAAGGTGTGTACATAATTTCGCTATATAGACAAACCAAATTCGAAATAAACATTCCGTTACCAAGTCTCTTGTCTTCTACCGTTACAGTGACTCTTAACTAAATACATACATTAATTGTACATGAACAAATTATGACAAAATATACTTCACGCATGTCTTCAAGTTTATTTTAATAAGAAAAGAATGTGGATGGTAAAAGAAAGGAAAAACAGCTGCTACACCATTGGTGATAGAACCGTTTGTTGGGAATATATTATCCCTATATTCAATTTCCTAAACATAGACGAAAATCATTTCCAACAGGCAACTGCAGACTTTTTATCAACAGATGTCTTCGCTCAATACTGAAGATCGAATGGCCAAAAAGGGATGGAGCAACAAGGAATTCTGACAGTCACCGAACCAACCAAGAATCTATCGTTCAACAAATATGCAGAAGGAAATGGAGATCGATTGGACACATACTGAGGCGACATGACGCCCTAGTCCCTCGAGTGGAATCCGAAAGGGAGAAGACGAGTTCGACGTTGGGCTGAGGCTGATGGCGATACAGGGTAGATCATGTGAGGAGGAAATCAAAGCTTATGAGCAATCGTGGAGACAGGTAAAAGAGACTACACGGAAAATGGTCAAATGGCGACGTGCTGATGAAGCCCCATGTCCCACTGGGAACCCAAGGGAGTAATAATGATAAACTACTTAGTTCGTGCATTAGTGCTAAGATGTCATTTTAAAATTTTGAAATATACTGATATAAGGAACAGAATTTCAGCACCGTGGTACACTATAGTGCCATAACATAACGATTTTACTTGATATAGCACACAGTAATACAGTGAATAAATAATACGGTATCCCAATACTCCCTATATTATTTAAAATTGTCCCATTCTAGAATTTTAAATACACTGATTATATCTTCACAGTAATACATCAGATAAATATTGGAATTCAAAAAGCCCATGACGACTGTCACGACATCCTGTAGTATTTCTTTTAGACATGTGTTATGTCTTTATGAATAAAACTCTGATGAGAGAACCAGTTAGGCAGCTGACATTTTAAGTTGTCTTTGGGATCTTCCTCTTTTAGGTGGGCGGTGGAGAAATATATCAGTCATAATTAATGTAAGAAGACTTCTGATAAATTGATTTTCAGATTAGTTCACAGTCATACTTAACACGAATCCATGTACTCTACTCTAGTTAGGGAGATATGTATCAAAGGATGACACAATTCAACATAACTATAATACAGTCACTTAAATACACGAAACCTGAAATTAAAACTTTATAAGAGAAATAAGTATAAATTATTGAAGTTTTTTGGGCACCACTGGTGTTAATATTTGATAAGTGCCTCGGAATAGTAGGATCTTTTCTTCAAAAATTCAATAAAGCTCACTTGATTAGGTCGCTTACATCACACTAATAAGTGGAAAAAATGCAACTATGAACAAAACAGTGAAAACTTGGAAAGACCCTGGTGCCTAACTTTTATCATACGAAACAGTCAAATACCCCTAACAAATCTCAAGGGTGTGTCTCAAACAGATCATCAAAAATTAGTCAAATTATCACCATTCCGTGTTGAATATCGTTCGTTAGGGCTTTATTGAGTGATAAATTGCCAACTAATGTGCATCACATTACTATTATTATTAATACTTTTAATGAAATCACATGTACATACATTCAATTTGGCGTTCCATCCACCGGTAAAATGGAATATAATAACTTCACGGGGTTTTGACTTTTCATTGCTTAACTTTTCATAATTAAATTGTTTTGAACGATTAACTTCACATTTACGTATAAGTAAACGTCTTTTGTATATTTCACCATTGGAATTATGTTTTGGAGAGGCTGTATCAAGACGAACTGGAATTAATGAACCAAGTTGACAAATTTGAATTAATCCATCACAAAAATCTAACCATGGTCCACGTCGAAGAGGTAGTGTCTCAGTATAATCATAATGCATGTCAATTTGATCTAATTCTTCGTCTGATGAACCTTCAAACATTGGAAGTGTTTCATTTTCACCTGGACGAAGTGGCCAATAACGAACAGCATCTTCAACACCATAAGAGAACGGCTCCATATCGATAATGCACGAAACCTTAACAAAAGAAATAAAAACGATGAAGTAATGCTTTCACAAGAGAGTTATAGTGAGTAGAAAACAACACAAGATTACGAGAAATGCAAAATGTTTGCGAAACAATCAGACTACTTATAGGAGCAAGACGAGTAACACTTTAAGTAAACATAAATTTAAGTAGCTGTATATGAATGTAACAGAAGATGACATACAAAATAAGAAATAAATAAAATATGAGACAAGAGACAACAATACTGGTTTTTTATAATGTCTGTAACTGGAGCATATAACAAGTTACGTTCAGAAAATTCACACTAAATTGAGTTTCACATTGATAAATTAGAGTAAGCAGTAGAGTACAGTTAACCAAATTAGTAACTAACACCATATAGCATTCAGGAAACTTAAGTGGCGTTGGACCAAGTTACCAGTGAATAAAGAATAAAGACAGCAAATAAAGTGGGGGGTATGCATAACACTCTGAAGAACAAAAATGTGGATCGCTTCTCGGCTCTTTGAGCTAATATCATGTGTAGGAACACCTTGAAGAAACCAACTTCCTATTAAATCTGTCCCTTCAATAAATTTAAGTACATCGCACGCTAGGCCATCGCTCGAGTGGAATCTCAATGGGAAGCAACGAGTGGGTCATCGGTGTGAGGGTGACATAGAGGAGATCGTAAGGCGGAGGAGATGAGAGACTATGGAAAATTGTGGACCCAGCTGAAGAAGATAGAAGGAAATAAAACTAAGTGAAGATGTGTTATTGAAGCCCTATGTTCCACTCGGAATAAAATACAGAACTCGGGAGAATAATATGACTTGGAACAAATGTGATTAATCTGAAATGCTTCGATCTTCTTTAATAACTTTGAGTAAGGATTAGGTGAAATAATTGTGAAACAGTTACTAGGGGGTTAGTTTTGTGACCAGATATTAATGAATATTTCACAATAGATAATGATGAATTTCCTTCCAGAGTGAGTGTACATTTGGACTTCCTATATGATTAATTAACCGTTTAGGAACATATCCCACCCAATGGCGTGATACAGTTTTAATAACAATAATAATAATGATAATACCCATATATCTATCATCACCACCAGAAGTAAACTTGTAAATAATGAATGTAAGGTAAAATCAATCGAATTTCAACTCCTAATTGTGGGGGCACTGTAAACGAAAATGTATATGAGGTTAAGTAAATAATGGCGTCATGGAAGGTGTGTGTCTGGTGACTGACCAAAGTCAAAGCTTTCAAGCTACCAACACTAGCGATCTGATTAAATCCCTGGGGTTAACAAGTTTTCTTTTCCATCCATCAAAATGCATCACATTTACTGCATTTCATATTGTTTTAACTATCCATTTGAGTTCATGAATTGTAACCTACTCTCACGCAAATTTTCAAAAAGGCTACAATCTACTGCTACGAATTTTTGGAAGAAAAATGAAAGAAAAACATCGTGGAGTAATAAGGCATGCTTTGGATAGAACAATATTGCTTCAAGTGATCCATTATAGATGATTATATCATTTGAAGAACATACACAAGGAGTAAATACCTTACAAAAATAAAACAAGCTGAAAAGTCTGCACTATGTTTTGAATGAACTTTTCAGAATAAAGCTATTACCATTGCATACTTTGATCACTACTCTACATTGACACTTTAAAATAAATAATTCTCTTTTTCTTACAGTAACTACCACGTGAAAAGACATTCTTCTTTCTTTACCGTGACAAAACGTTTCCATGGTGCCTATCAATCGCTAAATTGAGTTGGAGTCATATATATTTAAACTACTATTCAATTAATTAGAATCATACGTTTCTAAGCCTTGGACGCTGTTCACACCCTAATAAATAATATGCAAAATAACACTGAATCTTAAAGCGCTCTAATTCACAAACCTTTAAAAATTGAAAGTAAAAAGGTTGAAAATAAATTAACCTCCACCATAAGAAGAAATGCTTTAGAAAACAAAGAAAGGAAAAAAACACTAACATACCTTCTCTTCTTCAACCATACACCAAAAATCATTCACTGTATTTATTAAAGGAGTTTGCGTTAAAATTATGTCATCACGTAGACCTGCACCATCCAAATAGAAAGCATTAATGTAATTTGAGGTAGATGATAAACCACTAGTGGATGTGCATCGTAGGCATACACGACAATGATCCGGTGGAAGTAAGTCAAAATCCTTGGGATAACGATTTTTGTGTAAATTTACAGAATTTAAAGCAACTCGTAATTCTGTATCAGGATCAGGTAATGATGTATACAAATGTAATACAGACCATTGTTCCCATAAATAGGTTCGATTAGTTTTCTCATTTTTGTGACATAACTAAATATGAATGTAGAAGAAAACATTGTCAAATAATGAATAGAAAAATATTATTAATGAGAAATACAAACTGTATACGAAATGCCAAGCTTAAACAGCTATCCGAACAGCAATACCGATATAAAGTTGACAAATGAAGTGTGCCTTACAAACATTTACACAACTTGCACTGGATTACTGAAATAAGTTACAGATGTTACGTCATACCTAAGGAACTTTACTGAATAAACTTAGGCGATAAACTAAGCTTAACACTTATATTATTAATCCCTTGGGTTCCGAGTGGAACATAGGGCTTCAATAACATATCTCCACCTTGTTCTGTTTTCTGCTGTCCTCTTCAACTGGGTCCACGATTGCCTATAGTCTCTCTCATCTCCTCCTCCACACGATCTCCTCCATGTCACCCTCGCACCGACGACCCACTCGTCACTTCCCTTCCGGGTTTCACTTGAGTGTTGGCCTGCAATGCACAATGTCATTCAACGGCCTCCTACTCAAGGTATGCCCAATCCATCTCCATTTTCTCCGACATATTTGGTCAGCGATCGGCTCTTGGTTGGTTTGTTACAGGCCAGAGTTTCTTCTTGCTAATTCTTTCTGGTCTGGTGGCCACTTGATCTTTAGTATGGAGCCGCCGAAGGCAGCTGTTGATAAAAGTCTGTGACTTGTTGGAAATCCTTTTCGTGACACACCAAGTTTCTTACCCGTATAGAAGAACTGACTGACTTCACATTTGTGTTGAATATCCGAATCTTATTCTTTATGCTACGGATTCAGAAGATTTCCGAACTGGTTCCAGATTGATGAAGACGTATCATGCCTTTCCGATTCTGGCCAGCTTTGATATCTTCATCCGTTCCACATGTGGTTGAAACCGTACTTCCTAGATAAGTGAAGGAAGTAACCTCTTTCAAATTTCTTCCGATGATGGTGATTGGTGCAGGTTGTGGTTGCTGTTGGTCGGCTGGTTGGTTATCTTCATCACCTCCGTTTTCTCTATGTTCACCTGGAGTCCTATCTTCGCTGCTTCTTCTGCCAGTTTGTTGGTTTACGCCTGCAAGTCTTCGAGTTTGTGTGACTTCACCTAGTTTACTAGCACGCTAGTTTTCCAACCGGACCCAAACACGGGTAAAGAGGGAGGGTTGTGGGCGCGGGGCTAGCGACCCTTCCCCAGAAAACCAATCAAACTGCTACAGAAACTTCAACGCATAATAATAATATAAAATACATAAAAAACAAACTTATTCTTTGCTGGAATCGGGGAGGCGAAATGACGTGGGCTGGTGAAAGCCTTCGGGGAGCCACTCAGCCGATGTGTCTTCTCTCAATGAAAGCAAGAATAAGAATGGGGACGCTTAACACTTAGATGATTATAATCCTTCTTTAACACTTTTCTGTATATTCAGAACTGTAACATAATATTTTTAAAAATAAATTACTCTACCTTATCCTAACTCAAAGGGTTCTTCAAAGTGTGATTTGAAGGCATCTCCCTAAGAGTACTGGTACATTATATGACTAAATGAGATCGTATTTCGACTAGAATTTAGACATTTAGTCGTCATATGAACATCTATGAATGGCTTAACGCAACCAACATACTTCTTATGATGTCTAAAATTACAAAGGATAGTACTTGTTCTCTGCAATGTATGTCGACCCATGATGATAAGAACGCTACCCCTGTCTTTGTAATAGTGGAAATCATATTTATATTATAAAATTGATTTGCAGTATTTGATTTAAGATAAAGTCACAACAACACAGTGAGACAACATACGTGTTTTGTTGCTCTATAAACTACACATCCTAACAGTAATATACAGTCAGACAGTAGAGATTCTCAAATATCGATGTAATGAAGCCAATATTCTGCTACTTCGATGTGAACGGCAAGGTAGTATCGTTTTATTTCTACACATTAAGTCTAGATATTAATCAGGTTTAATGAAACCTTGTACACTTCACTAGTGCACAATGCTACTGATCGATAATATCAGGTCGAGCTAATTATTGATGCATTCTTAACCCATCCATTCACTATGTCCTGCCTCCCTCCCTCCGCTTACAAAAGATGAGAGTAAAATAGTTATTAAAACTTAATAATTTTGACCAGAATAAAACGTTAAAAAGCAAGATTGGAATATAAATATGATTGAAGAGGTAACTAGAAATAAATCAAAAACCAGAGAATGTGTCATTACAACTAACTTAGCTGCAATCTTTTACAATATCAAGCTATCTGCATTTTTCAATAAAGCTATAACATCAATCTGAGTAAACAAAAACTTATTAAACACAATAAAAATAAATGCTGAATTATTGTCAAAATAAAGTCATCAACATCATTATTATGATTAATATTATCACTTCTCTATCTAATGGATTAACTGAAACATACTCACTCATTGACATTTCTCACACAACTACTCCCTTCAAAGCACCCTCCTTTCTACACGACAGACAATTAACCTTAAACACTGATTCTTTTTTTAAAGAACCTGTATAGTAGATGATTGATGATGAGTAACACAAAAATAAAACGATTAATACAAAAGAAATTCAAAATCCCTACTATTATATCATCTCACAAAATAATATATACTAACAGAAAGGCATAATTATATAACACACGAACAAAAAAAAGAATTATTACTGTAAATATTGATTACTGTAAAACATCAAAAGATAATATTTTAAGTGATTAAAGATGACCATTAAAAATCTCAAAACATCGATTACTGAACAAAGAATATTCTTTCCAATAACTTCTTTAGCAGGTTCTACAGTTATATATATATATATAAATCCATAATAATTAAAGAATTATTGGTACTAACAATATTAAATAACACTGAATCAACAATATAGACAGGTTACAGTTCAAAAGCAGATAAATTAAGGAAAGTAATATAGAATTTATGAATTTATAGGTTCTCCTTCTTCTGACTCCTACACCTTATTTTCACCCCACCCCTCCCCAAATAGATATACTTGGTTCATTAAACGTATGCGTAACAATAAACCTCTTTAATAAGCGTTAATATTATTGGAAGAACATGATAAACAACATTTCTACACAGGACATTAACATTAATAATAATCCATACATATAATATAAAAGTTAGCATAACAGAACTAGTTAGTTAGTGTATCAACATAACCATAGTTTCTACACAGAGTATATACATATATTTCTTATTCTATTCGTTTACGTTCCCAGTGGAACATAGGGCTTCAAGCTAGAGCTTTGAAGTTTCGGTAGCAGCAGTGTCTATTTTTACAGGATGAGGTTGCTAGCCTCATGTCCAACCTTCCCTCTTTACCAGTCTTATTACTGGCTTAGCGAGGATTGGGAGTGCGTCGGCCGGTAATCGAACCGCGGACCACCTGTGTGGTCGGCGAGCATTCTACCTCTGTGCCACCGACGCATATATATACATATATATATATGTATATATACAAATTTATAAATGACTCCTTGAGGACTCCACTTGCTTTCTTCTGTGATGCTGTCATTTGTCTTCTTTTTTTTCTCACCATTTTAGCTTCTATATGACTTTCTGAATGATGATAAAGAATGTAGATATTTGGCAAATCACAATAACAAGAGATCTGAAAAAAATTATTGGCCCCAAATCCTACAACTGCCTCGCAAAATACCTATTACTTTCTTCTGCGACGCATCCTAGATGACAGTTGTGGAATGCTACCTTTATACCAATAAATAAATCCCAATCACTACATGTACAGCACCTATAAATCTGGTTATTTAAGAAATAATGAACACATGCAGATGGTTGCATTTGAAATCGCATTGACTTGCGTGATGATAACTCCCAGCTCCTGCATGCTCCACTTGTCATTTTATATGGATTAGTTACAGGATTTCATCATGAGCTGACATTGGTTAGAGAACCATTGGAAAACCTGGGAGTACTGGACAGCTGTTTCCTCCGTCCTAGTTTGGGACTCTTTAGCAGTACGCACCCACCGGGGTTCGAACCCGGGACCTTCTGCGAACTCGTAGACCATTAAGCCACTGGGACCCGATCCAATGGCCCATGAATTCTAACTTCTGCCAATTCATGATATAGCGCAACCGCTAGCCAATTTCTTCGGCGAGTATTTGTCCTCACACCCGATCTGCTGCACCCTACTGGTCACGAGATCCCACTAGAACCCCAGGTAACTACCTACCTGAATAGGGCCAGTCGCCAGTGAGCATCTCATTGATATTCAACCAAATCCCTACAAACCAATACTTGAATATTACATGGATTAGTTTGCCATTATTCTGGTTCCTAGCTGCGTATGGACTGAAAATTACCTGTTGCTATAACAATACTTCTTTGTACGTTTAGCTGGACACTTACTGCTGTGGTGAGTAGCTAGCAATCAGTATTGCCAAAAATATTATCCATAAACTGACTAACGTTTTACAAGACAGTTTTATCACTTTATGAATAACCTACCATACCTATCATCTGCAACACAACCTTTATTTATGACGCGCGACGCGCGTTTTGGTTAAATTTAATTAGTGAAGATGCTTATCCTTATACTGTGTACATTGTTTCTGCATGTGTAAAGTGACCTTATAGATATTACTCCACTACCTTATCTCATATATATCTTGTGTAATTGAATCATTGTAAATATGCTTACATGTGTGTTATTTATCATATTGATGATGCCTTTAAACTGGCGTCCCTCATGTAAGAACAGATTATTAGTATTATTATTATTATTAATGTTTCCTTTAATTCCTAAAGGAACATAGGGCTTCAGCCGCACATCTCCATTGCGTCCGGTTCTCTGCCAACGTTCTCACCTGGCTGCAAGTCTGCTCGCATGGTTTCATCTTCTCTTCACATGACCTCCTCCATGTCACCCTCGGAAAACCAACTCGCTGCTTCCCGTTCGGGTTCCACTCGACAGCATGTCGTATGATGTCACTTGATGGTTTTCTCAGAGTATGGCCAAATAAGAATACATTATTATTAGGCCAGGGTAGCAATAGTGACTGGACCTTTTTCTTTTCCACACACACAGCTCTGGTTGTTTTAAGCGAGTTACAATGGCCTCCACTGTTCGGAGTATTCGGCACCTAGAGGCTTTAGACAATTTATTCAGTACCCAATAGAAGATAGAAAAAGATTCTTGAATGCTTTATGGCTTGTATGGAGCAGGTGATTTTTATTACACCTGTATTTCACCACACTGATAGGTAGGTGTTCCTGAGCTCTTAGAGTAACGACCAATATAACTGCCTCAACCGAAGCAGTTAAATTAATGGATAAAAGAAGAGGTGGCTACCCTGGCCTGCTGTAGGACCTACAAATTCATAAAAACTCTATTACTTCTCTTAATTCATCGTATATTCAAGCTTGGTATTATACGCATGCATATTATCAATTACAGATACTTGAGAACTGTCATCAATGTAATCTAAAACGTCAGTATTGTTAATCACAATAATTCCTTGATTATTATGAACATATAACCGTAGAACTTAGTGAAGTTGTCAGGAAGAATACTCTTTGTTCAGTAATCAGTCTTTTAAAAGATAATAATAATAATGATAATAAGCCGAAATGTAGTATCACTTACCATACGATAAGTACTATGCAAATCTAAATCAACAATACAATGACCAGCTAATATAGCTTCAAAAAGTAAATCATACAATAAAGTGAATTGTCGCATTGAACGTAGCATATTCGATCTAGCTTTACATAATGCAGAACAAAATTTAGGCACATTAATAACATGTTCATGTGCAGCTTGTTGAAGTAATGAATCAAAGGCAATATAAAGTCCAGTACGTGATAAACCTGTTAAATATGCAAAAAAGATCAAAACTTAATCTACAAATACAGTTAGGAAGAAAAAAAGCATATGAATTAAATACTCATTATGAAATCTTCCAACTTTTACTTATGATTTCCCGTTGTTGATTTAGCTGAATTGAATTAAACACACGTTTGAGTCCAACTTGGTACTGCTGCTGGATTCAACATAGAACTTGGCACCGAAGTGCAACAGTTCGAGTTGCCACGTTCCAAATAGCACAGAAAAGTAGACAAGAAAATGAGTGAAGAGAATCAATAGAGTTTTGACAAGTATAAGAGAGAAACAGAATGAGTAATGGTAGAAAGGAATATGAAGGTTAAAGAGACTGAATACATCTGCGCCATTGACAACGATTTTGAGCCATGTCACCTATTGTCTCCAGCCATTGATTCTTAGAGTCCCGAGGGCCGGGCCCCAACCCGGAAGTCTGCATCTCCCTACCTGACTCAGTTTAACTGTCAGGGATTTCATGGATTGATGCCATGTATTTGTTTGGCCACCACTTACTCTTTTCCAACCTGCACCTATATCAGCTAGTAATGCCCGTCGGGGGAGACGATGGTTAGGCATACGCAGCACGTGACCTAACCATCTCAATCTATGTAACTTTATAGCCAACTTGGTACACTTTTACTCATTGAGGTACACATACCTCCAGCTTACAAGTACAAAAAAACCCGGATGAAATGGAATTAACTACCTCCTATCAACTAAAAAAAATCACATTACCTTTTTAATAGAAAGATAATGCTAGTTATGAGCCTTGAATTACTATGAGTAGAGACTGTAGAACCAATGGGACGATAGTAAATATATAGGAATAAAGCAAAAACTACCCACCTACCACACAACCAGTTTGACTGTTCGAATTGTAATCAGTGAATGACGTGTCCAACTTGTTATTCATCATTATTTGACATGAGGTTCATGACCCAGAACTGACATCTGGACGTGATTAATTACTCAGCCAATACTGTTAATTTCTGTTACATAAAAGTTCAACTAAACTTTGATTCACCAGTCAGTGATAGGTTTATATCCCGATAAATGAACCACAGATTCAGCTAAAGGGTTTATACATAGACTGCATTTTGAAAATTTACTCACTACCCAAAATAATATCGTCAATGTACGACAGTGGTCCAACGATAGAGTACTCACCAACCACGCATGTGGCCGGGTTTCGATCCCCTACCGATGCACTCCTAAACCTCGCTTAACATTAATCCTTTTTTTCTAAAAATGTAAGTGATTTTTTTCAAACGCCCTGTAAACATATCAAATGTATCAGTTAACTGACGGTAAAAAAACTGACAGTGATGAAAAGTGGCAAGCTTAAGGCGATAACATCTGCAATCATACACATTTTTTTAGTAGAGCTTGATTCTACACTGTATTTTTTGGTACAGGTATGGAATTTTCAGCATGTGATATCGGTAGCCCAAATTCTGCAGGCCGACCATTAATATCAGGTGTGCGTCGGCAGAGAATCGAACCCCGGACCATGTGCATGGTCGGCGAGATTCCTAACCTCTGTGCCACCGACGCACACATACGTGACTTCATGAAATTAAAGGAAATTTCTTTTGAATTAAATTTAACTGAAAAATACAGTTGTGTTTACACGTTTTACTTTTGTAACACTTTCTGAATATAATACAGGCAAACAAAAAGATGGGATCAAAGACAAGCTATATAAATTCTTTGAAATCATTTTTTCATTCTTAGGGTTCTTAGATAGGATCAAATCCTTCCTCTTTTCTGAGCTTATCAACAGCTAGTAAACTGGGCGGCTGGTGAGAATCGAAACTGGATCTCTTGAGTGCCTGGTTAGCATTCTGCTATCCACCTACAAACGAACTCTGTAAAACAAGACAATTTCGAACAGTGGACACTAGTACCACGAATTCCGGATTCAGTTGAGAACCCAAAACATCTATTTGAAGTTCATTTCACTATGCAAAATAGCTGAGGAACTCTAAAAGTCGTCACAAGACTATCATTTACACTCGATATCCAACTTTCAGGTATACCAAACCCAGCCGACATATTCAAGCGGAAAAGAGAAAACAATTTCAACAAATACTATAAAAGATTAAAGTAAAAATGAAAGTTTTACAAACCTGTAGCACAATGCACAAGAACTGGACCATCTTCAGGACGACTTGCAGTTTTAACACGATAATAAAATTCAATAAAATTTAATCGATCAAATATTGTTCCAAAAATTGATGTACGACAAAAAACACCTTGTGAATCTTGTGATAAATCATCACCACAATCTGGTAATGACTGATTTCTTCTATCGTTGTCTAGTGTACAATCACCATTCACATAACAGGCTGGAACTTTACGATCAGGTGTAATCCAACTATGAAATTGATATTGCATAACACGTTGACTTACATTCAATGATACCTCAGTGATATTAAAATATCTTACAGTGAAATGAGCATAATCAATACGATCAATAATTTCTACAATAATATTTCCATACTGCTGAGATTTAGAAGACTTGGAATCTGTTTGACTACTGCCACTTCGACCAGGCATCTACAAAGACAATAAGCATATGAAAAGGAAAATCAATAACTTCCAAACAAATCGATGCAAAATAGTCTATCCATGTAACCAGTTTATCAACTAGAAAAGAAATGACATAATTATTTATCCATCTAGTCGTCATTATGGAGCAGAAAGTATCAATAATTTTAAGGCAAGACAAATAGGACATTTACTTTCCTTATCACAAACATTAAGTAGCTAGTGTACTGGGTAATTTACCAAAGATTTCGAGAAACCACCTTCACTGTCCAAAAATTAGGCACAACCAGGTAGGTATAAGTGTTTGATGATATTAGATAGTTGGAGGCAATAGGCAGAAAGCCTTGGACCTAGGTTTCGTACTAGTTGGCACTCAATGAGCAAGGCGTATCTGCAACCCTGAAGGAACTCATATACCTTCTGAGATTCGAACCCGCGTCACCCAGTGCTGCAGTCAGAGACATTAACACTGAGCTATTCGGGCTCGCGATTGACCTCCTGTAGGACTGTAGTGGGTATTTTGATTGGACACTAGTAACTAGTGTGAAGTGTCTAGTCCTTTCTTTGGTGCAGACTGAATTCTATCAGTCAGGTTTTTGCAATAAGGTATGTGTTGTTGACAAGTACGAGTTATTGACTAGCGGTGGCCTAAACGCAAACATTGTTTCTGACTTACAAACAACTATTTATCATCAAGTCACTGCAATCAGAAGAGTTATCAACAAACCACTAGAAGTGTATTTAAGCACCGAAATCACTTTCAGCATGTGATATCGGTAGCCCTAATTTTGCAGGCCGACCATAGATATCAGGTGTGCGTCAGCAGGGGATCGAACCCCGGACCATGTGCATGGTCGGCGAGAGTCCTAACCGCTGTGCCACCGACGCATAGTAAGCATATTACGATACTGAGCAAATAATACTTTAAATGATTAAGAGAGTAGTAGCAATAAACATGAATGGATTCAATTAAAAAGAGAATAAGAATCAAAAGATTATGAAATTCCACAGACTGACTTGACGATTAATTACATGTAAGAACATATTTCAAAAAGGTCATAACACTTCATACACAGGCATACAGATTGAGTCTATGGTTCAGAAAATTGCAGTAGAAATTGTCAATTGTGGTAAAGTATATTAGTTTCATATTAATCACATTAAGTCATATAGCCAGACATTACAAAGTAAAACAGCCTTCGTGACTGTGTTCAAGACTGGACCAAACATCGTGTTTCATGGCGTATCACAAACAATTATTGAGAAATATAACGCAAAAACAAGAAGAGACTTATGGGAAATAACAAGTTTCTATTACCAGTCATGACGAAGAATCAAGATAAGGAAATCAATACTAACAGATCAGTATGGGTCTTTATGATTAAGACTTTAGTAGTGGTAGGGGTTTTTGACGTCAGTCAGTATTACTCTTCAGACTATTTTATGCTTAAATCTCTGATCTTACCAACTTAGCCTTACTCGAGGTAATATGTAGTGATTAAAAATACCCAATAGAATTTTTTTCAAAAGAATGGTTACTGAACAAAGAATATTCTTTTCGATAACTTCATCATCAGGTTCCACAATTATATATACATATTACTGAATGAATTAGTGTTAACAACAACATTAATGTCTCAGTAACACCGAATCAATAATAATAACATCAATGCATCACAGTTCGATAGCATCAACATAACAATACACTGAATATCAGACAGGGAAATTAGGAGAAATAATAAACTAATTCATGAATTTACAATCTCCACTGAAGGCCAAGGCAGTAGGTAGTAGTAGTGGCTAGCTGGACTTGCTTCTTCTGCACACAAACCACCGGTTGTTTAAGGCGAATCACGATAGCCTCTGCCGTTTAGAGTGTGCGGTACCTGGATGTTTTTGGTAATTTGTTTGGTACTCGATAGATGATGGAGAAGGACTCTTCAATATTAACTTTGTGGCCGGTCACTTTGAACCAGTTGTTCTAATATCGAGCTGTTGATGCTTCTCACTACACCTTTATTTAACCACATTGGTAGATGTTACTTAGTGAGCACGAAAAATCAAGTTCCTTGAGCAACAGACAATATAACTCACTATACTACAAGTGCAGCTGAAGTGGTTAGTCTAGGTACTTCATCTTTCAATTGAGGAATCACCACCGATATAGTGTGGAAAATAAGAATTGTAGTTTGCCAGCATTAAAAGTTCTTTGAACTGATTTTCTTAACTTCTTCGTAATTATTTCGCTAGGTATATCGCTGCTGAATTGCAGTCGTGTGTGTAAAGGCTTTTTGTTTACGGATAGTGAATAGTCTTTTTATGCTTTCTTAGTCATATATTTCCTGATGAATTTGTCTGGATAGCTATTTTCAATCAAGGTATCATATACAATCTCCTTAGTTCATCTGCAATTACCTCTTCTGAGCATATAGCTCTAACCCTGTGGCTGAGGGTCTTTACTAAATTTCTTTGGTACTGGAGAGGAACGAAGCTGTGAAAATGTGTACATTGTCCTGTCCATGTACTTTTCCTATACAAATTTCTCTTTATACTACCATCTGGCTTTCTTGTAAGTAGGACATCTAGGAGGGCAATTCTATTTTGGGATTCCTCTTCGCACGTGAATTTCATAGCAGAATGTACTTCAATGAATTAAGTTATTATTGTGTTCCTATACGAATCATTATCACAATGAATAAAGGTGTCATCCATATATACCGGCAATAAAGTGAGAATTTTCCGATAAGGTTGTTCAAAGGTTCATTTTCTAGTTTACTTAGATCGAAATCTGCCAATAGTGTCGGTTTAGACTATAATACAATATTGAGATTGTTTTCTTAAAGGACATGAAGACTATGTAAAACCGATTGAGATATATGCGTATACACATATTCCTCTCGAAAATCTCCTCAACACAATGTCCTATTTCAAGTGAGTATGAAACTAATTTTCCTATTGATCCAGTGTTCACAAGTTTTCATGTTATTATTCATGATTTATGTTTGATGTCACACAAAATCGAAGACTTACAAGCGAAAACCGACAAACTGGTCAAAGAAGCAGCATACACAGGACTCCAGGTGAACATAGACAAAACGGAGGTTATGAAAATAACCAACCAACAACAACAACAACAGCAGCAACATCCAGCGCCAATCACCATCAACGGGAGGGATTTGAAATAGGTTACTTCATTCACTTATCTAGGGAGAATTGTCTCAACTACAGGAGGAACTGACGAAGACGTCAAATCGAGAATCGGGAAAGCGAGAAACACATTCATCAACCTGAAACCAATCTGGAAATCTTCGTCACTCAGCCTGCATCAACAACAAAATTCCGATTTTCAATACAAACATCAAGTCAGTCAGTTCTTCTATACGGATCAGAAACTTGACCAGCGGGTCACAAAGAACATTTCCAACAGGTTGCAGACCTTTATCAACAGCTGTCTTCGTTCTTTACTGAAGATTAGATGGCCGGAAAGAATCACCAACAAGAAACTATGGGAACAAACAAAACAAGAACCGATCGCTCAACAAATATGCAGGAGAAAGTGGAGATGGATTGGACACTCGCTGAGGAGGCCGTTGGGTGACATCTCGCGTCAGGCCAGTGCTCGAGTAGAACTCGAAAGGGAAGCGGCGAGTGGGACGTCCAAGGGTGACATGGAGGAGATCGTGTGAAGAGGAGTTGAAACAATATGGACTAACATGGATTCAGGTAAAAAGCACAGCAGAAGACAGAAGCAAGTGGAGACGTGCAGTTGAAGCCCTATGTTCCACTAGGAACCCAAGGGAACAATAATAATAATAATTCATGACAATAGTAGAACAAAGTACAGAGTTATACAGTAAATTCGATTCTTTGAATTTCATTATTCATCTTGTTTCTAGTATGTTGAATACTTTAAATACATTAAAAATGAAGTATTTTAGTTTTAATAAGCTTTAATTATCATACTTTATTTAAAAAAAGTGAAGCTAGTGAAGCTGGAAAAAGTGACACAGAAATATTCATTTGCTTACTTCAGGCCAGTATTGACAACATTTCAATGTGGAATCTTCAACAAGATTAGTTAACATAACAATTTGTGCAATATTACGTTGAAATATCATCAACCAAAAATCATGTGCTGTATACATATCAAATGGACTCTGGGCTGCTATATACGCACGTCTACGCATATAACCATCAATAAAACTTGCATTAATATAATCAGTTTCTTTGGAATTAGTTGGACGATTCAATGAGACACGATTATGATCATAAGGTAGAATTGTTTGACTACGATTTTTTGATAGATTATTCTTTAAATTACCAACAGATTGAGAATATCTTGAACCTGATGGGATGCTGAAAGAAGTGTAGACGACAAAAAAAGTGGAAAGTGATTATCAAGTTAAACAATACTTATTAAATAGTGATGATGCCCCACCAGTTCGACAGGAATTGGGTTCAAATCTCGCCTCCTCATAAACTCAGCCGAGTTTGTTGGTCGATAGTAAGCCCAGGGAAGAGGGGAGCTTGAGCGTAGGGCTAGGAACACCACAACTACTGAAATTCTTAAGTTTGAAGTTCTATGTTCCACTTGGAATGCAAGAAATGAAAAAATATTGTAACTCAACTGATCAGTGATTTATGCAGTGTTTGTTTAAACAAAATAGGTAACTATCTTCATCTTATGCGACCTAACACAAATTGGTAAAAATTAATTGATTCCTTACTGACTTCTTTATTTCTGTTGACTGATTATTCTCCATCATACATAAGAAACTATAACTGTGTTATTTCAATAATATCTTTAGTATCTATGTAATTTATATTGATAATTCAGAACATGCACACCCCAATCAATTGACCTAAAGTTTACTTTAAGGTAGATTCCGTCACATATCGACATCAATTAGAGAATCAGTAAGAAACAAAGACAAGTGAAAAGTTGCCTCTTCCTATTTTCAGCCGCTATAATAACAGTGAGTACCTTCGAGAACAGAAAAGAATGAAGCAAAGCTACACCAATGAAGGTTGTGTAAATGCTATTTATGCGTAAAAACTATCTGTAAACAGCGTTTATTAGATGTCCAGTATGCAGGAATACACATTTAATTTACATTAAGTCAACATTCGACAATTATCAGTAACATGATACCTAGAATTATTGAGAACAAACCAGTTGAGAGTTCATTAAAACTAGCACAATAATAACAACAAACTGAGATGAAGTTATTTACTACCGATCTTAACACCAAAGAATTTTTGCGTTGTTAAAGAAATCTTCAATTTCAAATAACATTCGAAAGTTGCAAATTATTTATTTACTATTATTATTCCCTTGGATTCCAAGTGGAACATAGAGCTTCAACAACACATCTCCATTTTGTTCGATTTTCTGCTGTCCTCTTCAGCTGAGTCCACGATTGCTCATAATCTCTCATCTCCTCCTCACATGACCTCCTCAACGTCACCCTCGAACGACCCACTGGTTACTTCCCTTTTGGGTTCCACTTGAGCTCTGGCCTGGTGCACGATGTTATTCGACGGTCTCCTCAGCATGTGTTCGATCCATTTCCATTTTCCTCTGCATATTTGTCGAGCAATAGGTTCCCGGGTGGGTGGTTTGTACCCATAATTTCTTGTTGCTAATTCTTTCTGGCCTGCCATTTGATATTCAATATGCAGCCATAGAAAGCAGCTGCTGATAAAAGTCTGCAGTGGCCTGTTAGAAATGCTTCTCGTGAAGCGCCCGCCAAGTTTCTAACCCATATAGAAGGACTGACCGACTTCACATTTGTGTTGAAAATCCGAATCTTGAGAAGTAATGAAGCCACTCAGGTGCTAAGAAGCTTCGAAAACGTGACTCTCAAAGTATATTTGTATAGGAGTGACCAAAGAAGCTGCATTTACCATTTATCTCGTCGGATAATAGTATAACTTCTTAAGTTGAAGGTTGAAAATATCTGTAAATCAATTAGGACACTATAGAGAAACTATTTCCACTCATACACATAAATTCAAAGTCCAAATCATCAGACAAACTTATACAAACACAACGTTCATGCGTTAAGAGCTAAATTAACAAGAGAATTTTGTTTGAGTACTTATCAGATTTAACCGATGATTAGTGTGAATATAAATTAGAAAACTGCCACTGATTGCTTCCAAATTTTTAACAACACAAAGAATGATGCATCGCTTGATTTGGTGAACGCTTGGTAAATGATAAAAGATTATCACTAGGTATCCTCACTAACATGTGAAAGTCGACTTGCAGACATAACTATGCTGTGTAGGACTTTTGATCACTCCGTAAACTATTGAAGTTAAACATTCATTTACACTTCCCCATTACTGGGCATGAGTAACAATTTTCTTAAAAATGTCCTGACGTAAGAATGAAAGTATAGATGCAGGAGAATTACAACAGCCATCAGGACACTATTACTTCAATGTCACTAAAAAACTACTGTCATCAAAACACTACATTGAAGAATAGCACAATAGGTGTTGTGTGTGCTACTGATAAGATTTACCAGTAGTATATAAAGAGATGTTCATCGACATAAAAAAGATCAAATAGCAAGGAGATAAATTTGATGTCAGAGAAATCAAATGATACAGTGTTGCGGAGGTACATGGGAGACGTGAAAGGAACACAAAGAGACACAATATGAAGGCCAGAAGTAGCATAACACGGAAGATCTGTGTAAAAGGTGCGTTGAAGATAAGGTGTACACAATTTGGCTGTATGGAGATACCAAATCGCTAATAAATATTCCTTTACCAAGTCATTCATCTTACCGTTACAATAGTGCTATCCGCTTATGAACTTATGTAGACAGATAAGAAGCATAATAAATCACCATTAAAAATCACATAGTAATAGAAGAAAAAGCACTACTGCATCTTTTTTATCCATACCTTGAATATTCACGCGAAAATGTAGCTAATATCTCATTTATCGGCCAGGTTCCAATTAAAGTATGCGCAGGTCCATGTTCTGGATCAATAATCAGATAACGAGGTTCACGTGTATCTTCTGGTATACTCCACCATGCATAAGAATAAGGCAATAAATGTGACTTTTCTTTAACAGTTAATTTCGCATCTCTTGGATACCTTTCGAATACATACTGACCAGACTTGAATAAAAAAATACATTTAAAAAATTAACTTTATGAAAACGATATAATCTAGTAAAATAAATTACATATACATGGGGGCAGGGACAAAAAGTGAAATTAGTATGCCAGCAAAATGGAATGACAACTTTCAACATGAATCATTGTTTCATGATCGCTTCCAGCTCACGAACTATAATGTTATCATGTAATACATCCGGGCCAAGGACCTCCTGTAAACTGACCTATATAACAATGTTGAAGTGCTTAACTTATGACCACAAAGCTAACGTGATCCAAAGACTTCTAATAAAATATGACTATCATCAGATAATTTGATTACAAACCAGTAGGCAAGTTTGTAAATATAATAATGCAACTTAGCGTGTCACATATAGGCTTATTTACTAAATTATAAAACATAATTTTTTTGTATTACAGTCATAGGAACCAATCGACCACTTGTGCTTTGATAGGGAAAACAATATTCCATTATTCGTGATCCAGTTGGTTAATAACCGAGTGTCTGAGCCAGTGATGCACAGCTTTACTGATTGCCAGTGCGATTATAGACCGAAAGCTTAATACTGCGACACTCATCCCACAAACTTATTGTAAATGCTATAGTGAATTATTATGTCATAATTATAAAAATGGTGCCTCCATTTGACAATTTTTGATTTTCAGAGAGGCGGCGGGCGTCAGTTTCTTCGAGGTAGCAGATACGAGCGCCAACAAGCACGAAACCTAGTTCCACAGCATCCTACTAACTGGCGATTCTCTTTTTCTCAAGAGTGAACAAAATTTGCAAATTGATGCCTCTATTTTATTTTTAAAAAACCCTCTTATGTTTCTTACACTAGACAATTATGTAGTGATATGCAGTTATTTCGCAATACTGCATCGGTGGCACAGCGGTTAGGACTCTCGCCGACCATGCAAATGGTCCGGGGTTCGATCCCCTGCCGACGCACACCCGATATCAATGGTCCGCCTGTAAAGTTTGGGCTACCGATATCACATGCTGAAAATTCCATACTTGTACCAAAAATACGGTGTGGAATCAAGCTCTAATCAAAAATTTAAAAAGAAATTAATTGAAACTGTATTCAGTCACATAGCAGCTTACGCCAGTGGTTTAAAATATATTCAAAAATCCACACTATCACTCTTTTAATAGCCACATATTTGCAGGGATACAGATACTTCATAAACCTTACAATTCTCACCAAATGTCAATTTATTTGATGAGCTGAGAGTCAAATCTAACAAGCACTAACTACATTGAGACAATTGATAACACAAAAAGACCACAAGAATATTCTGATGAATTTTACTGTTAGAATTTACTTTCTGTTGACTGATAGGAATATTTTAGTTGCACAACAGCGCCTTAAAGTGGAACTTTTTTCATAGTTTCGAGGTCCAGATTCTCTGATTAAGAATTACCTTTAGAAATTCCACTCCGCACAACAAAGTTTGAGCGGCCAAATAATATTGTTAATAAGTAAGTAAGGTTGGGAGAGTAGAGAATCACAATAAGGTAACTAACTGGTTTGGCGAGACGATCATTACTACTTTATATCATATGCATCCACAGTAGTATCATACACGAAAGATATGCTCGCCTACAAACTAGTTACAAATCATAAAGTAATGCTTGGAACAGTACTGAATCCCATGGTACAAAAACAATACAGAAAGATCCAGTAGTGAACGCTAGCACAGATATACGCTTGATGAGTAGTAATAGTATGGATAGTATACACAAAGATGATAATATAAAATGTTTATTTTGAAATTTAACTAACCTGATATCGTTTACGACAAAAATAGTAGATAAGGAATGCTATCAGTGCTAAGATAACGAGAGCCAATAAAATACCCAAAATTATTCCAAGTAAATTAGATTCTACTTGATTGTTTATTAGAGGAGAAGATGCACCGGTAATTATAGCATCAACACCAGTTAAAAATGTTACATAACCAGCTTCAATAAATTCACTTGTACCATCCACTTCACTTTGAATAAATGCAGATACTGTATAACTGGTATTTGTCTCTAATGGAGGATTATTGTAACCTGGTATAGTAGATAAATTGTTGTATAGTTTGGAACCATCTATAACATTGCCAGAACCTACTACAATATTTTCTAATGGGAATGTATTAGAATAATAAACAATATTAGCATTGTTTGACAATCCAAGCTGTGTACGATCCACTATATTTAAAGATAAAGAAATAAATGAAAAAAGAAAACATGAGATCAGTATATTTATATTAATTTTCAATAGTTGATTTGTAAGGATTAGATTTGTTTTGACGAGTTGATCGGATATTGATATCAGTTAGGGAACCATTAAAAACCAGGGAAGGTCCTGGGTTCGAACCCCAGTGGGTGCGTACTGCCGATGATTCCTAAACTAGGATGAAACATCTGTCCAGTACTCCCTGGTTTTCAATAGTTCTTGAACTGATATCAATCCGTGATCAACTCGTCAAAACATTTATATATTAGACAGATTTTTTAAAATTTTATTCGTTTACGTCCCTAGTGGAACATAGGGCTTCAAGCTACAGCTTCGAAGTTTCGGTAGCAGTGGTTTTATTTTTATGGGGTGGGGTTGCTAGCCTCACAGCCAACCTTCCCTCTTTACTGGCCTTACTACCGGCTTAGTGAGGTTTAGGAGTACGTCGGCCGGGGATCGAACCCCGAACCACAGGCGTGGTTGGCGAGCGTCCTATCGCTGAACCACTGACGCACGTATCAGACAGATTTTGAATAAAACAAATCCATGATGAAACAGAGAATGAACATTTTTCTAACCTATTATGATGATAAAATGTAGGTTGAATAAACATAAGTATACACACTACTAACAGACACTAGGTAGACGTCTACCATAAATCCCTATCAACACTCGGTTACATTCCAGTAATCATGAATAAGTGAATGAACTCCGTACGCTTCTGATGCTTTAGTGTTCCATCTACAGGATGGTTTAATTGTAAGGCTTCCATTGTTCTTCCGTACAACAACTATATCTGGTGTTCACTAAATTAGACAGTAACACATTAAAGTTGACGCTGCAAATGCTGTCCAGTCCATTAGAAGAAAAGTATCCAACTCAGAGAACATTACAGTACGGAAAAATATCACTCAGAGCTGTAAATCTTCATTACTTCAGACAACAGTTAAGTGCTTACTGAATATAGATTTAACACATTCTGCTCTGTTTACAGGCACCTCAACGAGATCTGCCTTCGACACAGAACTAAAAGATTTATTAAATGAGGGTATGTACATAACAATTCATTTGACTTGACCAGCTACTCCATATACATTAAGATATGCAAAGCATTGTGTATCTGACAGACATTAAAAATAAAATCCAAACAAGTAATTCAGCGAAGAGATTCTTTTCAACGAATTTATTAGCAAGCTGTGCAATCGTATATGTATATATGGGGTTTTTTGTAAGAAATTATATCCCGTGAGGATATTGGACAAAGGTGTGAATACATAAAATAATAGTAGTATACAACGCAATTAAAATGTTTGTCATTATAATCATAGTTAAATATCAAGTGGAAAGTGGCAAAACAAAAAATAACTGATATCCAATAAAAAAACCATTATAAAGGAGAGAAGCTTCATATCAAATAATCAGACCTATACGTTATACAATATGCAATGAACACACATAGATGCCCTATATTCAGGGAGCAATCGGAATTAATAACTCTTCATAATATTATGCATAGAAATACACACTGTATATAGAGATTTATGTCGTTTTCAGTAAACTTAATATCAGATGAACATTTTAACATGGGGTTCACTAGTCCATATTTGTGGAAATAAAAAAAATGCAAATAAAGATCAATACGCTGCGGTAGACACTTCTAAGATTAAATTTCACCTATTTAGATGCTTTGGTTTCATGAAGTCAATGGACCTAGATTACTTCATGATTCATCCTATCTTTTAATCAAATATAAGAGATAGTTGAAGCCTATTCTGATATTTTTGGGTTGCAATGAAGCACAAGATCACTGTTCAGTATATTCACCAGTATTCTTATCACCTACATCTCTCTACTTGTTCTATTTACAAATTTGGCGGTATTTTGGCGTTGCATATTGTTTTATAACACTAAATACAGATACTCAATCATTAAGGTCAGATTACAATGATCAAGCAAATATACAGTTGATCGATAAGTACAAAAATCACGATGTTTTCATCTGTTCATAAGATTTCATTTCATTACGCAAGTAAATAGAGTGACTCAGAAATGCGGAAATTCCGTCTAAAAAAATCAAGACATTTGATTAAATTTGTAACTGTCCTTGAAGGTGTCTAGTTTTTCTTAGAACACGGCCTATTTGCTAACACATATAATTTAAGACTAAGAAATAGAAATCTTCAGTTATACATTAACTGCTTCAGAGACAGTATTATTATTATTCCCCTGGTCATAAAAGAATGAAAAAACGATACAATCTCGAGAAGACTATCTAAGACGTCAACTTAGAACACCCAACACCTCCCTAAATGGGATATAGATATAGTAATCTAAGTTAGGGATGGAGGACTTATGTCACCAGTCTGAAACGAGGCAAAGCAGTAGGACGTGACGGGATGACTCCAGAGGTGTTTGAGGACGGCGAAGACAGTTTACTGTCTGTGTTAACTGAGGTTCTAGGTAGCGTTTGGGAATCAGAGGAAATCCCGTCGGGTTGGTATAAGTAATTGATTATCCTGATATACAAGAAGGGAGACAAGTCTTCCTGTGATAATCACAGGGGGAATAGCATGACCAATATGGTATCTAAAGTTCTAGGCTTAATAACCATGCATAAATTAAGTGGTTCTCAGGAGACACAAATACGAGAGAACCAGGCAGGCTTCAGATCAGGAAGAGGGTGTATTGATCATATCTTCACCCTTAGACAGATTCTAGAACATAGGCATACTTACTGGTGTCCAACAATCGCTATATTTCCTGACCTAAAGGCGGCATTTGATTCTGTCGACCGAGAGGTTCTTTGGCGATGCTTGGCTGTAAAGGGAATGCCGAGAAAATACATTGCACTGATTAAGGCACTCTACTCGTACTCATGAAGCCAGGTGAGAGCCTACGGCGACTTGTCATCTGAAGTGGTGACAACCAGTACAGTGGTATCCGTCAAGGATGCCCACTATCCCCATTTCTATTCAATTTCATCAGAGATGTACTAATGGACTTAACGCTAACTCGCTTCAGTAACTCGGGCATTGACTTGTTATTAGGGAATAATCTCGTTAACTTAGAATAAGCAGATGACATAGTCATCCTACGTGAAGACACTAACACCTTGAGCTGCAATCTGGGAATGTTTGGCATGCAATTCGCTCCCGCCAAATGTAAGATGATGCTACAGGACTGGACTTCATTGACTCCTAGCTTAGAAATAGGGAGTGAAGTGATAGGGCGTGTTGACCACTTCACTTACTTGGGAAGTTACGTCAGCTCCAACAGGTTGATCGCTGACGAAATCTCAGCACGGATACAACAGGCTCGTTTCGCATATGCCAGTTTACGCCGTCTCTGGCGTAGACGTGATATTCGACTGTCGACCAAAGGATGTGTGTACTAACTCAGCTGTCTGCTCCGTCCTCCTTTAGGGCTGTGAGACCTGGCCAGTCAGAGTGAAAGACATGAAAGAACTAGCTATCCTTGATCATAAGTGCCTGCGTTCTATCTCCTGTGTGAAGTAGTATAATAGGGTGAGCAATATTGAGGTTAGGCATAGATCCAGTTCTAGGGAGGGAGGGGAAATCAATAAACTAAGTTGTGAAGTTACGTCGATTGAGATGGTCATGACATGTGTTACGCATGCCTGGCCATCGCCTTCCTCGACGGGTAATATTAGCTGACATAAGGTCAGGTTGAAAAAGAGCAAGTCAGTGGTGGTCAAACCAAAACATGGCTTCATCAGTCAATGAAATCCACAACAGTCAGTTTAAGTCACGTAGGAAGATGTAGTCTTTCTGGTTGGGGTCCTCGGGATGGTAAAAGCCAATGGCTGGAGACAATCGGTGATATGGCTCAAAATCGTACTCAATGACGCAGATGCATCCACTCCTTGTGACTTACAATTTACAATAAAACTACATTGTTCTTCGATATTATTATTATTTTTGCCGCATATCTCTGTTTACTGTCTCTATTTTGCGTTTCTTTTTACTTTCTTCTCTGGCTTTGTGTTCTAGGTGAAGTGTGACGAATCGAACTGCTGAACAACGGTGCAAAGTTCTATGTTGAAGCCAGTAAGTCTAGTCAGGGTTCCGAGTGGAACATAGGGCTTCAACAACACCTCTCCGCTTTGTTCTATTTTCTACTGTCCTCTTCAGCTGGGCTCACGAATGTCCATAGTCTCTCATCTCCTCCTCGCACGATCTTCTCTATGTCACCCTAGGACGACCCACTCTTTGTTTCCTATTCGGATTCCGCTCGAGCGATGGCCTGCATTGCGCGCGATGTCATTCGACGGTCTCCTTAGCATATGCCCAATCCAACTCCACTTTCTCCTACATATTTGTTGAGCGGTCGGCTCTTGGGCGGTTTGTTCCCAGAGTTTCTTGTTGCTTATTCTTTCTGGCTAGCCATTTGATCTCCCGTATGGAGTCGGCGAAGGCAGCTGTTGATGAAAGTCTGCAACCCGTTGGAAATCCTTTTCGTGACACGCAGTGCAAGTTTCTGACCCGTATAGAAAGACCGACTTGACACCGGTGTTGAAAATCCGAATCGTTTTCCTTACGATGGGTGCCGAAGATTTCCAAACTGGTTTCAGGTTGATGAAGGAGTATCTTGCCTTTCCAATTCTGACCAGCTTTGACATCCTCGTCTATTCCACCTGTGGTTGAAATAATGCTTCCTAGATAAGTGAATGAAGTGACCTCCTTCAAGTTTCTCCCGTTGATCGTGATTGGTGCTTCAGAGACAATAATATAATGAAATTACTGGCAAAAGATAATCCACTGTGAATCATTATACACAGATAACAGAAGTGAATTACAAAGAGATTGGTGTAAACTATACACAACTTAAAAACAGCTGATATGAACTGTGGAAAAAAGAGAAAATTTGTGAATGTTTACAATGAAAACCACAGAAACTTACAAACTGAACGTCGTACACGATTAGTATTTGAATTTTTCTCAACAACTATATAAAAACCATTCAGTGGACCACCTTCATAGCCTGTAACTGTTGGAAATATTACACTGACCATAGATGAACCGTTTAATATTGCAGTTATCTGTCCAATTCTTAAAGCTCTTGAGTTTGCAAATGGAGCAGGGCTTGTCCAAGCAGTTAAAAAAGATGAACCCATTGATACACCTGAAAATATTTCACAGAAGTAATATAAGGATGGTGGTCAGTGTATGATTATTGGTGAAACCGCGTGTTAGATGATTTTACATGAAAATCATTTGTGCTGAGAAAAAAACTAAATTTTCTCTATGGTACAGTTGTCCTAGTTAGAAGTTTGACTCATTGGTTTGCAAGCTGGAATTTTGAGTAATAAGCACTGCCATTTGAAATTCAGTTCCCCTAAATACAACTTGCATAATCAGATATCATTACAAATCTGGGTAAACCATTAGATGAATAAACTGTAAGATGGTGTAAATACACTGGAAAAAATGTATGTGAATCTTTAAGTACATTTTTAAGCATGTCATAATGTCAAATCATAGGAAGGACGGAAAGAAGGGCTTCTATCCGGTTTTCTGAACATATTCTAAGAAACCTGTGCCTGAAAGGAAGCAAATATTCGCAGAGTGCAATTAGCAGACATATTGTTGATACCGGACATCTCGTAGAGATTTTTAAGTCATTCAAAATATTAACTAGACAAAGGATAGCAAATTTACTACGATTTGCCGAAGCGATCGCAATCAAACGATTCAAACCAGACTTATACATACAGAAAGAGAGTGTGATCAACCTCTCACTACCTTGGTAACTGAATTTTGATTTTGATTACATTAATTAGTCATCTAATTCAGTGATCTCAACTCACTGAACAAATCTCAATCTTATAAACTGCAACAGCTATTGTTTTTTGAGTTGCTATGTGAACCTACAAGCTAACATTGTTTGTTAATTTTTTCTGTTTTCTGTCTTACCCCTGCCCCCTCTTTTCCACTTTGAAAGCGTACAAATTGTTGATGAAAACTTAAACTAAAAATTGTAATGCTTGCATTTTGGATGCGTCAGTTCTATAGTATTTCTTCTCTACTACCACTTAAACATTTAAAGTATATTATTAACATCTATATAACCATTGTAATTTCAGGTAGTCTGCAGCTGATGAGAACCTGTGAAATAGAATGATATCATTTTATACTGCAAATTTCGTCTTTCTTTCTTTATCGAATCACTGTCATTTGATCTGTTATAGCAGATAGTTCTTCTGCAACTTACAATTCGTACATTCAATCACAAAGACCAAAAAAAGTTATGGTACATAAAGTAATTTGTAGTTGTACCAAATTTATCACCGTCATAATAGGAAAAGACAACCAATAATACGATGTGAAGAAATTATGCAGAATTGATCAGTAGTGAATAATTCAGAACGACTGTCTAAGTGATACACATCCTCAGCACATCAGAAAATTCATTGAAATGTGAGTATCTTAGTTTAATGTCTTCCCTCTGACTTTTAAAAGAATTTAAACTGAGCAAAATACACTCAACATATCAAAAGAATGAATTAAAACAACTCACCGATCTCGTCAATTGGATTTACAATTATCCTAAACCGAGAACTAGCAGGTAAAGTGGAAAGTGTATACCGAAGAATTCCACTACCTGTATGACTGAAAGTTTGTTTTGAAAATGAAGGATTGACTGGAAGCAGTGTTTCCAATAGTTCTACAGATATCTGTATTAAATAGAAAAGTAAGAATATATCATAGAGGTGGTAGCAGGCACAATTGCAAAATTGATATTGTAAGAAAACTTTAATCACCAAAATAATTATCATACATTGTGTGAAAGAAGGGGGTGGTCAAAACAAAATCTGGCATTAATCCATGAATTCTTTCACAATGAGTCTGAGCAGTATAGCAAGACATAGACTGCTTAGTTGTGTCCTCCAGATTCTAAGAACCAATGACTAGAGACTGTCGGTGATATGACTCGAAACCATTCCCAATGGCACAGATGCATTCACTCTTTGCAATCCTCCAAGATCCTGGCTAGTAAAAGGAGAACGAAAATGTGTATATAGTTCAGTGACAGAACATCTGGTCAATTCAGGACATTCAGCGCCTTTCAAAAAGTCCTTCAAAATCATATACAAGATTCGATCAAACCTATTAAAGGGAGTCAAATTAAGACATCTGGGCATAGCCGAGGCACTAGCTATCCTAAAGCTCAAACCCACGCTATGTATCCAAAAGAAATACGTCCAACCCTTGTCCCTGCCATGGCCATCATAAACAGGTAATTATTTTGGTAATGACCATCCCATTGCCTTTCTTATCCAAACTTCCTGTTTATTCATGTTGTTTTTTTCTTAATCCCTATTTTCATATCCGAACTTCCTGTCTATTTTGTCATTTTATTATTTCTACATATTTAATACCTAACTGCATAAACAATTATTCGTCACATTAGTTATGATCCCATTAGATTCCTTATCCAAACATCCTGTCTATTTTTGTTATTTCTACATTTCTAACCCCCAATTGCACAATATGTCAATCATCTCAGTAATTATGATGCTAATTTGTTTGAGTTTTATCCGTCCCTCTGTTTATTATGGCATTTTAATTCCTAATTGAAATTTTATTAATTTGACCCTTGACTGGAAGTTATTCTGGAACTTTCCCACCCATTTATTGTAATTTTACTAATTTGACCTTTGCCCTGAAATATTTCTAGGATAATACAACAACCTATCTACCTTACTATATTCTGTATCCGATCTTCGTGTTTCTTACACTTTGTAATTTTATTAATTTGACCTTTGATAGGAAATAGTTCTGGAACTTCCTCCGAGATCCATTAAATCTGCATCATTCCCCACCTACTTATTGTTTGTCTCGTACACATTTCTGCTCACCACAGTTCCTTGGAATTTTTTCTTTTCCCTACCTTTCTGTGCTAAGTTGAGTATGTCAGTTTGAATTGCAGTGTTGAAACTCAGTCAGCCAATGTCAGCTCATGGTAAAATCCTGAAACTGATCAAATGCCTACAAACCAATACTTAAATGTCAATCTGATGCTCACACTAGCGACTGGCCCTATTCAGGTAGGTATTACCTGGGTTCTAGTGAGAAATCGTGACCAGTGGAGTACAGCAGGTCAGGTGTGAGAACAAATACTCGCCGATGATGACATTGGCTAATGGTTGCGCTATATCGTGAATTGGCAGAAGTTTGAATTCATAGGTTGGCCATTGGATAGGGTCCCAGTGGCTTAATTGTCTAGGAGCTCGCTCGCCTTGTACCCTGGGTTCGAACCCCGGCGGAAGCTTACTGCCGGAGAGTCTCAAACTAGGATGAAACAGCTTTCCAGTACTCCCGGGTTTTCCAATGGTTCTCTAACCGATGTCAGCTCATGATGAAATCCTGAAACCGATCAAATTCCTGCAAATCAACACTTGAGTAAGAAAGAGAATTCAGAAACCCTGACCCACAAACTGTAAGGCATAGCTAAAGATCTACAAGTCAACCAGTGACTACAGTTATTAACTGTGACACATTGATGTAAATAAAAAGAATAAATCAGAACGAAGGACAATCAGTATTTATTCATTGACACAACCAAATTGTAATAAGCAGCTAACTTATTATTTAACTAATAACACGAAACATTGACAGGTCATACTGATTCTTCTTTAGTGTAGAGGAGAAAGCATTGTAAGTTGTTCATCTGTTTTGTATATTGCTTCTTAATTTCCCGATACACAAACAAGGAAAAATTAACTGAGAAACGACTAAAGTTATAGCCACTCTAGGTAAGTCATTTAAACAGCCAGAAAATGTCCAATAAAGTAACGAGCTACTTAGCGACTTTAAAGTAGTTGGATTATAAATGAAGGAAATTATGAAATAAGTAGAATGTACCATGTTCAGATGCTGAGATATTTCATACAGAAATATTTATGATACTATAAACACTTAGAAAAATAATTAACTAAAAAAGATCTCTGAAAGTTTTGAACAGTATTCAACTGTACTACGTAAACTAATCATTGGATTGTCTACAAAAGCGCTTGCAAAACAATGATTGTAGCTTGTAAAGAGCACACTGATTCACATGAACCAGATTCAAGGTTTAGTCCACGCCTTAAGATGCTCATATTTTAAAAGCTGCTTCATAGAGATAATAAAGGTCATAGTGATAGACCATTGAAAACTGAACATGAAACGAAGACCTGGATTCTCCCATGGTTAGACACAGGAACTTAGACCTTTGATTAGACACTAGTTACCAGTGTTTAACCTAAGTTTCAGTCTAGTGGGAGGTCAATCGCGAGCCTGAATAGCTCAGTGGTAAGGTCTCTGACTGCAGCACTGGGTGACGCGGGTTCGAATCTCAGAAGGGACATGAGTTCCTTCAGGGTTGCAGATACGCCTTGCTGATTGGTGAGTGCCAACTAGCACGAAACCTAGGTCCAAGGCTTCCTGCCGATGGCCTCCAACCATCTAATATTATCAAAAAATGTACTCCTATCAGTGATATAATGTTATCAATTTATTTATTAGATATATCACACAGTGAAACAGTATTATTTACTAGATGACGTTTTGAACACAAATATATTGTTCATAATCATATCAGTAATCATATCATATACACAAATAATGACTGGTGTTCACAATACTAAATAAACTCTTTTGTAAAGAAACAAATCATCAAAACTGACACGGAGAGATATTTTAACCAATCATAATACGAGCTAAACAGATATCACCCGTACAAATAATAAAAGGGTAGAGATACGCCAATTACACTATAGTATCTAGGTGCAAAATACTGTCTGACGGCTTGAAAATATCGTATCGATTCAAAAAACGAACTGTTGTATAAAATATAATCGCTAATATGTAAGAATAAGTTGGTGATCGAATGCATTATAAGACTCTTGTGTCATAACCGTAAAAATATACGTATGCGACTGCTGAACAGTATTTTGTATCAGTTCAATTTACAACATTAACCTTATCTATCTTACAGTACAGAATTTATCGTGAATTGAAAATGTAGGATATTTTACCGAGGCTAAAAGAAAACATTGAGTAACATAAATCCTCATATTGCTGCCAAGAAAATCCTACTACACAATTAACAGTGTTTCCCATGACTTAAGGTTTTAAACAAGCTACATAAATGGATGAAATTACAAGCTTGTATTGACTGACCAACGAGGTTTGCGTCTAGCTTAATAAGTTGTTGATAATTAACTGGTGTTTCATCGCAGAAGCAACCAGTAGGGTACAGCAGGTTGAAGATGAGGCAGTAACTCATCGAAGAAGACATTGCGAAATGGTCGCCCTATGCCGTGAATTGGCAGAAGTTAGAATTCAAGGACCATTGGATCGGGTCCCAGTGGCTCAATGGTCTACGAGCTCGCCTTGTAACCAGAAGGTCCTGGGTTCGAACCCCAGTGGGTGCGTACTGATGAAGAGTCCCAAACTAGGACGAAACAGCTGTCCAGTACTCCCAGTGGTTCTCTAACTGATGTCAGCTCATGATGAAATCCTCCATGCAATCAAACAAAAATCCCTACAAAACCAATACTTGAAGAAGCAAAAAAATTAAAGACAGTAAAACCAAATGAAGTCACCTACTACTGCTGACCTGAATCAACTTAGAGGTTTAGTCGGTTAATTTTCCAAAAGTTAATAATCACCTTCGGAAAACTCTAAGAATCATGTGAATTCTCTTTTCATGCATACTGCATCAGTTGACAATTTTGACCTCTTTCTCTACTTTGAGAAGTTTTCAATTCTTTGCACCATTTTGTACTCTGCATTTTTTTGGTTGAGTGATCGTTCATAAGAAACTATGTAAACAAACAATCTACACATACTAGTAGATGGTGAATGAAATACGATGCCAGAGGAAACGAGCAATTATTAGTCACGCTAACTGATCCATGGATCTCGCTACTCCTTATTAGGATCAACTAATAAACTGAAGCTAGGACGCTCACCGACCATGCACATGGTCCGGGATTCGATCCCCGGCCGACGCACTCCTTTACCTCACCAAGCCAGAAATAATGGTGGTAAAGAGGAAAGGTTGGGCATGAGGCTAGCAACCGCATCCTGTAAAATAAGCACTGCTACAGAAACTTGAAGCCCTATGTTCCACTGGGGAAGTGAAGGAAAAAAAATCTTTTTAAATAAACTGAAACTAAAATTGATCACAGTATAGTGACTAATATCGACATGTAGACCATTTCAAACTCCTGAACAGTAAGCCCTAACAGCCATTTCAGTCGTTCATGCCGATCGCATTATATGAAAAATAGTCACAATCACTGAAAGATGAACACACATGTAGAAACTGAACTATGTTAGGATTCCTTACCAATCATGACATAAGAGTGTATTTCCACCCAATAGATACACCTTACGTTCATCACTGGTGAAGGCTAAGGATAAAATAGAAGACAACCAACAAAACTGCGTGTAACAGATAAATTGTTGGGATTGTGACGCTGTCTATGTAGGAGAAACCTCCAGACAAGTAAATGTAAGAGCAAAGGAGCGTAAATAATGTCTAAAGGTGGTTCCAAAGGCCTCTGAAGATTTGAGGAAGCTAGAAAATAGATTGGTGATTGCACTATACTCGATAGAAAGAGGATACAAGATCGATTTCGATAGGGCCAAGGTTTCACAGTAAGGTTTTGGTTCGTATAAAGGAAGATTGACTACAGAAGCCCTACACATATGGGTGAATCCCCAAACCTTGAACAGGCATGGTGTGATGTTAGCTGATGCATTGTAAGTTACGACTAATAAATAAAAAATTATTAATTTATCATACTTAATCTGAATTCCCCGACTGTCTATATCTTCTCATGGAAAGGCTAACAAATGATTTGCAATTGTCCCTTCATCCACACACACGCACACCAATATATACCACATATACATATATTTTTCATATTCATATGACTATGGACTTTAATCAGACGTAATCGATAAAAAGCTGATGCAAAAGTGTGTACTGTTTACAGTGTTTAACAAAAGTTGGTGGTCGCGCTAAATCACGAATTGGTAGCAGTTAGAATTCATGAACCGGGTCCCAGTGGTTGAATGGTATACGAGCTTGCCTTGTAAATGGAAGGTCCTGGGGTTCGAACCTCAGTGGGTGCGTACTGCCGATGATTCCCGAACTAGGATGAAACGGCTGTCCAGTACTCCCAGCTGGTTTTCAATGGTTCTCTAACTGATATCAATCCGTGATCAATTCGTAAAAACAAAACTAATCCTTACAAACCAACTATAGAAGACTAATAACTGTTAGTCTGTGGTCAAATTCTGATCACAGTTCATGAAGTTTAGTTTATTATATTTCGATGTCTATTCATGACTCATGATTGGACAGGGGTTTTAAAAACAAGATGTCATTGATATATAACTGAGAAACCATTCTAATCTTATCGCTGGGATTTTACAAATATAATTTTTACATACGCTTACTTGCATGGAGGATTTCATCATGAGCTGACATCAGTTAGAGAACCATTGGAAAACCTGGGAGTACTGGACAGCTGTTTCGTCCTAGTTTGACACTCTTCAGCAGTACGCGCCCACCGGGATTCGAACCCAGGACCTTCTGGTTACAAGGCGAGCTCGTAGACTATTGAGCCACTGGGACCCGATCCAATGGTCCTTACTTCTCAATCAGCGCCCAATTATTTGGGAACTATTTGGTCATATATGAATGATACAACATTTCTGTCTAGACCGTGTGCATTTGAACTTCCTGTATGATTTAATAACACTTTGAGAACATGATCCTACGAAAGAAGTGAGCTATTTCTACTATTACTATTACCCCTACATGTATCACTACTATTAAAGGTCAACTTGTAAGACAGTGAGAGTGAAGGAACATTTCAGTAGAGAATATTTGTACTGAATAGATATGAAGATGAAGATAACGCTTGCCTATCGGATACCGATCACCCGATTGGCTCGCATTTCTCATCCAGCACCCATTTAACTGAAAAGGACAGAAAACCTTAACTGTTTTCTTTAAAGTTCAAGGTTATGGATGCATATTACCGATATGTCACTACTAATCACGAATATATTATCAAGCTGTACAACCATATATATGAGGCAAAATATTTTTTTTGATTACAGCTTGATTCCACACTGTATTTTTGGTACAGGTATGGAATTTTCAGCATGTGATATCGGTAGCCCAAATTTTGCAGGCCGACCATAGATATCATGTGTGTGTCGGCCGGGGATCGAACCTCGGACCATGTGCATGGTCGGTGAGAGTCCTAACCACTGTGGCACCGACTATAATCGTAATGAAACATCAAGAGATGGAATAGGTTATATACTTTATAAGATGGTTCATGAAATGCATAACTCTTAGAAGTGCGGATGAACGTCTGGTCGATACTCGTCACCTTATCTCGACAGCCTATTCCTTTTAAACTATCTATAAAGCGAAATACATTTCCGACTCATCTGTATTGCTGGAGCTTTGTTCATCGAAATAGAGCACTGTTTACACAACCATTCCTTTTCTTCATGGTCCTAATCTGTCTATGCTGAACTATCATATAATCCCCATCCCTATATTGGCCTTATTTATTTTTCTTTTTATGTGAGTCTGTACATATACCCCTTATTATCTCGACTGGCATTATTTTTTTCACTTTAGCAATTTCCAATATTATCTCACTAGTGACCTTTATTTGTTTATCAACTGTTGGTTTGCATGGATCTGATTAGTTACAGATTTCATCACGAGTTTACATCAGTTAGAGAACTATTGGAAAGCCTGGGAGTACTGGAAAGCTGTTTCGCCCTAGTTTGGGACTCTTCAGGAGTGTGAACCCAGCACCTTCTGGTTATGAGGCGAACTCGTAGACCATCCGGCCACTGAAGTCCAACCCAATGGTCCATGAATTCTGTCAGTTCGTGATCAATCCTTATTTATTTACTTAATTCTATGTTGTCTTATCATAATTCTCACCTTGTTGAGTGATGTTCCAGTTGACAACTTATCTTATTAATTCTACACCCACTTCTAAAATTTACGCTTTCCATGATCCACTTTGTAAAGTACATAACCTACTTTCTCGTTTCATGTTTAACTACAATTATAATCACAAATATTTTGTCGCAATTTACATTACTTACAAAAATCATACATATACATGCTGATAATTAATTTATTGAAAAGTCTCTTCGTGGAATCACTTGTTTTAATTTTCTATACGTACTAATGGGAATTTCCCATGAATTAACATTAACAGTGTTATGACTTTATCACACCTAATTGAAGTATTGTCAGATATTTTGACATCGTCAACCTCCACCCTTGTTATAACACAAATGTAGGCAAGCTGAAAAATGTTATTACTTATAATTCTTTCGAACAGGCCAGATGAATAGCTTCAGAAAATGCATGTTATTTACTTTTCAATGCTGGGGTTATTGTAATATAGAATAAAATATATCGGTATATATTCAGAGCCCTTGACGTGAATATTAAATCGATAGTTAAGCGTTTACAGAAAAAAGATTCATGTGAAACAAATTCAGAGTGAGAAAACACAGATGAATGTGGAGATAGACTGTACTCTCACATCCGTGTATTAATCAACATGCATGTTGAACATTCGTCTTACAAGACTAAATGAAAAGATGACTCATACTTAATTTTCGTCTCCTATGCTGGATATCTGTACCAACAAATAATCATACAGTACTACTTAAACCAAATGAATATAAAGAGCAGTCAGTCAGTTATATATTTCTAATCGAAAAAATAAAAAAATGAATATCATTTACTGATATTATTATTCATTCAAACATTAAACACAACATTAACTTTCATGGCCAAGTTTCAAATATAGGTAGAAAGAATTCAGTGGAATTATTACCATGACAACGATGTTACTATAGTTACGCAAATAGAATTATTCATGGAAAACCCAATAAATATTGAAAGGATATATATAAATATATATAAAGCCAGACGAACAAAAATATTCGAGATTAATTATTGATTGGAAAGGATAAATGATATTTCGAATCAATTATTGAAGATTTCAAAACTCATAGTTATCAGTGGACACCGATCACACACACATAACACGACTATGACTAAATGATATCCATCTAACTATACTACAGAAATTAAACTAATTCAGAGAAAGACTCTACATCTTATAAAAAGCTGTTTTACGTAACAGTGTGATGATAAGTCAATTATATGTTCTTCCTGTAAAAAGATGAAACCGAAATACCTACCAGTTCCTGACATAATTTTATTTGCACATAGGATACACATACAGTAGACTCATTGATCTCCTCGTTAATAATACATTTTAAAGACTGAACTACTGGGTTCCCATACTGACCTAATCATGCAAACGATATGTGCAAAATCATTGTTCTATAGTGAGATTTACAGTGTCGAGGTACCAGTGCTATGAACCAGGTGGTCATAGCAATGATTTAATATGAAACGAGTATCAGTTGTTACTATTTATTTGTACTTCTGACTTCCCATTAATTTTGGTGAATGAATTTGATTATGATTTAATTGGTGTATGGTGACTAGCAGTGGAATCCAGGATGCACATTTCGTCCTGTTTGGGACTCGTCATCCGGATGTACCTGCATTCCACAGTGAGTGATGATGTTCCCACCGAGGCTCGAACCCAGTGCCCATAGTTTCAAACGCCAAAGCGTTATCCATTAGACCACTTGGGCCACGAGAGCCACCTCTTGTGCAACGGGTCATACTAATTATTTAATTGAATTTTAGATTTTCCCGTCGATTGATTGGACCGAAGTGCTCGGCCTCAGGTTGACATGTCGGCTTCTTGTGCAGATGCTTCGATTATGAAAATAAACCAGGCAATAAGTTCAATCCGTTCATCTTTTACTCTAAATTCAGCCTTAGTTTACTTTAGTGTTTGAGAACACTCTTTACGATAGTCAAATTACCGACGCTGAAGTGACAGTACTACAATATTATTATTTTAGAATAAACAAAATTAGATACTATTCAAAAAGAAGCTGAAAAATCGAACATTTGTAAACAACAGTAAAATAACTTACAATGAATGTATACGGCATTGAACTGAAATACCATTCAACTGTAATTCCTGAATATGAACGATTTACTAGACGAATATCGAATTGACTTAATGTACGAAATCTTATTGTCTCAGAACTGCCATTACCAAAATCAAATACACTTTGAATCTAAAAAATATACATAAGCAAAATGAATGAAAAATTAGGTAATATAATTTTACACTTATTATTCAACATTAAAGGAACTATATCCAAAATAAAGGTATCAATAATTAACAGTCATGCATTATAATTCCGGATAACATTAATCACATATTGTAAGATATCTTATTCAGAGTACCTGACGCGTAGAATGCTTGTGCATACAAAGCATAACAGTAAACTGAATAAATAACCCCCAGACAAGTTTTTTTAACAGACAGAAAAGCAGTTTAAAACCTATTGGTAAGAATCTATTTATTGTGTTACTGACCTTTATGTCAACTCGAAATAACTACACTTATTGATGAATACCACAGCCTGATAGAAGTTAAAATTCATGGGTCATTGTATCCTGACTGAATAGTAACATGTTCACCTTATAAGCTCAAGGTTCTGGGCTTTATCCTGAGTCCAGAACTAGGATGAAACAGATGTCTGGTGTCCTCCAATGTTCTCAATAGTCTAAAAACTGCAATCAATCAATTCCGCACATACCAACAATTGAGAAGTTTATCTCATCAAGCACTTTAGCGTTTTTGACTACCGAATACATATTCCTGTCTAGTTGGCTAACAATTTTACTCTGTTGGAAATCATACGACTGAGCTCTAAGAAACACTGTTGTGTGATAATACAAGATGAACGATTTAATTAGAAGTATTAAGTAAAAATCCCATCTCGATATATATATTAGGATATTGAATAGTATTCACAGTCAGACTATTTAGTCTTTCCAATGATATTGCAGATTACTAGCGAGAAAACAAACTACTAGTGAAACTGAGCTCTTAAAAACCCATAGGACACTAAATAACAGGACAGTTTGAAATGCTTGGGTGCACTAAGTAAACAGTAGGATATTTAGATTTAGCTTGATGTATATTAAGTTTCATAAAATCAACTAATGAAGAATTTCAATTGTAGTTTGACGCTGTATAAATCATCTGTTATTATTCTGAAAGTGACTTTCTTCCAAGTACTAGTAAAGTGAAACTCTGAAGTACAAAGGCGATAGTAATTCATATCTTTGAAATCTTTTAATGACCCAAAGTAGTTTGCTTACAAATGTTGTGGAAGCACATCAGATGCTGTTGTGGTACCCCACCACAATATTGTTTAAAGTTTTGATAGAGGTGCAAAGTTGTTCGAGCCTCCTTTTTAGACTACACTACTGCTTTTGGCTCTATTCCTAAGGCACTTTTACTAAGCAAGCTGATTTCAGAACGCGCTGAATCCTGGATCAAAAGGTGGCTGTCTTCTTATTTTTCGCGTAGAAAACAAAATACTGTTTTAAATGGAAAGTGATACACTTCTTTGCTAACGGAAACTGGCATGCCTCAAGGCGCTGTACTCTCTCCATTCCTTTTTCCATTCTTCCAAAGCTAACTTTGTTAAATATGCCGATGATCTTACCATTTCTGTCCCAGTAGTTTCTGCTTTAGATTGTTCTTATATAAATAAGTTCTTGTCTGAAGTTAACAGATAGTCTCACCTAAATGGTCTTAAATTATATCGATTTAAATGTCATATATTGTTGATTTTAGTTTCAAATGCGAACAAGACTTGAGTGAACTGATTCAGTCTCATGATTCCTGTAATATTGACGGAACTGTGATAGGGAGTAAATCGAATATCTCTCATCTCGGCATCAGTTTCTCTTCGAATCTCTGTTGGTTGTCTAACATCCTGTTGATTTCTAAGAAAAATTTTCGTTACATAAAAAAGTTGAGACTTTCTGACATAACTCAACTTCTTCTCTTAATGTTTAATTCATGTATTCTGCCCATTCTCCTTTATTGTTCGCCATTATTCTTCCCTGGACTTCTCAAAAAAGACTTTATCATATTACGTAAAACACTGAAGGCTTTAAGTAGGGTTAGTGGTGTGCCTTTGACTCAGCTAACTGACATTATTGTCAACAGGCACTTCAATCCTTGCAAGCGTTTGGCTAAAGTTATCTTGTCTATACTACTTTTCTCAACTTTCTCCTTGTATCTCTTCGGGTAAAACCAGAAGAAACTTCATAAGAACTTAAGCTCGTACAACTAAATATAAAAATGCTACACTATATTTAGCAATGGTTTTGTATGAAGAGTCAGATGTCAGAAAAGAACTTGTAAACTTTTTAAATCAGTAATCTGAACTGCGAAGTATAAGCAAAGATTATTATTACATGTATTATCCATGATATTATCTACTTATAGTTCATTATATTTTCACCAACACTCTGTTTATAGTGGTTTCACTACTAACATTATTATCATTACTATTTTAAATTTTATGTATGTACACATTTATAAAAGGAACTAAATTGTTGCAATATGTATGAAAACGCTAAAAATACCATTCCGTATAATTATTGTTTGGAATAAAGTGATTATTACTATTATTAATGTGTTCAGAACTCTTAACATGTATAAAATGTATTATTCAAATAGTTATTGGCGACTCAAGAAGTACATTAAACTCTTCCTTCTACCATTGAACACATGCTAGTTCTAGTGACATCGAATATATACTAATTAGGAATTTCTGAACTATGAAATGAGGCTACCCAGCATATGCTACTATTTGTTGCTGTGTTCTCTAAGCTGGATGGTTTAAACTGGGAAGTTTTCGTTATTCTTCTGGACATCTCTAGTGATCCATGCAGAACTCCAAGCACCTATTTCATATTTTCAAGTATTGGTTTGGTAGGGATTTTGTTTGATTGCATGGAGGATTTCATCATGAGCTGACATCAGTTAGAGAACCACTGGAAAACCTGGGAGTACTGGACAGCTGTTTCGTCCTAGTTTGGAACTCTTCACCGGTACGCGCCCACCGGGATTCGAACCCAGGACCTTCTGGTTACAAGGCGAGCTCGTATTAAAGTCATAGCTGAAGATATTGTCTGGATGGACGATGAAAGCTTCACAATTAAATCACTCACCTCAGAGACCACAACAACAGCAAATATATCCCCACCCGAGCTGCAAGTTTTCCCTATCATTTTAATGTTTTTTTAACTGGACTGATATTTATTATAATAAATGAAAAACAAAACGTTATATTAGAATTCATGAGCCATTGAATCGGGTCCCAGTGGCTGAATGGTATACGAGCTTGCCTTGTAACCGGAAGGTCCTGGGTTCGAATCCCAGTGGGTGCGTACTGCCGATGATTCCCAAACTAGGATGAAACAGCAGCTGTCCAGTACTCCCTGGTTTTCAATGGTTCTCTAACTGATATCAGATCAGTCCGTGATCAACTCGTAAAACATAACTAATCCTTACAAACCAAACTATAGAAAACGATATTGTTTTTCATTCATTGGGAAATACAAGAAAGCCTTTATTATTATGAATATCATATCCCCAATGCCAAAATTTTTCAAACTGTTAAAGGTTTACTGATATTTATTGGGATAGTATTTCATAAAAATAAAACTATAAAAACAACGACGTTAATGAGTTATTTCGCTACCTTTATAAATGTAAGACTTGATGTGGATAGCGGTAACTGTCGTGTCTAAGTTGATAATGTCCATATATCTACCTTAAGTGTCCAAGGTGAAACACTAACAAAACATTGGTTTACTTAAAAAAAGTTTGCTACGTCAAACGAGCCTTTAGGTGGGCAGTGTCTCACATGCTTTGAAACTAAGATACGATTTATTTCTTCACATGTGTGTGTGTGTGTGCGTGATCTCTTTTCCTATTGTCACATATTTGCCAACTAAGAGTGATCATTGGATTAACTTAAGTGTCTCTGAATCCACTATGTGACAAGGTCATATCTTGAATGTGAAATGTGAGTTTACAATTGACAACACATAAGTCAGTCTGTTATGATCGTAAAGGTGATGTGAATCAATCTTGTACTTTCATCGATCAGCACGGTAGGAAAGTATGACTCATGCAGAGAATATGTATGCCGAGCTTTATGACCAATTTAGGTCTGAGATCGTGTGATAGACCAGACAAACAATTATATTCTCACCTATAGGATAACTATGAATGTTGTTTTTCAGTATATGCACTTCATAAGATTTTTTATTTATTTGAAAATATAACACTCGTTTGTTTTTGACTGAGACTACAGTGTGATGTATAGTTAAGGCTTCAAATACAGGTTTATTAGTGAACTAGAATTCGGAAACATTCATTCTGATATGCTCGAATGGTCTTGCATGTTTTATACTGTTTGTTTTAGCGTTAATGCATCGATTAGTAATCTTAATTTATTGTCAGTATGTATTCTCAACGCGCTGATTTTATATGGAAGAATTCTTGAATAAATGAAAGCCTTTTCTATACTTATTTTGACCATCTTCATGAGAGATCTGAGACAAATGAACGATATGTAGTCCGAATAATATCACATAGTGTCTGAAGTAATTATTTAATGAGCCAAACTACACATCTAATTAGCAATCGTAGTAATAAGGGATAATATTCCTTAAAAAACGGATAAACATGGGATTGATGACGACAGAAAGCTAGTAAAATTGAATTGTTATTTTCAAATATTGGTTTGTAGGGATTTTGTTTGATTGGTTGGAGGATTTCATCTTGAGCTGACACTGGTTAGAAAGCCAATGGAAAACCTAGGAGTACTGGACAGTTGTTTCGTCCTGGTTTGGGACTCATCAGCGTTTGTTTATTTACATCCACTGTGTTCTGTATGTTGGTATGCACCAGCAGGGCAGACAGACACCTACCAACTCGGAGAAGCTTAAACTCGTTCGAAGATATGAACTAGCACTACTCAAGTTCAGATCTGAATTGGTTAGTATTAAAGATACTGACTACAGTACCTAGTGAAGTAATTTCAGCAATTTACATAGACTATGTAGAACACATTCTTCGGACATTGTTGCATAGAACTAACTAGTCTAATTTTATAGAGAAATAAAGATTGGCGCTACTTATGTGAATTCATAAAGGTTAAACCAAAAAAACTTACGCTTGCATAATAAACAGTCCCACTATCCAATTCTGACAGTAGGTATTCTTGAGCACTTGGTGGAACTGTGACTTTTTTAACTAAACTTGGTGCCGACTGTTTCCAATAAAGGATGTTATAGTTCAGTAAAGCACTCCATTCATAACCCTCAACAGGAGGTGTCCAGCTTAAACGACATGAATTCAGGCCACAATATTGTACACGAAATGAAGTTGGTTGACTTGATACTAAGAAAAATGAAATCAAACAAAACGTGCTTAACAAAACTTAATAGAATACCAAGGATAGTGACAAAGTAAATTTAAGGAAATTTCTACACATTAAATGCCTGAATTCAGGTAAGCACTAACTATAGACAGACAAGTGTTTCAAAAACATGAAGTTATTTCGAATTCTAGATTGTTGAAAAACTTAAATATATACAAAAGACAAAACCGAAGTAGTTACATTAATTTGACATAGAAATCAGCGTGAATTCATGAGGTTTCTTAGAACTAAAGTGTTCTATTCAGGTTTTCAGCATATTTATTCTGTCACTAACTTTGCGTGTAAAGAGTCATTCTAGAGTTGCCAATAGATATTTGGCTTTTAATGTTCTATTGTAACAGCCATTCATTGCGTAAAACTGGCTGCCTGTGATTTTAATGACAGCCGCTGTCCTTGAATTGTTACTCAGACAGCTTTAAAAAATCAAAGACTAGAACTTTATGCTTTTCTAATTAAAATCCTGTTTGAAAAGCGAAGAAATAACCTTAGTGGGGACACATAATGGTTTGGACCGTTCTAGTTACCAAATATGCCATAGTTATGAAGGTTGGTTATTTCCTGCATGTTACCACAAAACAACTTATACAGAGAAGGCTAAATTGAGCGAACTCATCAGTTATACTAACTTTATCCTTACTCAAGTAAAAGTTGGTCAATCTCATATATATGTATATATATATATATATATATATATATATGAAGTACTGGGCAGCTGTTTCGTCCTAGTTTTGGACTCTTCATCAGTATGCGTCCGGCGGGGCTCGAACCCAGGACCTTCCGATTACAAGGTGAGCTCGTAGACTATTAAGCCAATAGGACCCGATCCAATGGCAAACCCATGAATTCCAACTTCTGACAATTCACGATATAGCGCTACCACTAGCCAATGTCATCATCGGCGAGCATTTGTCCTCACGCCCAACCTGCTGTACCCCAATGGTCACGATTTCTCACTAGGACCCAAGTAATTACCTACCTGAATAGGGCCAGTCGCTAGTGTGAGCATCAGATTGATATTCAAGTGTTGGTTTGCAGGGATTTGATTTGATAGGTGTAGGAGATAATACCGGAAATTGTTCGGAGTGAAATTAATAATAACAATCGAGATAATAAGGGATGGATGTATAAAATGAATAAACAAAACGAAAAACAAGTAGGGCCAAAGTATGAATGGGGATTATCATATTTTTGCATAGACGGATTAAGACTATGAGAGTTCGAGGGGTTGAACAAACACGCCTTCTGTATACAGAGATCTGGCTTTTCTATGAGCAATTCGGCTAAAAAGGAACTGATGAATTGTGTCGTAAACAAGTTGTTTTATATGCACATAAGACGCTGTAACAGTAATGCAGTCAAAAATTTTCTATTTTTACAACAATTATAGGAATAAAATAGTTGATACAGTGACAACAACTTCCTGATATACGAAGAGGAGAAAAAATAGAGCAACATAATATGGTACTAAGGAATTTTTCTGAAGGAAATATATCGTCTCAGTAACCAAAAATACCCTTATTGAGTACAACAAAACATATGTCTATATAGACACACAAGGAATGCGACGGGAAAAAATACAGTCTGATAAGTACCACACCCTAGTCTTTATAAACAGAAGAAACAACAACAAAAAACTACTTTCTAATTTTACCATATATAAATAAAACAGACATTTATTTCATAACACATACAAGACACTAGACAACACCGTAATAGTGTTAAAATAATCAATATATAAGAAAAAAGATGAATTCAATACATTTGAAAGATGTAAGTGGGATAAGCCTGCAAAAATTACGGTGTATAGTAAGAATATCATGTACTCAAACACAAATAGTATGCAGATCGAAGAATGTAAAATGCATCAAAGTATTGAAAGAGAAAATAGTTAAGGTAAAAAACACCGAGTTCATAATACACTTATCTTTATTATCTCCAGCCATTACCTATGATGCATCAATTGTGTAGGGTCAAAACTAAATTAGGTGTGGCAATACAAGTATTTATCATGTCCTCATTCTTTTATCCTTTACCCTTTGAGCTTAGTTGGTATGTTTAAGTTAGAAAACATTGCATAAGATATATATATATATGCCTAACCACAAATAAACGATAGGCTATTATGGTTGGGACATAAAGAATGCAATCCATCTATAGTTCAACATTTTTATTCACTAGAAGACATCAAAAAACAGTTAGCTAACAGTTCATATATAGTAGTTTAGGCATATATTACGTATCCAAATGAAAATTCCACGCACAAAATAATAAATTATTCAACGAAGTAGGCTACTTAGACCGTAAAATATAATTTGGTCGATAAAACAAATCAATAATAATGATGTAACTACTTAGTATAAAGAATTTCAAGTTAGCCTTTGACATTATATGTTTAAAAATAGGCAAATAAATGTTACCAACCTATAAAACGACTCAAAAATTATAAATGTCACTTTATTTGTTAAGAGTCCCGTAAGGTAGACAGATGAACATACAGACAAAAGAATACTAAATTCAGGAGCAAATATGAACGGGAAATTAAGTGCAGTAAGGCAAACAGGTTGGTTGTTGCAATGGAAAGTTTACAAGTGACAGGCTATACGATGTGGTAAAGGATGAATTATTTACCTCATTGTAATTGACTATTTTGAAAATATCAAACTGAATGCCATATACTATATATTTAAACAAAAATGCAACTCAGAGATCAGCTACCCGGATCAGATTCCTAATATACCAGTTTGAGTCACGGTTATGGTCAGGGCTGAAACTCTACCCAGCAGATTAGGCTGAAATACATGTAGTGAAATTCCGACCCGAGACCCACAGGCTGAAGGTCGAATGCTGAAACCACTGAGCCACAAGTGAACCAAATAGACGTAGTAATAATAATAACAATCAACTGCGATCATGAAGATCACGATAAACGATTAGTAATTTTTTAAGAATGAATTTACGACTACTTTTCCACCCACAAAGACATTCAATACGTTCATCAAGAACAGTAAATCAGTCGCTACTTTTTTTCTGTCTTCTGATACACATTAAGTGACTTTTCATTTAAGCAATTCACACCACTGCAGCCTGATTGAGAAGCATTCCTTCCATTGTAATAGTTAAGTAATACATTGCAGAGAACGGTGTTTACTTTTTGAAACAACACGTGACCTGACTGATACAGTAAGTGGAAATAAAAAAACAACAACAAAATATTGAGATGGAATATACTACCGACTGAAATGAGTAGTTGGAAACTGTTATCATCAATCGATGATGCTTTGCTCGGCATTCGGATGATGCGGCTGCCTGAGCCGAGTCTAACCAGAAGCACCACCGATAAAATAGCTCCACCAAATCGATCGTAACGGCTGTTCACTGTTGTGATCACTTCTACCTAGCGAGGAAATACTACTAATATCAATCTGTAGTATACACCAGAGAAATAAAAAAGTGAGAATTTACCTGATCTGTTGAGAGATATGTTTATTTGAGCTGCAGGTCCGACACCCATAGCATTTTTGTAAGCCACCTGTATTGTGTATAAAATCTGAGGCACAAGACCGATAATCTGAATAGGAGGGATATTTTGTGGATTACTTAGTATAGTTGGCAAAGTAGTAGATGATAATGTTGAAATATTAACAACATACGCTTCAAAAGGACCACCACGTTGAGAGCATAAAGGATAGTCCCAAGTTACATTTATAGATTGATTTGATTGAGATAACTGACGTAAATTCATTGGTGGGCCTTTCGGATCTAGAATAACAAAAGACGAGTTATATACACTGAACAACCACATAGAAGCGAGTGGAAATAAGCTATCAAAACATACAAAAAGAATTTGATTATAAAGAAAGCAAACAAAAATCCATTAACGGAAGTCTCAAAACCTAAAGATTGTAACCAATAAAGGTATGTCCTCCAGTGATTTATGTTCAACAGAAGGTCGACACTTCACAACTTATAGGTATAAAACTTGGGCACTGTGGTAGAGTGTAACTCCATTATGGATAAGATTTTATTTTGATAAATAACGCAGTGTTGTAGAGTAATATTAACTGATGACGTTTCGATCACAAATTATTGCTCATATGATATGATTATGAGCAATAATTTGTGATCGAAACGTCATCAGTTAATATTACTCTACAACACTGCGTTATTTATCAAAATAAAATCTTATTCATAATGGACTTCACAACTTAGGTGGACAATTATACAATTCAGTACTTGATTTCATATCTTTTTTATCATTCTTATTTTCTTTATCAGGCCTAACTCAACTTTAACTGACACTATACATCCTACAGGGAAACTGATCAAAAAACACACAGCATTATAATGAATTGATAATGATTCAGAATATCATTAATCTACTTAGTTTAGTCGTTAGGCAGTCTGCATTTAACCTGCAGAAAAACTGGTCGGAAATCCATATATTAATCAGATTTTCCACTTAATGACATATTTTAAATGTACATCGTGATGAAACAGACTGCTGAGAAATACGCTTATTCTTTGGTAAACAAGTCAAGCATATTTCAGATATCAAATTGTTTTTACTTCGAGATTATGTTGGTAAATAGCTTGTTAAAGCCGACGCAAAGACCCGAAGAATGGAAGTAGCTAATGCATTTAACTGACTTTTCATATTTAAGCTAAAAGACAAGCCATCACCTAGACATCATCTTGAAAGCGACTACTGTGAGATGTTCAAGAAACACTAACTATATTTTGCTCACGTTTGAATATTTCCAAAAAATACTACTTTTATAATAATCCTAAACCATACAGTTTTATAAGTTGATAAAACCCTACTGACAATTTATTACTCCACTAAATGTCATGGGTTATATGTACTAATAATTTAATAAATCCTGTCGTAAACCAAATTCTTCTTAAACTAACCATCATCCAAGCTTGAATTAGGTTAGGAGTACAATATAAAAGTATGTTTGTAGAAACTTACTCTCAAACTGTGTTATAATAGTGGTGGTTGACGGTGCAGTGGCAATATCGTGAGATGTTAGGCCGTAAACTGTTACGGAATAACGTCGCCAGTAGTCCAACTGCATCACAGTCTTTCTGGTATCAATATTAACTGTCTTGGTGTAATTTATATAATTTGATTGTGGCAAAATGAGACAATCTCCTATAGCAATCAATGTGAAATGTATGTAGACCTTTACAACCGCAGGATTATCATGTCCATCCCAAAATACTTCCACAGAATTTTTATTTGATACAACAGACACATTGGATAGAGCTGAATGAAATGCAAAAGTGATTAATAATCAGGCATAAATAGGATTCAGACATAAGATTTATGAACGATAATAATGATAAACAGATTGACATATTTAAGTGTACGCAACCCAGTTCCAAGCGTATGCTGCACCAATGTTTAATCAAAACATGTTTTTTGGTCAACAAATACATAAATGAAATATGTGAAAAATAATAGTTAGTGTTCGATTTGCAAGGTAGCAATAAACTATACTAATATAATTCAACAAAATAAAGTTACTCCGTGAATGTGATTTCATTTGAAATGAAAATAAAATTAAGCTGAAATATTTGTTTATGAAGTGAAAGTAACAAAATGATTTTTAAAAACCTCAGGTGTCGGCCGAACTGATTAACATGGAACGAAAACTTATCATTTGAAGTTTAAAAATGTTATCTATGTATTAAGGTCAAAATTCCTTGTAACTGATACTCTACACTGAAACTGACTGAAAACTTCATTACGCATTAGCTTTCAATTCAGTCAGCAATCAATGAAATTATGCTGAGTGCGAATAAGTGATCTATAAATTACTTGATAGTGCCTCTCAAGTATAATAATTTTCAAAGATTCGTAATTGCACTGTTTTCATGGCCTCATATGGGCTGGACGTTCAACAGTGGTTGACTTCACTGGTTCTACAAAAATTTTCGGGACTTCTACCACCAGCTGAAAGTCTGGAACAAAAAAATTCACACTAAGTTCAACCGTAGCTGTCAGAGGAATCTGAAGATAAAGTTCACTAAGATAGCCTTATTATTCACACTTCACCAGAATACAATTACGTTTGGAAAAAGGTAATTACTAATAAAACTGAATATTAGACAATGCATAAATTGGCTCGATGTTTGAAGGGATTTAAAGTTTGTTCTTACCAGGTCCAACAATAGAAACTATCATAACATGCAGTATTCTTCTACAATCTGTTCAGATGCTTTTACTTAACATTACATATCCTTTATTTTAGGGATTAAACTCTTTGAATTCATACTTAATTTGTACAACATTAGTAACACGTATTTGCATATAACTCAAAATATACATAATAACATCTAGTAATGCAAAATGGTGTACATGAAAACATGCTACTGATTCCACTAATCGGAAGCAGTGCCTATCACTGACGTACAACCTTACAGAATGGAAGACCTGGAATAACTGCATTTTTGGTTTTTAAAGTAGGATCGACAAGGTAAGAGATCGATCAACAGCAAAAGAGTGAAAACGGCAACAATAGCTGAACCAAGAATATTAAGCCAAATTAAATACCTAACCTATCAATATAAAAGGCTCCTGAAATCATGTAAAGAGCAAAAAAGAGTGTAAGGAGCTCCAAACAAATAAATATTTCACGTTAATGCAAAAGAACATAGAAAACCTATTGTCAGACACATGGATTATACAGAAACTTGACCAAGCATGATAAAAATTTTGGATTGGTCGCTCGATAAAGTCTTTCACCGAGTAATATTTAGACAGAATTCCACACTGAACTCAGGGTGAAATGTGAGTTAGTGCTGCACATATGGGAGAATAACATTATTGAAGATACCCTGTTAAATTTTTTAAATGATGATTAACATAATACCTAGTTAAAAAAAAATATTTCGTTTTGCCTTAAACTTCAACAATGGACCTTTCTATGAGCTTGTAAAAATACTTCTCAAGGAACTATAGGGAAGTGTTCAACTACTTTATATGGCCATCACTTAGCAACGCCTTGTATTCATTGTGCAGTCGGAAAAAAATCTCCCATGTTAATTTGCAAAGAATGATAAAAATGAAACAAGAAACTTATATATAATCATGAACATGCATTTGGCAGCCCCTGGACGCAAGTGAAATCGATGTCCTAAGATCGCTTCAAGCTACTCTGAAGTTAAGGATAACAATTGACCTGCTATGGTAGTATGCAGCATTATACGTGTCACATCCTCTCAAACAGATTAGGAATAATCTACCTTACTAAAATACCGTTCAACATAAAATGAAAATCATACTTAATTAAGTTAAAATCTAGATATTATTTTGCACAACGTAGTAAAAAGTGGAAAATAATTACCACCACATTTGATCTCCAGAGGATTCGACTCGGGGCTTGGAACACCTTCCTCAAGATATTCATCACTTGACATAATTACCATAAAGTCTGCTCTGATTGAGAAAGAAAATGGAACAGATAAGTTGTCATGGAAAAATCGCACGTCATAATCGTTTCGAGAGAGCATAGTCCGATCGACTGACTGGTAAGCTGAGAGATTTGACGACGTCGTTCTAAAAAGAATCCTAATTGAAATATTATAACAATGCCTGATGAGGACTAACGTGTACTTAACAATATTTGATGATCCGACATAGTAAGATTCATTAAACTCCGGCCAAACAATATGAAGACTCTCACAGTCACTGTGAACAGTGGGTGGAATAATCATTCTCGTTCGTTCTAAAACCATTTATATAATAGACTTATAATTACCATGAATGCACGCAGCTCCATAATAGCGTCTATTGCATTTGTTTCCTTCTGTGCATACACCATTAATAGGATTACATACGTTTCGTGGTTCACAATTGCACTTTAATGTACAATTTAGACCATAATTTCCAGGGGGACATACTAGAAATATAAATCCATTAAAAACACTTGTTTTTAAGCATTGATTACCATCTTGACAAGCAGGAAATCCCACGAAGCCAGGACTGCAAGGCCCAAATTTACATCCGACGCCATCAGTTGTTGAATCACAAGCATCCTCCAAACAGTGACACTCGTAAGAACAATTCTTACCAAATCTTGATGGCTGATCCGTACAAACACCTGCTCATAAAAGGTAAATCTTCAAAACACTAACTCACTTGTTAATACCGGGTGTGCACAAAATAAAGTAAAAATGAATAAAGAATACTGGGCACAACCATAGAATACCATCAAATGCATAAGACACGTTTAATATTCATATTGCCACCATCTCATATACCGTAGAGACATTAAAACGAACAAAGAAAAGATGCAGCATTCAAGTATTTTAGAATAACTGTGTGAGCTGACTCACTTTCTTTTTCGCATATTTTAATTTTCTGAATCTTCTCAAATAATGGTGCGAAAACCGGAATTTCTTAAAGTACCCTCAAAAGTACTGGAAGGAATAATTGATAGTCATACCGGGAAGCACCTCGATAGGGTATTTCCTCGGAATTACTAGCCACAGAATTCATCAATGAACGCTGGATTCTGACCCTCACTGTCTTAGTCGGTTTGTTTAGCTGAAAGCTTACGGTCAAGCATACACGCCGTTAACAACGCCATCGTGTTACGTCCGTTCGTTCGTGCACAATCTCTAGATAGTAAAGTCAATCAATCGAAAACCAGGAAACTTTACCTCACAACCAAGAAGCGAGCACAAAGAAATCATATTGGTTTACACTATCTCGTAAAAGCGATATTGGATAACTGGAAACTCCTTGAATAGAAAGTAGAAATTTCAAGGTCCCTGATAAATTCACTTTTCAAGTGTGTCCATCACACCAAAACCTTTTTATAACTGTGAACTAATTATGGTTCGAGTTTCTTATATTTTGATGAACTTAGTACCAAATATGAAGCTTCTAACTTTAATTTATCGAGAATGATTCATCTCGTGTGTTGAGTCTGATTGTCTATTCCACACAGAAGCGAGTACGGCACCTGATAAGTGAAGTATATGGTGCTGCAATATGTAAAAAGGATTTGGCTTCATTCAGACTGGGGGGAGGTGTACAAAACGTCCTCATCTCCTCATACCCGCCCAATAAAGAAGAGTGACCATATAATTCCGTAGTGACTGAGGGATGAACACTGGACTCCTGGTTATAATCTTGCTAGCATCATTATGTGGACCGCTCTTCCATTGGTTCCAGATACCACTGCCACTAGGCTCGCCAAGTCCTGACAACCCAGCAAATCAATATCTACTTAAGTCTGGTATGTAAAAAGCAGCTGTTTTCCACCTTTCAGATGATGCCATGAGGATCTTGACAGCGCAATTAGGGAAACTAGCAGAATGGAAAACGGATTATGATCTCATAGTGTTGAGATGACAAACATGAAAAAACAGACTCAAGCAGTTGAAGGGGTGAAATGGAGAAGCAGCAAGGGAAATTGTGTTAAGGCAAAAGGTTCACCTAACCACACTGGGCTTAAAGTAGACGAGGATGTAAAGGTCCCAGTGGAGAACAAGGACTCATTGGATGGCAATGTAACCATACCTACCCTGAATAAACCGAACGAACTCAATCCTGTGTGGTTCTGATAGATGTAGCCGAAGTGGCCACAAACGAAAGTTAGTCAAGGTAGGTAAAGGAACCGTTCTCAACACATACAGTCACCCGGTCAAACAAATGGGTTACAACAGGGCAGATGCAGTCCCAGAAGACTGGGGCTATCCTTTATACCAGACCAATTTCTGGAACAGAATGAAGGAAGATACACTGTCTCAACAAGACGGCAGAGGTAACACGAGCAAACTTGTCTAAAGCTTGTGAATCCTTAGATAGTTTGGTGATACAAAAATGTGCTTACATTTGTGCTGGTGGTACAGATGATAGTAGTCATGCTATTGGAAGACAGTATCATTGTTGTCATAGAAACCATCAGCATATGTGGTCGCCAACTTTTGTGCGAAGTTGCTACCATAAATCGTGATGGTTTCAGTATGACAATATCCATGGTACTGTATATCAGTGGCGTAGTCACTAGTGCTGAATTAGTTGATTAGTTGATTTTCCATCGAGGCATTTAGTAGTCAGCACAAAGCTCGACTTTTGTACACATGGATGGATTGAAATAGGAATATAACCCTTTTAGCAAGTGAGATCCTAGAAACAACATAAGATTTCTCATACACCCATGATGAATACCAACTGTTAAGAAGGTAAGCGTGATAACATGGTCAATAAAGTACTCGATATATTAAATGAAACACTTAAATTTCAAATAAATACAGTTCTACTATTGAGGACTGAGTTCATTAGCCATGATAAGCACAAAACTAATTTCGTGATGAAAGCTCTGTATGAGCATGGATTGCATCTCACATATCTTGTAAGACATTGAGAGAAGAAACCACATATGCTGAAGAGCAAGTGTACAGGTGTTATTGTTGCGACCTGACTTCTTGATCTTAAGCCGAAGTTCCACTCAGTTGTGTTTACATGAACACAACATACTTTTCCATGTCTGCATGTTCCGACAACTCATACGTTTATATGAATGTAATTTGTTATGATTTCGAGAGGCAGCTCACAGTGAGCAAAATTAAGTTGATAAGATTCAGTTTGAGTTACCCAATGTACATAAGTGATATGAAGATGTTATGTGCAAACAGAAAACAATCACTAAACTAAAGTTTGCAACAGTTGCATAATGAATCCTCACAAATAATGGGAATGAATCGGGACTCACCCAGGTTACTTCCCGTTCTGTGAGTGTTTCTATCCACCAGCAGCCTTTTGATACTGTCACTCTATATGATTTCATCCAGTTAGCTTCTGAAAGGTTTAACCCGTGAATACACGAATGAATACATAAGTGTCAGTACGGACATTTGTTATTGACTCACCATTGACTCGCTAATGTGCAGTTGGCAGCAGGAAACATGTCGGTATAGCGAAGGAAACATTGGAGGATGCTTATGGGTAGGAAGTGGCTAAGTCAGCATAGGTCATGACTGCAGTTCGAGGAGGCCATTAGGTTATGCTGGCTGAATGGCTTCCAGGGCATCGACTGCGGTGTCTAATTTCCGGCGAATTTCATTCCTGGCTGAGGCCTTTAACCTAACGTAAAGTTCTAGAGTATTTGGCCTAATTGTGGTTTAGTTTAGTCTCTCTTTTAGTGGTGGCTAACCAAGCAGAAATGAAAAGCATTTGAGATGACACAGTGAGAGAATATGATTTAGCATGCCAACCTAGCAAGTTTCCAGCGTGAACTGAGCAATGCAAGTATTTTGACAAGGTTAATTTGATGGGCGAAAATGAAATAATGAATAATTTACTTTATTCCAAAAACAGTACTTATAATACAGAATGGAATTCTCAGTATTTGTCACAATATTGCATCTGATTTACTCAAAATGTATATAAAATTAAAAATCAAAACAAAAATTAATCGGAGGAATTTGCCCACATTGACGACATAATTATTAGATATAATAATAATAAATAATAATAACAGTGAGTTTGTTTCAAACGGCATTGTCGGTTCAGTTTGGAAACTTTAGCATGTTATAGATTATCGGGTCTAATGTTCTGTTGATATAGTATAGTGAGGGGAAATACAAAATTAACAGTCATAATACAGCTTAAAATTATGACCACACTTATGAAAAAAATAAACAAAACGAAAAAATTGAGAGGATTATAAATATAAGAAATACAATAACAATAAAGTATGATGCTTTAAGGTTGAAGGAAATGGTCTATTTAGTAGTGCTAAGAAGGTTAGTTGGTTCATTTCTGACACTATTTTCATCACATAAAGTACGTGCCAAATATGGTATAGTGGAATTTTTATACTTAGACGTACGTGCATAAAGTCTTCTGAAAAGACTTCTTGTTTTACCTAACGAGGAGACACAAGGTTGGAGCTACTGGTAGAGTGGGTGCTCAGAGTCTGACAAAATTCCTCTAGCGAATCTGTTGCATGACATCAAATGCCTATCGGTGACAATGCCAACGATATGGCCCATTGGGATACCACTCGTCCTACTGACAGTCTTCAGAGTTCTACGAAGTATGACATAGTAATTTTTAAGCAATCCAGGAAAGAATAATGATGAACAGTAAAGAAGAATAGGTAGAATACACGAGTTGATAAACTGTAAGAGGAGTGGTTGAGTTATGCCTGAGTGCCTTAACTTCTCAATGTAAAAAGTCAAACGAAATATTCTTTTAGAAATCGCTAAGACATGAGAAGACCAGGTAAGGCAGAAGAGAGAACTAATCCAAGATACTTAACTTCATACTCGGCTTCTACATCAGTATCATCGATTTTGCAAGGGTCATATGAACCAACGGCTTCATTTAACTTTCGTTTACATCGGAAACTGAAATTTACGGTCTGACATTTGGAAGGATTAAGTTTAAGGCCGTTAGACGAAGACCATTTGCTAATTTCTGATAGAAAGTGGTTAATCTTAATACAGTCAAGTTGAGAGTTAACAGACACTGAGATAGTTAGATCATCGGCATCCTTAACAAAGTTCATTTCATCGGAGTGAGGCAAGTCATGCAAGAAGAAAGAAAACAGAAAAGGAGAAAGGACAGCGCCTTGAGGGACACCAGCCTCAGTAAGTAATGAAGTGGACGACTTTCCCTGACATACAGTGTATTGCTTTCTTTCTGAGAAATAAGAATGGAGCCATTTGACAACCCAACAGTCAGTTTGAGTTTCAGCAAGCTTGTTTAGTAAAATGTCCCTAGGTACTGAGTCAAAAGCAGATGTATAATCTAGAAAGGTGCAGCGAACAAATTTACCCCTCTTGTCTAAGCTGGAGACAATGTTATGATACAGGACTGCAGCTGCGTCCAAAGTTCTTCTACTATGTTTGTAGGGGAATTGTTTGGGATTGTTAAAGGCTTTAAGTGAAGGTTGAAGATTAAGTAAGAGCAACTTTTCCACAGCTTTTAGAAAAGGGGAAGTAATAGCAATGGGTCTGAATTTAAAACATGTCGCAGTAGACGACTTAGGAATACGTACAATTTTAATGTCTTTCCAAGCGGCTGGCACGACATTTTTGGAAAAAGATTCATTAAATATGTCCATGAGAGGATAACACAGGATATCTGCACAATTTTTAAGAATAACACTAGGCAAACCATCTGGACCCAGGCTACAAGAAGGGTTCATAGACTGGAGACATTTTAGAACATCATTTGTAGTAAATCCAGGGAAGCAGGTTTCATTAATACTTGTAACACTAGAAAGTTTGGCATTCGTGGGAGAATGTATGAAGGACTTGTTTAGTTCGGAAACATCAAGGGGAAAAGGAATACTGTTCATCTGCTTACCACCAGTAATTTCTTTGAAAAGTTTCCAAATGTTAGACGCATTTTTACAGGATATAAACTTTTGGTTGTGAATTGAATTCAATCTGTGCATTTCGGACTTTATTAGGATATTGATTCTTTTCAAACCAGCATTATCCTTCATTTTATATAATTTTTCTTTCTGTCTGCTAAGCTTTTTAAGTTGAGGGGAGGAGAAACGGTCAAATCTGATGAAGAGCGTTTCTCTGGGACAACAGGTGTCAAGACAAAATTTGAGATAACTAGTAATATTAGAGATCGTGTCATCAAGAGAGTCTTCTTTAAACAGGTCCCACTTTGTATCTTTGAGCATGCTTCTGAGGTTATGAACATTCTCCATAGAGTAACATCCATGTACAGTTTTCTTGGAAAGGTGTGAAAAAGTTCTCTTGTGTAATTTTCCAAAAATTTTAGGTAAAACCCGTACAATACAATGATCTGAGTTAAACAGTGGAGCTCTTTTACGAGCTTCGTATATTCCAAAGTCATTTATGAATACAAGATCGAGGGAATTATCCAGTCTGGTGGGGAAGTTAACAACATTTTCATGACCTATCACTGTGAGAAAGCTGCAGTCACATGAATTAAAATCACCCGTCACTATGGAAAGGGAGTTACCAAAAGGGGCGGCAGCGAAAATAGTGAATTCATCAGCAAGCATAGATAATTCTGAATTGCTACAACAAGGTGTGACATAAATATTCGTGATATAAATGAATTTGTATTTAGATAGGTGTTTAGGTCGACATTTGACAGTTATACAGTCAATATTATCATTTGAGAATTTGAAACAGACGTTGTTGGCAACAGACCACTGAGAATTGATGAAAGTAGCAACACCACCGCCTCGCTTCTTCCCTGAACTACTTCGGTCTTGTCTGTACATATTGAAACCATTTAGTAAGATTAAATTATCATCATATGAGTCGTGTAGCCAAGTTTCCTGAAGCGTTATTACACCTGTATTACGATAAATATTTGAATATAATACAGAATCCAAGTGATTAATCTTGTTCGATAATGACCTCAATTAGTGCTCATAATCACAGGAATAGTCATCTGATGCATTGGTTGGCAAAGTTCAACAATAGAGTCCCAAGGGCTGGACTTATCTGGCATGTTGGTTGAAATTTCGCTCGGCAAATTTTTTTGTCAATAATTTTTAATAAAACTTTGTTACATGTTTTCTGTATTGATAGGAATTCTCATTTCCTGGCTAGTTATGTTGGTGTTCGCGTCATTTAATCTGACTGCGACACACTTAGCATATTGGTTGTAATGATTAGTGTTTCATGCTGAATGCGTCAAAACATCTCTGCAATGAAGAAGATGGGGTATTTGGGGGGTAGTGTCATCTACACAAATAGTTTATTTCTTGTAGAAGCTGCAGCTTTCGACATAGTGTCATTCAATGAAGACTATGTCAAAATGTGGCTATTTTCGTGTGAAGAACAGTACCATTTTACAAAAGAATGCTATCAGTACATGGGAATCACCTATAAATGCCAACAGAACGTAAAACCAATGTGTAAACGAACGGCTACGGAACTACAATCCAACATAACCGACTAACATAGACGAAAATGACCTTTGAGCGTCTCACTCCATCAATGACCTTGAGCATGCGGGATAATTTCAGCCAGCCCCAAGCAATGCGAACGCACAAGTGACCTTGAGCCGACCAGTCAGAAAAAAGGATGATTTTGCATAAAATTTTACGTATATTTACATAAAAAAGCATAAAAAACGTTAAACAGGATATTTTTCTCTAATGTGAGATAAAAATATGGCCAAGTTAAACTTTAAGCACCAGTAACTACCAATCAGCGAAGGACGTCGATTTATCCAATGAGATTCACGAACGTAGTTCAATGTTGCATAGCGCTTGATTCATTTCACTGCGTGCCATTACAAGGTTACGTTTGCAATTTGAGGAGGTTTGTGTCTATTATTATTGCCTGGACTGAGGCTTGCTTGGAAAGGAGAGAAGTTGTTCGTGTGGTGGTGTAGTGACTCTAAATAGCTATACTAGGTCAACTGATGGTTTTGTACATCGCTGTGGAATATGCTGGAAGCGAGTTAGTATTAGAGAGGGTAATATTTCTTAGGAACTTTTTTGCTAGGTCGCATCTCTCCCTAACCTAGATTTTGTACATTTGCAACTACTGGATACTGAAACAGCCTGTGAGAGCCGCTGCTGCCGAGACGGAGAACAGCCTCGTCCCAACAGTTCAGTGGTATACCAGCACTGCAGGGACATCGCCTCATGGAAAATGTACAGAAGTACTTCGTTGTTAGGTGGGGACGATGTAGTAGTCCATGTGGATGAGACAGTGTTGGTGAAGAAGAAATATAACCGCTGTCGTCAGAGCGCGAACAACATTTGGGTCATAGGTTTATACGACACATCCCTCCGAAAAGGGTTTGTTGAAACAATAGCAGACAGGAAGGCGACTACTCTGGTACCTATTATAAAGCGACTTGTGAAACCGGGATCAGTCGTACATACCAACGAGTGGAAAGGCTATCATTTGGTGTGACTTCTCTATTGACAGTCGCACGCTGAATTGGGAAATGCTTCTGTCCCATGTCCGTGAAAGATACCCGTTGCAATTGTCTTATCCTATATTTTATGCATTTTTCTATGAATATACATTACCACTTATAATAAACGCCTCTTTCATGTGATTGGTCCGTTCAAGGTCGTCTGCTGATTGGTAGTTACTGGTGCTTAAAGTTTAACTTCGCCAAAAATATCTCCCACTTTTGTAAAGGGGTTTCAGTTTTTAAACTGAACCAATTTCTGTACATGTATTCATCCAGATGACTAAAAATAACTTGGTTTCGAGAACCATTTATGGCTCTTATTCTATTTTTTAATCTTCCCCAGAAACCTTCGATGGAATTATTATGAGTACCGGTGACAGGGTCGACGGAATCATTCGAATGGTTCACTCTATGATGTATATATCCCAATTGTGATAATTGGCTATATCCCGCCCATTCATCTGTGTGAATGGTGGTGCCTGGTAATACTAGACGCTGAATAATAGGGAGGAGGAGTGTATCAGCACTCCTATCTAGAATCAGCTCCATAAACCCTTTGCGAATCTAGGTATCATAAATTCCTAAAACTCAAACGTTATTCTCTCTGGCGCCCAGTAATTGGACAGAAACAAGATATTCAGGCAAAGTTAAACTTTCGACACCAATAACAACCAATCATCCAAGACAGTTTCAACTTTTCAAAGGAAGTTCCTAGAAGACAATTAATTCAGTGTCACTTACCACTATGCACAATTATTCGCGCTAGAATAATGGTGAGCTTCCTCAACCAATGACTAGCATGCGTTCATTGTCATTGGAACATTCACGAGGTCATTGGAACATTTACAATCCTAGGACTCTATTGTTGAACATCCAATGATTACACTTTAGGGATCTTTGCCACCCACCATGATGCTTTTTCTTAAGGTTATTATATACTCGTAAATTATCCGGTTGAAAATATTTTAAATAATCGCGAGAGTAAGTAACACGTTTTGGATACATAATTGAATAATTAAAACAAAATAAATCCAAGAAATCAGATGCAATATGAGTGACGGAAAATTTTGGTAGCCCAAGCTTTAAGCAGGCCGCCGAATTTTTATTTTCTAACTTGTGAGAAATATTGTAGGTGTAGGACTATATAACTAGAGATTGCCTGAAAACTTCAGTCGATATCGTCCTGAACCCTGCATGAAGTGGAAGCGTGTGACGTGGATTTCAGACCAAGTGCTATTGGCCATGAGGCGAATGAAGCCAACGAACTGCTTGGGACAGCTCTAGGGTTCTTATATGTGAACAAGGAACTATCTATGACCATTTCCAGAAGGTGGTGCTCATTGACAGCCTCTGTGTTTTTAAGCAGTATTTTGTTCGACACCTGAGGAAGACTTGGGATCATAACAGTTAGTGATATTTTTTGGCGTTATTCAACACTGAAGCCATATCTCGCTTGGGTGGACATGGTCTGGTCCGTCGCTGTCGCGATCATTTCAGTAAGCTTGAGATAATTCATTGGTCACCGAATATGAGAGTTTCAGGTCAGATAACCCACTGAGTCGAAGTTTTCAATTGAGTCAGTATTATGAATAAAAATGGGTGAACACTTAGTGCTGATTAACCATACAGCATTAAACTTATGTTATGGAGAAAATATTTAGCCCTCTGTCTCAGTTACTTATTTCAAATATACGACAATTCTGTGACAGTTGAATTGTCATTCATAGCTGCTGGGGTTAACAGACCTCCAACTAGATATCATTTCTCTTCTGCTTACTTGAATCTTACAGTGAATGCTATTACATAAGCTGATGACTTTATTAAACGTATGTAATCCAGCAGATCACTTGTATTTATTCAACATCTAAACCAAAAAGAACTGACAGGAAAAAAACCAAAAGGGGTTGATATTGATTCATATTTTAATGACCGGTCTTATGGATACTAGATATGCACCTAATAAATTGAGGGAATAGGCTTAATTAGAGAATGCAACACGCCATCTAGTCTTCAGCCTATCTGATCTGGTCAGACAGTGTAGGTCGAAATCTAGGGCCGAATGCTGTTGGTTTTATGTATCTGTTCACCTTAATACTTTGCTTAGAAATCCACCTGCTAGTCTCACTCTCGCATTATGTATAAATATATTGCAAAATATGGGTGTGAGTGCTGTATTATTCTGGAACTTAGGATTCCTCCAGATAAGAAACAGTTCATACAAAATGAATTTTTTTAAACAGAAATTGATAAACATATTGTTATGAAAGACTATATTAGTTTCAGAATGGCAATAGTGACAGGCATGTTTCAATATTGTTTATTGAACACTTAGTGTTTCAATACGTCTTAGAGTGGAACAGTACTTTTTGTACCTTCTTTTGTTACCTTCAAAAGCCAAAAAGTTAGTTTTTTTCTGGGTGGCCTATAGTCGCTGGAACCAAATTTGAAGTATTTTCTAAGTGTTTCTCGATTTTGGTTGTTTGGGACAGTTTCAGTTAATATTTTTCACGCTGTGAGTGAAAGTATACTTGTGTTGTTTACGTTTCCCATGTTAGAGTGTAATTGGCAATAAATATGAACTACTGTATTGTTAAATGGATGTGTACTGCGATATTAATCACCGGAAGTTTATTTTTGACCTCTCTCTTATTACTTTAGCTACTTTCTTCCCTTGAACCTCACTCAAATGAGACTTCAAAATGGTTGAAATTGGTTTCAGTGAAGAAAACAAGTCGGAAGCAGATTCCAGACGTAGTATAAATATTTCTGGATTGAGTGCAAAGCTTCCATGTGAAACTTCTGAAGGACGCAACACATTAATGTGCTTCCTCCGCGAATTGTGTGGTACTGTCCAGTCTTCCTACCATGAGGATATAGTTGAACTCAACTTCATACAGAGTGGATCTATTCTGATAGAGTTTTACGAATGGAGGCGACGAAATACTCAAGAATTAATGCAGGCCTTATGCTCCGGTCACCTAGATCCAGAGGATCTTGCCTTAGTAAGCGGTTTCATGTCAGGCCATATCTCAAGCGATGCAGTTTTTCCACCTTGTGGTGCTGTTCATCCTAGTCTGTGTCCACAGCCAACACAGGACCATGATTCTGAAGATGAGGATGATGAGGTGAGCAGTAATTTTTGCTGCACTTATATTTGTTATTTTGATATTGTAGATATTTTCAGTGTAGCGATATAAATTTTTAAGATATTTTAGGATTTCCACTTTAAACATTGAGGTAATGAAGTCAATTTTTAGAAAAAAACGCTTATATCCTCTAAAACACCTGGTCGGCTAAAGCACTATATCAGCAGTAGTTAGAAAGAAAGACTGCTTCAAAAACTATTGGTCTCCCAGTAACTATCACGAGATAGGTTTTGCATCTTTACAAGTGTAGTACTTACTATACTAGGTCATTTAAATCAATACTGTGAAGTTATATGTCTTGATAGTAACATATAATCTACCAAAGAGTTCAAAACTCACCAAGTACAACTGTTATTCCTCAATTTGGTCACTGTAGCTGTACAGAAATCTATAACGTCCACTTACTTGAAGCTGGTAATTTTGACATTGAAGTCGTCACCAGTGACTGTATCGTTGTATATTTAATGTAGTTTGCACCTTTCGTGCAGATGACAGACTGCCTATTGGTCCCAACTTAATGTTTTCCTCTTCGTCAGCTTAAACTGAATAATTAACTCGATCGTTAGCTTGCATGTTTCATACAGTATACTTGCTGTTTAGCCTAATTGTGGATTTATGGTTGATTGTTACGATATAGAAATTATTTTAGGAAGCAGTTGATGCTAATCTTAAAAGATTTAAAGTAGTTAGAAGAACAGCCAATTTATTACTGTTCGAAGTGCATTAATAATGTTAGTTATGGTTAGTTTCTGTTTTTTCTAAAGTACCATTACCAATAGTTTGCAGAAAACATATTGCACACCTTCAGTTGAGAAAAGCCTAAGATTCAGTAGTGGCACTAGTAGTAACAGCACATGGCTCAAAAAATGTGAAGATAGTATGTGGATAAGAAACGTTTCTGGAGTGAGCGTACGTTCTATCTTCCCTTGGTTATCCAATATTTTAGGACAAGTCTTCCCGTTATATTCACAAGGAGACTAGGTTAATTAACACAGTATTTACAATTGTAGGTTCAGTAATTATGAGTAGGCAAAGCGGCGTTCGGCAGAAACAAACCTGTGGAAACCATACAGGGCTTAGGTCCTGATAAGCACGTATTGGCCATATCGTCACCCTTCGACAGATTCTGGAACATACACATACTTACGGGCGTCCAATATTTGCCACATTCCACCTGAAGGTGGCGTTTGACTCCATTGAACGAGATGCTGTGGCAATTTCTCTCTGAGAAGGGAGTGCCAAGGACGTATATCGCACTAATTAAGGCACTACTCATACTCACGCAGCCGTGTAAGAGCTTATAAAGAATTGTCATCTGAAGTGAGAACAATCAGTGGTTTCCGTCAGGAATACCCACTATGCCCATTTTAAATAGTTTCTTCATGGATGTGCTAATGGAATCGGCCTTAAATTGCTTCTTTGACTTAGGGATTGACTTGTTACCAGGGAATAATTTCGTTGACTTGGAATATGCCGATGATGTAGTCAGCCTACATGAAGACATTGACAAAATGCAGAGCCTTCTAAACACCTTGAGCAGCAATCTTCGAATGTCTGGCACGTGATTCGTTTCTGTCAAATGTAAGGTGATGCTACAGGACTGGACTAAGTCGACTCCTAGCTTAAAGATAGGGGGTGAAGTGGTCAACGAGCTCTTGGACAAGATTTAGAGGTGGTCAAACCTGGGATCAGTCTACAAAGACTGACAGTTGGTTCGAACCATGTAGGGAGATGTAGGCTTCCTGGTTGGGGCCCTCGAGATGCTAAGAACTAGTGGCTGAAGAATGGTGATATGGCTCGAAATCGGTCTCATTTGTCATAGCCAATAAAAGTCGATTGTTTCTCCATATTACTATTCTTTTTGTCTCACACTTCTGTTTATTATCTGTCTTTTGAACCTCCCTTTACTCCTCTTGCTTTGTTTTCTACATGGAGAGTGGCAACTCGAACTACTGCATATCTGTGCAAAGTTCTATTTGGAAACGATACCTCATCTCACATCCAAAAGGCTCGTGTGGCATTCGCCAGCTTACTCCTCTGATGTAGAAGTGATATACGGTTTTCTATCAGAGGACATATTCACCCTATCCTTCTCTATGACTGTAAGACCTGGTTGTTGAAGGGACTAGTTATCTTTGACCATAAGTATCTACATTCCATCTATCGTGTTAGGTGGTGTAATGTAGTGAGTAATGTTGAGGTTGGATGTTGAGTAAGAAGGGAAGGTAAATCGGTGTTGTTAAACTGTATAGATCCAGATAGTAAGAACACACATTGCGTTTGCTCACCGATCGCTTTCCTAGTCAAGCAATAGTAAGTGAAGTAGGATTAGGTCGGAAAAGAGTTAGGGGTGGTCAAATCAAAACCTGGCATCAGTCAATGAAATCTTTGACTGATTGTTTAAGAAACGTAGTGGGGGGTGTAGATTGTTTGTTTGGTGTCTTCAAGACGTTAAGAATAAGTTAATGAAGACTGGGAGTGATATGGCTCAAAGTCGTTCTCAATTGTGCAAATACACTTACTTTTTATGTATTGTCAGATCCATCAAATTCTCGTTATTCCTCATATACTTATTCTTCCTCCCGTACATTTCCGTTCATCAAATGTCGTTAGAATTTTTTTCTCTACTTTGTGTATTCTTCGGGATATGGTAACTTGAACTGACGAACTTTCTAGCCTATTTTTTTGGAAAGCTCAGTTAGTCAAGCACACATTGAGATAAAAAGAGAAGCAAATGACATTCTGGAATGAGTATGCATTTTAAATGATATACCAGATAGCTTGAATTATGATTAAAGGGATTAGCGGTTTATATCCAGCATTTTTTCTCTGATCTGCAATCCGTGACAGGCAGTCTCAAATTCAAGCATGCCTAACTGAAATAGGTTAGGAAATATTGTATGGTCTGCTTTTGTGAATTATATAACTCTAGTACCATTAAATTTTACCATACAATTGCATTTCCAGCAATTTACTTAAAGAATTGATGAGACTTACGAAATATAATAGAACTCACGACCTATTGGTTCCAAGTTAAATACCCACAATACTCTGTAGACGCATATGTAAAACAAGCTAAATTTTAGCTTAGATAATTAATATAAGCTGAAATAAAATTCCGCTAACATCCATACTTTCAAATATCTGAGTTTTCAGTGTTGTTATACGAGTGCGAATTAAGAAGTAGCCGCAAAGTTTTCGCCAATCAGTAAACCTCATACAAAAAACGATATTTCATAGTTTAGTGCGAGGACATTTGGGATCTTGTCTACATGTGCCATATATATTGGACAACTAATCAACTATTTAGTCAAATATTTTCAAACGGCTCCGGGGAAACTGTTATTCCAGCATCTTCGTTGTTTCATACACTGATAAACTTTTTTTTTGTGATTTTTAGTAGAAACCTATCACGAAGTTTTTTTCATAACACAGTTTATTTGTATATTAACAGATTTTGTCTGATAGTCGATTCAGTTTTTGACGTAATTACGGTTTATTGTCTTTTAGCGCGGATTGGATGAAAACTCTGTCCTGAAATATGCGACTGAAGAAGTAAACGTTCTTAAACGTGTATTAGAACTCAAACGTGCTGGTCTGTGGTCAGCTGATGACTCATCTTGTGGGACAACAGAATCTGGCACTATTGACAATTCAGCCAGTATTTCTTCCTTAGCTCCACCAACTGAGCCTACATGTCGCACTTTCAGCGATTACATGTTTGCAGAAGTCAATTGGCTAGCTGAGGATTTCAAACGGGAACGTCAATGGAAAAGGGTCTCTGCTAAGAAGGTATGTTAAAGCTGCGTATGTTTGCTTGTTCGAATCCGTAGTCACGTGAACATACGAACAAGTTGTTTTTCGAATTACCAGAAGAGGTGTTTTGCACAAAATCTATTTATTAGAGTTTTTCAAACATATGGATTTAGATTATCATTATTTTTCTTAATTGTTTGAATTGCTCCCTAAGCTCGCACTGACTGCCCTAAAATGCTACCGAGAGAAAACTGAGAGAGCTTCGAGGATAGAAAAAGAGGAAGTCATTCGTGTACGCAAGATGTGCGCATTTATTGCAAGAATGGTTCGCGATTGGTGGCGTCAAATGGATAAGGTATGTGTTATTCAAAAACTAGTTTTGTTTAAATTGATGTGGAAGTATTTCCAAGTCATTCTCGTCTGTGTTGTAATCAGTATTTTTTATCATTGCTTTGATTGACCTATCAGTGGATGGAATAAAAGCTGAATATCTTAAATAGGATTTGCTTACGTTATTTCATTTTCCAAATCTACAAAGCTAGTACATTAGAAAGATACATATTTATTTTAATACCCTTACTTATTGTTTTTATCAAGTAGAACTGTGTTACCGAGGCCTAAAATATTATACAGTTTACTGGCTTGAATCATTATCACGTTTGATTCAATAAATCTGTAGAGATTTTACTGAATTTTCTGTGTTCCCATTTTAGGTAGTGGTACAGAATTGACTAACGTAACTTTAAAAATGCATACGGCGAAAATGCTATTATTCTTTCGCTCTCTTTCATATATATATATATATATATATATATATATATATATATGGCGATCTTTACTGATTCCCTCTTTTTGTCCAGAAGGCTTGTAGAGTAGTTGTTAGTAGCTCGACGTGATTCCCGGCCTTAAGTAGTATCAAACTTTGAATGTAATGCATAAATTGCCTGAAGTTTTATGAAGTTTTCTGTGTTTTATTTCACATAACCAACTTTTACAACTTTTTGTCTTCCATCTTATAGATTGTTCAAGCGAAGCAGCAAGTACGACTAACAGCTAAACGTCAGCAAGCTATTAGTTCGCATCTTGGTCAAGTGCTTGAAACCACCGAAGAATATACTCGTTGGTTAACTGAAGGGATAACTAACTCCAAATCCACACAGAATTCTAACACTATAAACTCTATCTCTGATAGTCAGAAAGAAAATGTTCCAGTTACCAAAGAGAATGACCCGAAACCGAATTCTCAGCAACCAGATTTCTCTGATGAGGAATTCGTTGTAAGTTCAATTGTGTCCCTCTGATTTATCTCTCATTTTGATATTTTGGAGAATGCTTTTACAGAGGTTGATCTCGAAGGGGATAACGAATAAGCTTTCGTATAGGTGTGCTTGTAACGACAGAAGGCAAGAGTCAGGCAACAGATCATTTATTAAGGAAATCAACGCATATTTATATATTTTCATGTACATTACTATGGATATTTAAGCAAACAAACACAGTCTTCCGATTGGTTGTTTCTCACGTAAAGTTAATCTTTCATCTATTTGTGACTGTTTCTTGAATGTCAAATCCTCTATATGTTAACTGCATCCGCCTACGCAAAGTCAATCTTTGTTCACATTTTCTCACGACAAATCTTGGGAACGTAAATATTGACGTAAATTACTGTCTACCAATTTGGCTAGTAGACAGCTCTCACCACATGCTTAATAATAATTGGATCAGAACTTAACCTCTAAATTATACGACGATCAACGGGATATTTTTTAATTAAGTTGCTTTGTCCACTGTTTTATTCTAATGTCACTTATCGAGGGTGAACCACAGATGTCTAGTTTATCGTAGACGAAAATCCTACGTTACAGTCTTAAGAGTTCCAAATACATGTACACCGATTTCGTTTTTTAACAGTAATCATATGCCTGTTTCCTTTTTACATCACGCTTAATTTCTGCATCACTTTTTCTGCGTTTAATTGGTAAGTTACTACATTTTTATATGGGTTATAGCTTTCCCTAGACCAAACAGCGATGATACTATCTAAGTCAACTTTATTTGATGAAGGAACATTAGGTACTCTGCTAATTCACTGTCATACCACGACTGATCGATCTACTCCACTCCTTGACCTCAGTTATCACACCGTTTGGAAGGATCATTGATTCAAAAGTCTTGAAATTTGTATGCATCAGCTGCATATATTTGAAAAAATACTGTTTAAAAAAAATCTTTATTGATGAACGACGTAAATAAATCTTATTATTTGTCCTGCAACTTTTATAATGATGTAATTACTTTTACACTTATTTTGTTCTCAGGCAGATGAAAAAGCATTTGAAGAAGCTGAAGATGACGAAGAAACTATAGAGCAAGAGGAAAAAATAGCTATGGAGGGACGTCATATCTCTGGGATGTCTCCAACTGTTGAACTTGCGCAATTGGAGGCTGAAGCTGATTGCCCTTTAGAAGATCTTTTGCCTCCAGGTTACCTTGAATTCCTTGAATCATGTTCTGCTAATAAAGAGTGTCTTTCAGACAATGAAGTAAGTTTCTTTTTAATGGTAAATACTTAATCTTCATTTGTACTCAGTAGTAAAATTAGAATTTGATGATCTACGGTATTGGTTATTTGTTTAGATTGAGTTTTCTTGAAGACAATAGCGTAATAAGTCATTTATCATTTATAAGTACCTTTCAAAAGTAATATAATTGTCTTCAGAATTCATTCATATGTTTATTCGGTTTATCATTCCATATTATGTAAAAAAAATCGCATAGTTTTTATTGCCCTACATCCTCAGGATTTTGCAAGTTGAACGAGAAACATTTATCTCTGTGTAATGATATTTGTGTGATATTATTTACACTGTTATACATCCTTATGGTGCAGTTCATCAAAGGAGATCCATAGATACTGTAACAGCAGAAGACAAGGGCCAGGCAACAGATCGTTTATTAAGGAAAATCAACACATATTTATAGATTTTAATGTACATTATTGTAGATTATTGTTAGTAGAAAATACAGTCTTTTGATTGGTTGTTCCTCACAGAAAGTTAACCTTGCATCTCTTTGTGGCTGTGTCAGATCATCCATATGCTAATTGTATCCGCCTACGCAAAGCCTTTGTTCTCATTTTCTCACCACCAATATTGAGGACATAAACATTGACGTCAATTACTGTCTACCAACTTTGGCTAGCAGCCAGCTCTCACCACAATACTATGCCTCTTACTTGTTTTGTTCTTTTGCCTTTTTATTGGTATAGTTGAAAGATAGTAAAGAAGCAGCAGAAGAAGAAAGTGAAGGAACTAACAATAAATGTGAAGTAACTACATGTTCTAGTGAAACGCTTAATGACTGTCAGCTTTCAGAGGAAAATAGGGAGATTAAGAATGAGGTTAATACCTGCGTTTCAGAAACAAGTTTGCCAGTCGAAGAAACAGGAGATATTACTCCTCACCATAAAAACGAGCTTGATGATGAAGAATACTCTAGCACCTCAGACGTGGAATCAAACTCACAGTCGTCCGTATCATCTGAGAGCAATGAGAATACTGATGATGAAACGGAACAAGAAAATTCAGATGCTGAAGAATCTTCTTCGTTGAAAAGTGATTCTGAAGTATCTCTAAGAGAACTCGTGGATCATGAGGCAAATGATAAAGTGGAAGAAACTGTAAACGATGTCAATGTGAATGTTACTGGCAGCAACTCTTCAGAGACACAGCAGTCATCTTGCCAAACACTGCCTGGTGGAGAAAATATCGAGGTAATCATTCAACAGTTGTGATTTGCTCCTGATTTTTCCCTGTTTTATCAAATGAGATTTCTCGTAATATATGGATTCCGTTTGCTTTTTGGATGTTTAGCCTGTTTCTTGGTACTGAAATGAATATATACCATATCTGTTAAAATCATGCACTGACAATTCTTAAGGTGTGTATTAGTAATTCATACAACATTATAGTATTAGAGTAAAACAACAGTACACATTGACAGTCCAACATGATGGTAATTGGCTTGTGCTTGTGTGTACATTTACCTGCAGACCAACAACACAGGTGGGTTAGATATAACACAGATGCATTTTATAGACATTGGTTCGTATCAAATGGTAAACGTGCTGGAATTAATTCACTACACACATCGCTTTCTACGTCATATTTATGCTAGACTTTAAAAACAGTTGTCAATTTTCCTAGGTAATTTTTTACTTTTAGGGTAACATTTCATGCCATGTTTCACTACCGGCTTTTGATTCAAATACTTTTGAATACCTTTTCAATATTTCTGTCTCTACGTACTATGAAACTCTACTTTGCTTGTTCTCTTTTTTTAGTCTATCACCAAAGAAGCTGTGAATGCCTCGTCAGAAGCAGGTCTAACAACTATATCCTCCCCATTCCTTCTGTCTGGAGGGACTCTTAGAGAATACCAAACAGTTGGTTTATCGTGGCTGGTTGCTATTTATGATAAGCGCCTAAACGGAATTCTCGCAGATGAAATGGGTTTAGGTAAAACTATCCAAACAATTTCACTACTGGCGTATCTTGCCTGCGAAAGAGGTGTATGGGGTCCACATTTAATAGTCGTTCCAACAAGTGTTATCCTTAATTGGGAAGTGGAGTTCAAACGATGGTGTCCAGCTTTCAAAATACTGACCTACTATGGTAGCATAAAAGAAAGAAAACTTAAGAGAACGGTTAGTTTGTAACATTTATATAAGCTCAGACATTTAAATGTTATGATATTTAGAAATTTCAAAAAGTACCAATTTTTCGATTTTGTTTTTAGGGTTGGACTAAAACAAACGCATTTCATATTTGTATAACATCTTACAGTTTGGCAATCCAGGATGCAGGCGTTTTCAAGCGTAAAAAGTGGAAATATCTCATATTAGACGAGGTAATTAGTGTAACTTTCAAATAACCTAATTTGCTTCATATGTTGTACCGTAACTATATGCATGTTAATCTACTGGACTCTGTCTGATGATACTTTGTTTAGTGCTTAGTTTCCATTTCTTCTGCATGAACTTATGCTTACGAGAAAGGCATATAGGCCATTCCTATACTGCTGTTCATTGTCACTATACATGGTACTATTTGCTTGATGGTGACTAGCAGTAGGGCGTGCCTTTCGTCCTGTCTGAGACTCTTCAACTAAATGTTCTTGAACACTAGTGAGTGGTGGTGTTCCCACTGGGAGTTGAGGCTAATCCTTATCACTTCAAATTTTGAAGCGTTATCCTCTAGGCTACTGAACCATGATATAATTTATTACATATTTTGTTGTAATAAAGGTGTAGCTTATGAGCTTGAATTTTCAAGTTTTTGAAAATGGTTCCTCAATTGTGTTCGTTCTTTACTTGCTTTGAATCTGGAAATGGGAATGTATTACACGATTTCACATAGTTAATCTGGCTCCAATCGTCGTACGAACATATAATGAGTTTGCTAAAATACATTGATTTATAAAAAATTCCCATGCAGTTTGAGTTTTAAATGCTGTATGTACTCTAACTGTTCGTAGCTGATAGCGAGTCCTACGATATCTGTCAAACGTGTTTGGTTGAGAAGGTAAGTGAATTGAAGGTAGAACTTATTTTGTAATTCGTCGGGGTGTAAGCAAAGATGCCGTAACTGCAATTTGTCTGGCCAGTTGTTTCCTATTCTAACATAACTGTCTAATCTAACACTACACAAATGGGTGTTAATAGGGAGTCATTGGAGCAATGCAGTTTTTTCACTAGCTTTGAATGTGACACTGACACCAACTAGACCGGACTCTGATGCTACAAGGCATGTTGATAAGCGCACGTAAAACGCACTACTTGAAGCAACAGATAGTAGAGTCATTCGAGCCACGTTAGTGGGACTTTGTATATGGATCTTGGGTAGGTAGGTTAAGTCAAGAACGAAGCGCTTCAGGGTTTTTGGCATATCTGCCTGTTGTCTAATTTGCGATATCGTGTCGAAATAAACATGTTATTGCATTGATGATTAGCTTTCCTGAAGTAATTATCTTGGGACACAGAACAGCACAGGTAGACTGTGATTTCAAACAGTAACAACTAGTTAACAAGAATGAAAGTAATAAAAAGTGTAAAGATGATAAAAATAAAACAAGATAAGAGTAACAGTGACATTATAATGATGTAGAATTGAATAAATATACGGTCCACGCACCAGCAAGTTCGGTGGGCTGCAAAGTGTGGAGTTGGTTAGAGCATTTTACTAGATTGTCGTTTCAATAATGTCTATGTGGATGTTAAGAGAATGCTCGATGCCCAAATCAAATCATCCCAGAGTCTGACTTGATTTGTAATCCATTAGATAGCAGATAACGTCAGCAGCTACGTCGTCATCATTGTCGATGCTCAAAGCAGGTCCATATGCCATTCATTCCTCTCTGATCCTGGAGTCTTTGTACCTCTGTAACAACAGAAGACAAGGACCGGGCAACAGATCGTTTATTAAGGAAATCAACACATTTTTTTATATTTTCATGTACACTATTATAGATTAGTTAAGCGAACTAACACAGTCTTCTGATTGGTTGTTTCTGACTGAAAGTTAATCTTTCATCTCTTTGTAGCTGTTTCTTGAATGTCAGATCATCTATATGCTAACTGCATCCGCCTACGCAAACTCTGTTGTGGTTGATTGTTGAATCAGTCTTTGTTCATATTTTCTCACGACCAATATTGAGGAGGTAAACATTGACGTAAATTACTATCTACCGATTTGGCTAGCAGCCCGCTCTCACCACACCTCCTAGGCTAGAAATCAGGTTTCCCAAACTCCCCTAGGTGGACCCTCTTTGTCCTTCATACCGGTAATGAGCACCAGACATTTTTACTCCTCTTCCATCTTTGTTAGGATACCCCACACTGCGTAAATACCATAGATAGAACTTGCCTAATAGAAGCTATAAGAGAGCGTAACGAAGAGAAGGTTGGTATCTACCAAATCATTTATGTGGTGTGGGTGCCTACTGGAAAAGTAATTTTAGAAAATATATATTACTTGGACTCATTTTATCAAGTACCATGTCACCGCTTATTTTTCTTTTTCGAATTTGACCACTGATCGATGTCAGTTAGAGAACCATTGAAAACCATCAGGGAGTACTGAACAGCTGTTTCATCCTAGTTTGGGAATCATCAACAGTACGCCGATTGATTTTTAATCTAATGCTCGCTAGTCTCTTGTTACATAACGAACTTTCCTGGAGTCCTAGTGCGAAGTCGTGACCATTGAGGTCCATCCAGTCGGGATGCGAGGACGGATTTCCCGCCGATGACATTGGTTGGTGGTAGCGCTATGATCACGAATTGGTAGAAGTTAGAATTCATGGGCCATTGAATTGGGTCCCAGTGGTTGAATGGTATGCGAGCTTGCCTTGTAACCGGGAGGTTCTGGGTTCGAACCCTGGCGGTGGGTACGTACTATCGGTGATTCCCAAACTATACGATGAAACAGCTGTCCAGTACTCCCTGATTGTTTTCAATGGTTCTGTAACTGACATCAATCCGTGGTCAAATTTGAAAAATTTGAAAATTTAAATCCTTACAAATCAATCCTTGAAAATATTTTTATTCTGTCTCCATCTCTCCTGTTATCCGAGAGTTATTAAATATGGACGGCGGCTTTTCTAAATCTCCATTACCAGGAACGGATTTTTTATGTGCCACGCTATAGCCACATTAATCGTGTGAGAACTAGTGGTACTACCCAGTTGCGCAGACTGAAGTGGGTGGAGCGGGACTCGAACCAGTGGTCCATCCGCTGAAAACCGAGGGCTGAGGCCAGTGCGGTTTTAGGCTCATATATACTGGAAACTTTTCGTTGTTATAATTTATTTCAGCTTTTGAAATCATTCTTTTTGTTTCAAACAATTCTATTATCCATACTTTCCGGTTTTTCATAAATGTTGTGTGTAGGCTCAAAATATTAAAAACTTCAAGTCTCAGCGGTGGCAAACTCTGCTTACCTTTAACAGTCAGCGACGTTTACTTCTTACTGGTACCCCACTACAAAATTCACTGATGGAACTTTGGTCTCTAATGCATTTTCTGATGCCAAATATTTTCCAGTCACATCGGGATTTCCAAGAGTGGTTCGCTTCACCTATCACAGGCAAGTTATATTTCAGTAGTCACAGTTTTTAACACTATGCACCCACTGACTCCACGCAACTAGTATAATACCGAAACCCCAAGTATATTGACACGGATCTTGATTTCGGATAGTTAGGTGAAATTTGTACCCATTGCGTAATTATTTCAGTCAGGTTTTCATATTTTGATTAAAAGTTATTATAAATTAACTGACACTTTAATTCATACCATAAGGAGATGAAGAAAGTAAGCACTAGCTGTTAATGAGATTTTTAAGATTATGCGTACATATAAGCCGTGGTGATTCACATTAGGTGAAAGGGAATATGCTTGAACGTTAAAGTTGTTTATTTCGATATAGTGTACCAGTCTGCTTAGTGTTTGGTTCTTCATGTAGTCTTCATGATGCTAGTGAGTGATTTGAAACTTTCTAAACTGGTTCTGGATTAATCATTAAAGGGTGGATAATCGTTTTTAGCGAGCAATGAAAAGTCTATAATTTGTTTGTATCTTCACGTTCAAGTAGTTCCATCTTCAGTAATACCATGCTCTTTATAAGTATATAGTATTTCTGAGTACAAGTACCAAGACACTGTTTGTAGCTTTTTTGGTATATGCTACATATGATAAATATGATGTATCCAAATACAAGTCGAGATGGAAGCTCACTCTTTTATGCTAATGAAACATGTTCATTGAAACTAAAAGACCTAAGGAGTCCACAGAACCGTTTATAAATCCAGTGAGCTAAATAGGCTTAAAGGTTCAATTGTTAAGATACTTTCTTTTTTTCCCCACATAGGAATGATTGAAGGAAATACTGATCATAATGATCTACTTGTTCAAAGGTTGCATAAAGTTCTGCGTCCATTTTTACTGCGGCGTCTTAAAGCTGATGTTGAGCGTCAGCTTCCCAAGAAGTATGAACATGTTATCATGTGCAGACTATCACGAAGACAACGTTTTTTATACGATGATTTTATGTCTCTTGGCAGGTAAGTTGCATTGTTCGGCTTTTATCTAATTCATTGATTTTCTGTAAATTCCAGTAGGCTCGTGTTAAGGCCAGTTAACCCTTTAGTGAAGTCAGTAACAGCAATGTTTTTTCATATGTTTAGGTGTTCCATGAATTTTTATTTTCTGCACTACAGGGGACATTAATATTTACTCCTTAGGCTATCACATGATCTATCTTTGAAAAATGGCAATGTCACGATTGTTTTGTAATTATCGCCTAAATTTCAAACTGAAAACGATCTGTTATAAGAGTACAATTCATTTTCTTGGTTTATTTTAAATAAATGTCAATTGTTTTACTTCGTTAGTACACATAAACATATTTTAAAATTTAAACTTTCTAGTCACTAACATTTATTTTCCTAAGTCAACTATATAGGCTCAAAATGTCTTAGAATAGCAAGGTTAAAATAAAACTGTTTTTTCAAGTCTTCATGGTACAATTTCTTTGTGTTTTTTTGTTATTTGAAGCCTTTATAAATTCATTTTTCAGTACTCAAGAAACACTTAAGTCGGGTCAATTTCTCTCAGTTATGAATATACTTATGCAACTACGTAAAGTTTGCAACCATCCAAATCTGTTTGAAACCAGACCAATCATATCACCCTTTCGAGTCGCCGATTCATATGTTACCTATTCTCTACCAAGGTTACTGGTTTCTATAAGTCATCCTTTCTTGGTGTTTGCTCCAAGTTCGAATGGCGGTCAAAGTGTGATTGGGTCAGCCTCTGCTTTTACTGAGCCTGATCTAGACTGGTTGGATGTTGCAGGATCAGTTGCTCGCCTTTTGGGACAAACAATGAATTTAGTCGAAATGGCTCGGGATTTACCCGGGTTTGTTGCCAATCGCTGTCATCAGTTATGTGCGAAGAAGGAGTTGATTACTGTTATTGACTCAAATGACGTAGTAGATGATGGTGAGTTGTTAGATATCTTATTCACATAAAGTTCGATAGTTTTTTTCGTTCAATGGAATGTCTTTCAGTTTTGTTTGAGAGTTTGTAGTCATTCTAAAGTTCAGATTTTTGCAAACTTCAACATGCACTAGTTTTCTTTTTTTGATTTTGCTGTTGATGATAAAGTGGTGATATCTCAGGTTCGCATATCGTGTAACAACACACTTTAATGAATCCCTAATGGATAAGATTTTATTTTGATAAATCACACAGTGTTGTACAGTTATATTAACTGATGACGTTTCGAGCACAAACTATTGCTCATCAGTTAATATGACTGTACAACACTGTGTGATTTATCAAAATAAAATCTTATCTATTATGGAGTTATACTCTACCACAGTCCCCAAGTTTTATACTTATATCAACACTTTAATGAACTTTAACTTCAATAAAGTTAAGGCGATTGTTGTTCCGTAAATGTAAAGCAGTAAATTTAGTAAACGCGGAGTAATTTCATAAATATGTATATATATATATACGCACGCATAATTTCAGGAATTCGCTAATTTTGATTGCTAGTTCAAAGTGTTTTTATTTTTGAGATGGTTCTTATTTATAAAAAGCAATGCAGCTCGGCGACCATTTACGTAGTTGTATATCAATCACTTATCATTTATGTTGTGTTCTCTTTGTTGCTGTCCACATATTAAAGTACAGATATTTAACTTTGTGAGCAGATATTTTGGTATTTACTTTTGATACTCTTCTTATTTTATTCCTTCACGTGCCGAGTAGAACATTGGGGTTTCAAGCTTTGAGGTCTGAAGTTTCGATGGCAGCGTTGTTTAAAATTTTTTACGGGTAATGCTTGCTAGCCTCACACCCAACATTACCTCTTTGCCGGCCTTGCTACCAGCTTAGCGAACTCCAGACCACTTGCGTGTTTGGTGGGCGTGAACTACCGAAACACTCTTCTTAATGTTCTAGAATTTACATTTGCTTCAAAAAGTTTCTAAAATTTATTCTGTTAAGTGGGAAGCGATGTAGTCTTATGGACTTGCGTCTCTAACATCTTTCAGATCAGTGTAGTGACGCTGTTGTGGTATAGAGTACAACGTATTCTATTCAGTCGTTTGTTGTAATAGTAATCTATTGATAAAATTTTATTTTACTGATTGAATACTCAATGCAACACACAAGCATCTAATTGTTTTGTATCTTTCATAATTCTTTTTCTGTTTGTTTTCTAGTCATTTCTCTACGTGTAAAATTTAACTCATTGAAAAAGTCACATAAATCTCTTGATGAATATACAAATAAATCGCCGCTATTTGATTTAAATTGTATGGACCTCGATCGCGGTAAGTACGAAATACTCATATGTTATGAAATGATTAATAAGTTCATTTAGTTTTACCATAGAAACTATTGCCTTCTTTCTTATGGCGCATACATGTAACAATATTTAGGACTTAGCACTGCCTGCTGCATTAGATTAGGTGAGGCTGGATTTCACAACCGTAGAGCATCAAACCCTTATAATTATCACTGGTATTCAAAATAACTACACAACTATACCAGAGGGGTGAACCAGATTTCCACCACCACCACACCTTCTTCAGAGCTACTTCTAGAGTGTCTACGAAAGTACAGCTAAAAATTATTCGGATTTGGGTCACTTTATCTAACTCAACTGTTGATTTTAAAATGTTGATAGGTGAATGCTTGCCCTAGTTGTACTTGTGAAGTTTAGTGTATTGTGCTTGAAGTACTTTTGGGCAGAGAACGTTGCCTTCAAAAGTATTTCTCCAGACATCCCAGGCATTATGTGAGGTTAGCTAACACCGGGATTCTTGTTTTTAATGGCTTACATAAATTGAAATACCATTTATCTATTGTTAGTTAGAGTGACTACTATAAACTTACTCCTACATTTTGACCACCGGACCTCGTCCTTGTGGTGTGCTTTGTTTAATTTTATGCATAAGAGTCTTACGATAAGTATTCACTGTTTATCCGCAGGAATAAAGCAATAGTTGTGTTGATCTCCATAAATGCAACAACAAATACACTAAATTATAATTGGAATCTAAACAAGGATTCATACTATTGTTAGCTGATTGTAGCTCATTTTATTCCAAACCTGAGTGTCAGAGATGACACCAGATAACAGATTAGCTATGGATATGTTAGGTGTATCCGTTTCTCATCAGAATAAAATCGCTTGCTTGAACTGCAACTATCCTGTATCCATGGTCTAATCAGATTGACACTTCTGAGTCGAAAACTCCAATCTGCTCATCCAAATTCCCAGCTAGCACTACCATTTGCCAAATACATTTAGTTTGGGTTTTTTATTTGTTGTTAGGACTTGTCATTAGTTATGTTCGGGTTTAGATTTATCGTTGCGCGGGGTAAGATGACAGAGAAGCTTAGCTTCTAGAATGAGTTATTTCTTACTTTAGTTGAACTGTGTTGCTTAAATGCATGTATACAGGCTTGTCACTGGGATCCCAGTCAAGTAATCCGTCATTGGCTTTACCACTTAGTGAGATGTTGGCATCAGTCAGGCTGAACTCTGATATTATAGTTGCTCAGAATTATTATACATGAAATGTGTTTGAAGAGCCTTCAAATAGAGTTATTTGAGGGATGTCATTGGATTCTTCTGAGCAGATCCCAGGGATGCAGCATACATCAATAGGGACGTTTTTTATATTTCTCAGCAAAAAGTAGAACATAGACAGTGCGTACCGTATGGTTTTATCACCGTTGTTATGTATCTAAAAAACAATTATGCACCAGTTTCTACGAGTGCGTTGAAGGGAAAACTTATTAGAATTGCTAGTTTCAATTAAGTGCGATTGTGGAATTCAATATTATATATTTTTCAATAAATTATGATTTCATTAAGTCACTATACGCTTCGAGGTGCTAATGTTTTTTTTTCATGAATCTTTGCGTTTGTTTGCCGATCATCAAAATGCCTATACATGTTTAGTTGTCCCATAGTGGATTCTGATCAATGAACCACAAAAGAATTCTTTAATTCTTAATAGACTAAACAGTGTGACGAAAGTCAATGAAATTTGTGAAGACATCGATAAACTTACCGTATTATTTTCAAAATATAAGTAATGTACTGAATACGGGTATAATAGTCACTTTCTCGTATATCACTGTCACACCGATAAAAGATTGGGTAAAATCTTGGATTTATTTAATGTAATCGTTTCAGAAATTTAAAACAATTAGTCCCTTTTATAAATTTCGATAGTGTTATTAGAAGACGGGGATTATCTGAAAAGTGTGATGTATTTGAGCAACACTTTTCGAACATTTACTTGTCAGGTCAATTTATATGAAGAAAAAATAAAGGGCAATTTAAGTACACAAAGTGATAAAAAGGATTTGAGAATAATAAGAATAATTAACACTACGTTTAGTTATATAATGAGATAAGGATTACCAAGGTAGGTTAAGAGTAATAATAAATTGCTTTTGTAAACTCAAGTCTCTCCCCCTTGTGTGTACAAAAGCAGTTTATTATTACTCTTAACCTACCTTGGTAATCCTTATCTCATTATATAACTAAACGTAGTGTTAATTATTCTTATTATTCTCAAATCCTTTTTATCACTTTGTGTATTTAAATTGCCCTTTATTTTTGCTTCATATACATTGACTTGACAAGTAAATGTGTGATCAGACTGTTCGAAATGTATTGCTCAAATACATCACATTTTTCAGATAATCTCCGTCTTCTAATAACACTATCTAATGTAATCGTGTTTTAGGGGTGAATCTACTCGTATGTAGTTGCATAGTTGTTGTCATTTAAACCGAGAACTGCTTTACTCATCGTGCTTCATCATCTTGTTTTAAGTGACTGGTATACTTCCTCAGAACCTGATCAGAGAAAAATTCCTTTTCTTTAAAATGGTGTATCAACCATCAAGATTTTGTAAATCATTTGATGCTACAATTTAGTTTTCCTTTAGAGGTTATTCACACAGCATAGTATGTTGTGGTGAACAGCTTTCACTGCTGTTTTTTTACATTTTAATTATAAACTTAAAGTTTGTACTGAAACGATTTATTCAGTCTTTACTGTGATCTTAAACTCAGTAATTCGTTGACCTGCTACAGTGCTTTTTTTCTAGCTTTCTTAACTTTTATTGATATTTTTTAAATTTTATTCACCACTTGTTTTTACTTTATTTGTATTATTCGGTGTGTATGTCTACGCACAGATTTGTCCTAAAATACGGGTACGAATGTTATGAAATGAAAATCACCTGTTTTTTTGTGAATCACAATTTCTAAAAAAGCTTGTTTCTTGTTGTGTATGACGTGACTGTGCTGATACAAATAGTGACAAATTTGTAATCCACTCTACTACTGTTAAACGTTCATCGCCTACTTTATACACTTATCATTGATATGATTATTTCAAATCTAATTGGTCTGTCACCTTATTCAGTAACTATCTTTCATGTAACAGAATAATGAAAAGGGAAACAAAATAAAACTCAGTGTACTGTATTCTGTTGCTTTAGTGAATTCGATTGAATATTTATTCACTTCATTAAATTGTATTTCCTTCCGCTTCAATTTTTGTTTAGATGACGAACACTATCCTGGTCACTCATCAGCGGTTACACGTGCACCTAATATGATTCAAGGTATGATTCATTGAAATAATCTTCAAATCCTCTTCATGTTATGTTAACTTTTACCTAGATACTCTGTCCACTTATGAGATGATATTATTGTAGACAGTACTATTCACTAGAGGGGAAGAAGCAGAACATTTATTGGAGAAATTAAGTGATATAGGTGTAGTATTAAGTCAATGACTCTGTTATGAAAGTGAATTCTTGAAAAGTGTTGAAGTCCTATATGTAAAGTCTTTCCAAATTGAAAGATAGTGCTATACATATATATATATATATCAACAAAATCTTTTTGGGATAATGGTATTGAAATATTGAAATTTGTAAAAGAATGATTAGGGTTGAGGGAAGAAAACAGTGCAATCAAATTACAGAAAACAAAAAATCACTTATCTGGTGTTAAGACAGATTAGATCCATTGTAGACTGAGTGACTGAACAAATGCCTTCTGTACGGAGAGTTCGGGATTTAACATGTGAATTGCCATTGTTTCTGCGGTGTGAAGAAGTCTGATTTGTGCTCCTTTAGCACGATCCCCGCGTATTCTGTAGAAGTTGCTTTGATGGTTAGCTTCCTGTCCAGATTCAATCAAGTGTTCAATGATACCTTTGGATAGCAAACGCTTAATACTGTGGACATACTTAGCTCCACAGAAACAGGTCAACTGATAGATAAGTACTAATGAGGCCAGCAGTGGTAGCCTATTCTTCACGTCCATGCGAATGATTGGTTTTGTGAAGGTATTCGAAGTTCAGTCGCGTTTTTCCTCAATGAGCGGGGCAGGTGGTTTTTCAGTATTTCTGCTGATGGGTTTCCAGTGAATAGTAGATTCAAGTATAGAAGTCATTTAAGAGCAGGTGTTGGTCGTTTTAGTGGTTTAGGCTTCATGGATGTTGTGATGAAAGTTCTGTAACCATTTTCAAGGAGTATTGTTTTCAAAGTATTCAGATCCTCTCCCATAGAGTCAGGGCTGCAAATGCTGCGGATTATATAGTTCAATGAACGGACCAGGTTTCGCTTTGTAAATAGAGGCACCCAACTATGGAAGTCAGTGAGTTATCCGTTCCATGTCAGCTTTATGTTACATCTTGGTCACATCTTGTTAGTTGGACGCCCAGAAAAGATATTTTTGAGTCGAATTCCTCTTATATGAAGTGAATTGCATGGTTGCAGCTGTTGTAAAAATCCACTGCCTTCAAAATTCTCTTGGTTAGTCAAGATAATGAAAGTATCATCCACTTTTCTCATGTAAAACCCAAGAGTATCAGTCATTTTCTTGGAGTATGGGTTTTCGAGTTTCGACATGAAGAAATCTACAAGCAACACGCCTAGTGGTGGGCCCATTGGTATACCATCCTTTTGTCGATATATTTCATTATTAAAAGAGAATTGGAAGTTAAGGGTGTATCTTAGCAAGAGTTCCTTCAAATAATCATTAGGTATTCCAGTGTTTATTCCCTCTGAATCAATATGTTCGTAAACAGTGACACCACATCTAGTGAGAACATGGTTCGATTATAAACATTGACGTTTCCAATGGAGTTGATAAAGTCAAAGGAATTTCGGAGTGAGTGGTAGGGAACTTGCCTTTTGATTGGTTCTAGTAGGTCTACTAAACGTTAGGCAGTGTAATGATAAGGTGAATTCGTCATGTCGAGAATAGATCGAAGAGGTGTGCCTCTTTTGTGTACTCCTGGAAATCCGTAGAGTCGGATTATATTTGAGCCAGATGGTCTCAGGGATCGGAATATTTCGGCACCAATGAATGATTCAGTTTTCTAGTGATATCCGTTGGTTTTTGTTCGGGCTGCTTTATCATATCCTTTTCACTGACCGGTTTTGTGAGTTTGGATTCGTCAGATAGGATAGTTAGCATTTTGCTGATATAGTGCTCGCGGTTCATGATTACGATTCCCCCACCTTTTAAGGTGTATCAGCATAATCTCTGTGTTGTTCATCAATTCCTTCAGCTCTTTGTGTTTTTTTGTGGTTAATATGGACCCTCAGTCTGGCTTGGGATTTATAAACTTGTGACAACTGTCAAGGACTGGTGATCTGAGCTGTTGTAGGTTCTCTTCAAATGTTGTTACCAAATCATAAGTTTGATAATATCAGGTTTTCTAACTGAACTTGGTTTTGAAGCTTCTGGGTGTTTTATGGGTTTGCGCAGAATTTCGGACCTTGAGGTAATGCCTCTAGTTGGATTGTTGACGGTTCGATGTTTGGAAGATTAAATACATTTTTTTTTCTGGACTGCTTGGGGATGAACGTCCACTAGTTTCCCTGTAACTTCTTGGACGTATATCTATTTATCTGTGACATTTGGTAACCATCTTTCAAAAAGGGAAACAAGATAAAACTCAGTATACTCTATTCTGTTGCTTTATCGAATTCGACTTCATTAAATTGTATTTCCCTCCGCTTTAATTTTCGTTTAGATGACGAACAGTATCCTGGTCACTCATCAGTGGTTACACGTGCACCTACTATGATTCAAGGTATGATTCATTGAAATAATCTTCAAATCCTCTTCATGTTATGTTAATTGAGTGTGGGCGGTTGTTACTTCCCGGCTGCCCACACCGTGGAAGTTGATTGATTCTTCGGGAACCTGAAACAGAAAGAGTGTGCGTGACCGCAGAGCCCAGGGGACAACTGCTTGAGGCCGGTCACACGCGCCTGTTTTTGTTTGTTCTTTTTTTGTTTAATTTTACCTAGATACTCTATCCACTTATAAAATGATATTATTGTAGACAGTACTATTCACTAGAGGGGAAGAAGCAGAACATTTATTGGAGAAATTAAGTAATATAGGTGTAGTATTGAGTCAATGACTCTGTTATGAAAGTGAATTCTTGAAAAGTGTTGAGGTCCTATGTGTACAACAGTTATGAATTAGAACATAGTGCTTTATATGTATATCAACAAAAGCTTTTCAGGATAATGATCTGCTAATTTTAGAATTCATAATATAGAATGATTAACAGTGCATTTTAAAAGTCTTCATTCACTTTCTAATTTTAGTATTTTTACCTGAATTGTTACCCAAAAGTTTTAAATTGGTTAATTAATTTCATCTTTATTTAATTTTTGTTATTTTTTTGTACTTTTTACAAATAGCTGACTTTCCGAAGAATTCATGGGATATTGGCATGCCAAAATCTTGTCTACGTCATCGTTATGTTGAAAGACAAAATAGATTGCTTTTAATGAATCGAATTAATGAACGTCGTTGTAACACGATATTCACTTCACAGTCAAATGATATTGGAAATTATTGGGATCATGGAACTCATATAGGACCAGATGTTGTTTTTCACATCACTCGTTTACTGCGTGAAAAACCTCTTGAATATAGTAACAAACGTTCTCGGACATATCCAGGTCTTATAAGTGGTACAACCAATTGTTATGAGAGCTTGTATACTTGGCCGAGTCAAAATTGTTCATTTGTTAGTGACGACATTTCGAGAGTTGATGAAGCGTCTTGTTTTGAAATCACTTCCCGATTAATAGTCCCAATATCCTCAAAATCCACTAATTCTGAAGGGGCACTTATGTCTTACGTATCCAAGCCTCTTCGAAAAATGCTGCACAGTCCTTATGATTATTTAAATGATCTGCATGAAATTCTGAAAAGGTAGGTATAAGAAGTATTTTTGCAGATTTATATTGGTGAAAAGTTAAAAATATCGCTTTCATTATTAAACTAATGATGGCCCTCTGAATATTTATATAGCCATCGTTCACAATTTAATCCTCTCTTCCCTTAGTTGAAATTTCTGCTTCCAACCAAATGATGATCGAAAAGTGTATTAGTTGTGGAATTTCTTAATGGAATCACAACAAATCGATTTGAATTTTCAAAAGAATGGTTACCGAACAAATAATATTCTCTTCGATAACTTCATCATCAGCTTTTACAGTTACATATTCATAGTGAATAAATAAGTGTTAATAACAACATTAATGTCGGTTAAATAACATCGAATCAATAATATTAATACCAATGGGTCAACATAACAATACACTGAATATCAGACAGGGAAATTAGGAGAAATAATAATACTGCTTCATCAGTTTATAGTCTCCACTGAAGGCCAGGGCAGTAGTAGTGACTGGCTGCACTTGCTTCTTCTACACACAGACCACCGGTTATTTAAGGCGAATCGCGATAGCCTCTGCCGCTTAGAGTTTGCGGTACCTGGATGTTTTTGGTAATTTGTTTGGTACTCGATAGATGATGGAGAAGGACTCTTCAATATTAACTTTGTGGCCGGTCACTTTGAACCAGGTGTTCTAATATCGAGCTGTTGATGCTTCTCACTACCCCTTTATTTAACCGCACTGGTAGATATTCCCGAGTAAACACGAAAAATCAAGTTCCTAGAGCAACGGCCAATATAACTCACTCCACCACAAGCGCAGTTGAACTGACTAGTCTAGGTACTTCATCTTTCATTTGGGGAATCACCACCGATCGTGTGGAAAATAAGACTTGTATTTTGCCAGCACTAAAAGTTCCTTCAACTGATTTTGTTAATTTCTTCGTAATTATTTCGCTAGGTATATCAACCTTTGAATTGCAGTTGTATGTATAAAGGCTTCTTGTTTACGGATAGTGAATAGTCATTTAAACTATATATATATTCAGACAGTTAACCTGGGATTCTTTTGGGAAGCCGTGACCAGTAGGGTACAGCAGGTTGAAGATGAGGCAGTAACTCATCGAAGAAGACATTGCGAAATGGTCGCACTATGTCGTGAATTGGCCGAAGTTAGAATTCAAGGACCATTGGATCGGGTCCCAGTGGCTCAATGGTCTACGAGCTCGCCTTGTAACCAGAAGGTCCTGGGTTCGAATCCCGGTGGGCGCGTACTGCTGAAGAGTCCCAAACTAGGACGGAACAGTTGTCCAGTACTCCCAGCTGGTTTTCCAGTGGTTCTCTAACTGATGTCAGCTCATGATGAAATCCTCCATGCAATCAAACAAAATCCCTACAAAACCAATACTCGAGAATTAGATTACTTATAATAGACAGACAAATCAACGTGGAATGTTGTGAAGAAGTGTATCTCTTGTCTCTGCGGAATAAATATCTTAAAACGACCTTTACTAAAATTTATGGTTCCTGTATAATCTCGAAGACTGATTATTGAAAATTTCTAGTATTCAAATGCATGAAATCACTTATAATTCTCTGTATATTGACTCTTCTGATGTTCGCTTCCGACGCATACGCGTCTTTGTTTGTGGTGTAGGTCTACCGAAGAATGTTATAACAAGCTTATAATTCAAGGTAAAGGGTGTTGCATGTTTGTTTCTCTTTTCTTTTCCTGAATTTTGAGATATTTACTTGCAGTAAAACTTGGTGCGTCGGTGGCACAGCGGTTAGGACGCTCGCCGACCATGCACATGGTCCGGGGTTCGGTCCCCGGCCGGCGCACTCCTTTACCTCGCTAAGCCAGTAGTGAGACTGGTAAAGCGAAAAGGTTGGGAATGAGGCTAGCAACCCCATCCTGTAAAAACTAACACTGCTACAGAAATTTCAAGCCTCTAGCTTGGAGCCCTATGTTCCACTGGGAACGTGAAGGAAAAAAAGTAAAACTTGAGAATAATGTTGACTTTATAGCTTATTTGTTCTGCTAAATTAGCAAACTAAAAAGCAGAATTTGAAGTAATTGGTAAAATAGAGTGTGATTCAAATTTGATGATGTGCTCTTATTCGTTTACTTCGTTTTTCCGGCTTATTTTCAGTGAGATGACTGAGTTGTTTATAATTAATATTAAATATGTTAACTGTGCATTAAACTGTAATATGTTGTTTGATATATAGAAGAGTTAGCCGTATGATTTCTTTCCAAAAGGTTCGTTTTTGTAGTGCCTGCTGTTATATCATCGGGTTTTATGCTACAAGTGTCCAGTCATGCTTTGGAACACCAAGTTGTAAATCAAGAAAGTCGTATTCGAGATATGTTGTTAAACTCAGGTTGTTTACCCTCGTCATGTTTCCCAGTGAATTCATTTGATTATCAAAAATCTGCCAACCGTTTACCACCTCTCAGTCCTCAAATTTGGTTGATGCCATCAAAATTGCATCAGTTAGTCATGTCCTGTCGTATTCAGTTCCCTGATCCACGATTAATTCAGTACGATTGTGGTAAGTCTACTCACGTTTGTGTAATGTTTAATTTGCCTATTGTTTCTAGTCTGTTATTTGAAGCGCTTATTTTTCTTTGTTCAGTCTTGGTTCAAGTTGGCGGCCTGCTTAAAACTTGGGCTACCAAAGACTTCCATTTCTCTTTTCCATATATTTTCTCTCGTTCGGTTTGTTTTAATCGATTAAGATATGACCTCTGATGGTATTATCTACTCTTGTGTGCATTTAAAATGTTTACAGGCTTATGATTCTCAAGTTCTTACTAAACTTGAGGAATGGCGTGATTGTGGGTGGTAACGTGTTCCAATACATGAGATAACTGTTCCTCAGTTATGTCCTTGGGTATCAAAATGTACTTCTGAACTTCTTACAATTGGCTTTCAACTAGATGTCGTGGATTTCTTGAAGGAGACGAAACAGATATATCATAATGGAATGGTTTGCGCTTCAGCTCACAGACCATTGTGTCACAGAATATCCTGTCAATTAATATTTTACTTGAAGATACTGTACGAAGGAAAAATACCATGCAATAAACTCCTGAAAATTCTGTACATTTCATAAATACTGTTCAGAATAAAGATATTATTATTATTATTTACTGTTTGAAATAAATGCAAAGTGTCACTTTGATTCTTATTGTAACATAATATTTACTTCACTCTTCCATTAATAGTCTTGTTAAGTCTAAATTGAAGACCAACGTGTCAGTCAAGGTTTAAATAACAGAAGTGCAGAATGCTTTTTTCTTTTCATTATAAAGTGTCTTAGGTCATGATTTAGGACAACGGCAACCACATTGTTACCTTTTTGTCGGAAAGCTACTACGACGTATTTTTTACACCTAGTTATCACTTCGCAACTATCATATTGTCAGTCTGTATCTTATGTTTGTGTGTGTGAGAGAGAGAATATCGTGTTATGCATGTTCATAAAAGTATGGACCTTTTAGATACTCGATCATTCATGAATTCTAATGTCTTCTATTTTAAAACAGGAAAACTGCAACGATTAAATGGCATGTTACGTGAACTTAAGTCTGGCAATCATCGTGTCCTTATTTTTACTCAGATGGCAAGAATGTTAGATATTCTAGAGCAGTTTCTAGCTTATCATGGTCATCGTTATTTACGTTTGGACGGTACAACAAAAGTTGAACAGCGTCAAGTTTTAATGGAGCGCTTTAACCAGGATCCTCAAATTTTTGTTTTCATCTTGTCAACTCGTTCTGGTGGTTTAGGCATAAACCTAACAGGGGCTGACACAGTTATATTTTACGACTCAGATTGGAATCCAACAATGGATGCTCAAGCACAAGACAGGTAAATAAATGTCTACAAACTGCAGATTTGTTTCAACTTCGTACTGCGTTTCTAGAAAAAGACACTAGCACTTGGTGTCAGTAAATTGTATCGCTTTCTCATGTAGGATATCTATTTCCGATATTGTTTATTTAGTAGTTTTGTCGCTACTGATGTTTTCAGAGCTCATCAAAACTAGATTTTTCTATACAATTCTTGTTTCATGGGTGAAAAGATATTTAGGTGATAGGATTGGTCAGTTTATTTCTACTTTGTCAGTTTGCATCCGATTCCAACTTCAGTTAACAAGGTTTAGTAAACCGGGTATTTCCTCTCGGCTTTAACACGAAGCTTGATTTGTTATTGGATCCAAAAAACTGCATATGTTTGTTGTTATCCGTTGACAAACATTCGTTTGTGCTGCCCGCCAACAGTCACTCACTTCCTCCTGTGTTTATTGGGCTACACGATTATTTGTATCTTCAATGATAAAATAAACGTGGAACTATACAGACTGACCGTCGTTTTTGGAGGAAATGTATAATGTACACAGAGTGGTCATATCTATCAACCGTCGTATGTTTTGTATTTCATTTCGTCGACCTTTAAGGCTTAATCGTACTTCTACAATTCGACACGAAGGTTCACCTAGTTGAGGTTATCATTAAGCTATTTGGAGTAGCATAAATGGAGAGAGATTACTATTTAAGTATTGAGTAGTTTTTCAAAACGAAATGGATACCCAAGTTGCAGGTGTATTCGAACCCCCGAAACAAATTTTTATTTCATCAATAACTGCTACTTAGTAGCCTGTTCTTTATCAGTGCAACACTTTCCGGTATTAGGATGTGGACGTGTTCCGATGTCACCACTTTTATAATTTGCAAGACATTGAGTTGAAATAGGGACGCCGAGTTGGACACAGACTCACGAATACTACTTGACTATGACAACAATATTATACATCGGTTACCTATTTCCCCCAGCCCGCTCTATTTAAACGAGAACAAAAAACGATGGTAGACGGAAGGCATATTTTAGTATTATCAGCATATTTACAAAAGGAAGATAATCATATAAGGATAATCCATTTTTTATCTGTCCACATATCAGATCGATACAACAGATATATATCTGGTTTACATTTGCTAGTTATCTATAGAGTCATCTCAATTCAGGTATGCATGTAAATAAGCGAACATTTGCAACTAGCGTTGAATTCGCAGCTGTAGCAAATAAATTCCCAGTGTCTTGTATTGACATGGTAAACTCCATGTACATGCATTGGTATACTCTAAATTTTAGTTACAATCAGAGTCTTTTTCATAAACTTGGTTACGCGTTATGTCATTATCTTAATGCTGTTGTTACCAAACAATGCAGATTAATTAGAGAAGTCATTGTGAGATTAATTCTGTTAACAGTACTCATTATATTTGCCCATTACTGAAAACATCTACAAATCACTGTGTGAAAATAATATCACTTACCCATGAATTTGGAAAATCAATCACCAAAGAAGTGGAGCAAAGGAAACACTGGGCTGGACACTTCAAAAGACTTCTAGATCGACCGCCACCTACAACGCGCCCAACAATACCAACAACGGAAGCAAAATTACTAGTGAACATCAACCCCCCCCCCTGAAGGCAATCAAGATGCTGAAAGCTGGAAAACCAGAAGGACCAGATGGAATCCCAGCAGAAGCATTAAAAGTGGATCCAGAGACAACAGCGGACTTGATGACGCCACTACTGGAGAAGGTGTGGAAAGAGGGCAAGGTACTCGAGGATTGGAAGAAAGGATTCTTATTCAAACTGCCAAAGAAAGGAGACTTAATTCAATGCAAGAACTGGCGCGGAATTATGCTCCTGTCCATCCCAAGCAAAATACTTAACCGCATCATCCTGGAGAGAATCAAACAAGTCCTGGATGAAAAACTTTGACCGGGACAAGCTGGATTCAGGAGAAACAAGTCATGTATTGATCAAATTAACACACTACGGATCATCATTGAACAAAGCTTGGAATGGCAGTCACCTCTCTACCTCGCTCAACTTCATCGAGTTTGAAAAGCCCTACGACAGCATCGATCGAGAGGTGATTTGGAAACTACTTCGCTACTACGGGATGCCACCGACAATTATACATCTCATCCAACAGTTGTACGACAATGCTGCATGCCAAGTAATCCACAACGTGAAACTCACGGAATCCTTCGAAGTGAGGACAGGAGTAAGACAAGGCTGCCTACTATCGCCAATGATTTTCCTGATTGCAGTAGATTGGATAATGCGACAGAAAGTGGGCAATGAGGAAACAGGCATAAATTGGACACACACAAAAAACTTGGAGGATCTGGTCTTCGCCGATGATATATGTCTGATTTCCCACAAACTGGAAGATATGCAAGTGAAAAGCAACAAGTTGGCAGAAGAAGCATCCAAGATAGGACTTCAGGTGAACAGAGGTGATGAAGAATCCTAGGCGACAACAACAGATAACAATCAGCATAAATGGGAGGAACCTGAAAGAAACAACCTCTTTTACTTACCTGGGAAGCATCGTTTCAACTACAGGCGGATGGAACTGACGAGGATATCAAAGCAAGAATCGGGAAAGCAAGACAAGCTTTCATTACTCTCAAGTCTGTGTGGAGGTCAACAACTCTCAGCATCAAAAATAAGATCCGGGTTTTCAACTCCAATGTGAAGTCAGTGCTACTATACGGATCAGAGACTTGGCGCGTCATAAAGAGAATCTCAAACAAACTACAGACCTTCATTAACAGTTGTGTTCGCTCAATACTCAAGATCAGATGCAGCCAGAAAGGATCAGTAAGATGGATCTCTGGGAGCGAACCAACCAGGAACCGATTGTGAAACAAATAGGCAGGAAGAAATGGAGGTAGATTGGCCATACTCTGAGGAAACCATCAAGTGACATCACTAGACAAGCCATTGCTCGAGTGGAATCCGAAAGGGAAGCGGCGAGTTGGTCGTCAGTGCAAGGATGACTTGGAGGAGGTCATGTGAAGAGGAGATGAAAACGTGTGGGCAGACTTGGAGCCAGTTGAGAACTCTAGCAGAGAACCGAACGCAATGGAGACGCACGGCTGAAGCCCTATGTTCCTCTAGAAATTAAAGGAAACAATAATAATAAATAAATAACCCATAAATTGCCGCATCCTACACTGCGTCTTTTTTTAGATAGTTGGCTACAATTTGATTTGCTGAAACAAGATTAGCGTGTTATTGTGTTAGTCAGTTGCATTACACGACGTAAAATGGTCTTTCTTAAAATTCACTTAACTGGATATGGAAAAAGAATTCTAGTTTTTATTTTATTTTAGAATCAACTACAAACACTGGTAATAGAAATGATTCGATGCATTTTTAGAATTCAAGAAAATATTATTTCTCATGAGACGATAAAACACAAACGGCGAGGGATATAAATAATATAGGATTACCGTAGAATAAGTATTGACAATAAAGTGCGAACACATTATTATCTAGCAAGTCATACTGTCTTATTGTTGCCATGTATATATATATATATATATATTATATATGATTATGAGCAATAGTTTATGCTCGAAACGTCATCAGTTAATATTACTGTACAACACTGTGTGATTTATCAAAATAAAATCTCATCCATAATGGAGTTATGCTCTACCACAGTGCCCAAGTTTTATACTTATATCAATATATTATGTATATATACTCTACCAAACTAGTGCAGTTCCTCTGCTAACACACTTTGGTAGTTGCCTTTGAAACATATAGGAATAAACCTTAAATTTAATTTCCTGTTTCCACTAACATCTGATGATGGTGGTGCCGGACAAGTTGCATTTTGTGATTTTTCTCAAACATCTTGGTTATGTGAAACAGTTTTCTTTTACTTCGATGTAAAAAGACACACTTTTTATTCCATCATTTAGGTGCCACCGTATCGGACAAACTCGCGATGTACATATTTACCGTCTGATAAGTGAGAGAACAGTTGAAGAAAATATCCTGCGCAAAGCCAATCAGAAACGATTCCTTAGCGATGTAGCAATTGAAGGCGGCAAGTTCACAACAGCTTTCTTCAAGCAAAATACAATAACGGAATTATTTGCTGAACCATCAGGACTTCAGGTAATAATATGATGATTGCATTTTTCCCCAAGTAGTATTGTCGTTTATGTTATCACTAGTCTGTGACTGTATAAGCAATCGCTCTAAAATATTCCATTGTCATTATGGAATGTGTAGGGGGAGAGGGAAATTAGAATGCTGATACCATTACTTGTCTCACTTTAGACTGATCATGTTAACAAGTCTGTCTAAAGTTAATGAAAGGAAAGTGCAAAGTATTTTGGCGAAGATTTTTTTTTTATTGTATAAATTATTCTCGTAAGCCGTATACGATCATATATACATTACTAGCAAACGCATAACAGTTTGTTATTGATCAATACTGGGTTAATTCATTGTACATTCTTTAAATTTGACGGAGTTATAGTGCTCCTCATACTTTCACTTATTAGAGTGAAACTGTCGAATACTGTCCATCACTCGTACTCAGATCACTTCTTTATCTTTAATTCTCTATAATCGTCTTCATTTTATATATAAACACTCGGGTGTGTAGTTTTCCTGTGTAATTTAGCTTATGACCACTTTATATTCACTGAGTTACTTTTTTCCTATTTATGATGATATAGTAGAAGCAGTTCATGTTGTTGATTTCTAAAGAAGTGAAGTTTTGCGCATTCACCACCGTATCAGTTACTTAATTTACTGTTTTTTTTTAGCAAGTTAGGTTCTTGAATGTTTCATCTTTCTTATTGCTTATGTTCTGATTTGATTTTATGCATTTATATAACCTCAAAAATTTCATTTCAGGACTTGGAAAAAGTAAAAGATTCTGTTACTACAGAAACATCGGCTTCAATGGTTGTCGATTCTGAAGTTTCATCACAATCTGATCCTGGAGTTACAACTACTCGTAGTGGACGACAAGTGCGTCCACCGAGTAGTGTATCCACACTTTCACAAGATGTTAGTATTACCAATGATTCCATAGAACCTGCATTGAATACTGAAGCTCAATTGGAGGCACTACTCGATGCATGTGAAGAAGAAAGTGACCGTATCGCTGCTAGACGTGCTTTAGATGAAGCTAAAGTAAGTAGATATATCTTCTTAGTGTCTTGCTCTGATGGTGGTATTTTTGTAAATTTCTGTATGACAATTTCCGTAGTATACAGAAAACGAACTTTGTTTTCGAGTCACTTAACAGTGTTTTGCTAGACATTACTTTCGTATTAATGGATGTATTTTTACCTATTTTATAGTCAAATCACTCCAACTGTATTATGAATATCTTTTAATTTCCCGTATGTGATAAGGTACTGTTGATTAAAGGAAGTGCGTATTACATACTTGCTTTATCCATAACGTTTTTTAACACTTGAACAGGCGGATTTGGCTGAATTCGATGAAAAGTTACCATGTGCCAACAGTGATGCGGACCCTGAAAATTCTGGTCCTGGTGATAGTTCAAGTATTCCACTGGGAGATGAAATAGACCCCCTCTCTCGTCTACGCATCAATCGCCAACGCCTCGAAGAAGGACAATCAAATAGTAATACAGCAGAAACCATTGAGGAAATTGTTGAGCGTGAGCTAGTCGGGTTTGAATCTCAATTAAAGCCGGTTGAACGATTTGGAGTGCGACAAGTTGAAGAACAGAGAGAACAAATGCTAAATGAAGAGTTGGACATGGCTGATGTAAGACATTTTTGTTTTTCAAAATTTAAATCGTATTCTTATCTGTTTTCTTATATTACTGTATCAGTAGGGTTGTATTGTGCGGTATATTTTACCTTTAGAGGTTACTTCGTTTTGGAAGTGATTTTATTTTGACTTACACATTTTAAATTTTGTATCGATAATGTAAATTGCATTTTAAATCAGTAGATGACTTCCAACCATTCGGTCACAGGTGCAGTTCTAATTCCTAAAACAGGAAGACGCGGCTCATTAGCTGGAGAACATGATTTTTAGCCAATAAATTCTCGGTTCGAACCCCATCCCACCCAATTCCGCATGTATGATTGGGTACTGAGTAGTACATTGTAACGACAGAAGACACGAGTGTATGGCAACAGAGTTATTTATTGGCAACTCGGTACACATATAAGCAAAATACGTCTACCCTATATTGGAATCACAATTTGCAGAAATCTTCGGTATTGTGGTTCTTTGTTTTCCATTGCTCATTTCTTCTCTTCGCCAGTAAACCCATTTCTCCGCTTTCCAATATTCTTGCAGATAATATACAAATTTATATCTGGGTCTGTATACTACTTATAAATCTCGTCAGGAGCATATACCACAAACGTACTTAATCTTTGTTGGCATGTGTCACTTACTATTCACTGGGAAAAGCTATCCTATTGCCTGTGTTTCCCTACTCAAGGCCTACAGGACGTAGTTATTGAGGAATTTAGAGAGGAGAAAAATTTCGCCATAGGTATTTTATTTATACCACTTGTGTCATTTGATCATTAAGACGTTCAAAGTAAAGTAATAGATTATACGAACAAGTCAGTTGATAAGGAGACAGATTGTCATCACTTGAAGTTATTCGAATTTGTGTTATGCGAGCAACGTTTTCTGCATCAAAAATGAGTTTAAAAAATTAAGAAAAGTTTAAGATATGAGGCGAAGATAGATTAATCGAATACCTGAAAGTGGTCAAGTACGTATTTTGATTCCTTATCATTCTCACAGTTTTCAGACTACGAACTTCTTGTCTCAGTGCGTTCTTAGTTTAATTCCCGCTTTTTGCTGTGACATAGTGTTTTAACCTAGGCGAATTGTTACATTGATAAGTCAGCTAGTACTACTTTAAATGCTTGGGAGTAATTAGTAAAAACCCTCAGAAGGTAAGATAAAGTTCCTAGTGTTTAACATATGTTATGGTCACTTTCGGCGGTGAATATTAAGTATTTATTTCTCCTTTTAGGCAGAACGAATGGAATCTGAAAGACTTTGGCGACTAGAAAAGTTAAAGGCTTTACATGAAGCAGATGAAGAACGAGCAGAATTAGAAGAGGATGATATGTTTTACTGCTCTGGGAAATACGATCCTTCAAGTCAACTTGCAGAACTTGAACGTTTAGAAAGAATTCGAATGGAGGAAGCTAGTGAAGTAGATACTTCACTTGGAATTTTAGATTCTGGACAGATATTTGCAAGCGGACGTTCGAAATACTCTGGGAAGCGAACTTACGACTCAAGTAAAGCATTGCACAAAGTCACGAAATCACACACAAATAGTTCAATTAATTCAGAATCAAGGAAATTATCCAAGATCTCTAACATGCATAAGCGACCAAGATTCGAAGAGAAAAAGCAGTCAACAAATGTAAGTATTATCTTCACAAGTGCAGTGTAATTATGGAAATATCTTTTCTTATTTCTCGTATTTTTTTCTCAATGATACATTTTCGTGTCGTATACAGTGTTCCGAAGGCTAACAAACGCCTAAGATACTTAGTCAACCATCATTTTAGTATGAGATAGAAAGTAATACAGAGTATATATATATATATATATATATATATATATATATAGGCCTTAGTCAGTATAATTCAAACAATAACTTTATTTTAACTGCACTTCATTTCAGGTTAAAATGGTGCATGAAAATCAAGATGAATCAGACACAAGTAATCACTTTGTTAAAGGAAACAAGCCTAAGATACATCTGTCACACGATGATATGACCACGAAGAGCAAAACTGGAATGGATGAGTTTGTGGAAAGAATGCACTTTCCCCCTGTGGTCGTCAACAAAAGGCTTCAGAGTTCGGATGTTCTTCAAGATGCCAACCATAATGCTAAATCCGATATGTGGAATAAAGCAAGTGTCTCCTCACATGATGTAGGAAAAGAATATCAGCCGTATCATGCACACCAACCAGCTGGTGAGAGAGAGCAGTACTCTGGGTCAGAGCAGACAATGACAGACGACGTATGGTATCCTTCCCGACAGGCTGTGGGATGTACAATGTCTCATAAGCGAAGAGATAGTTTCAGTGTCGATTTTGGTGTTCCAAATAAAGCCTTTTGTCTCGATACAAGGAATTCCGATATTTCTGACAACCACTGCAATCCAGAAAATGTTGTACATGAAGAAATTGTGGAGACTGACAGTTTTAATGAGTTACTCGTAAGCGAATATATAAGTCCTAATAATATTAGTGTGAATATATATCTTTTATTACATGACCATTATTGTAAAGTTGCTGATTTTTCAAGCAGACTTGACGCTCAAATTACTACAGGAAACTTGTAACATCTATGGTCTAGATATTTATACAGTTGAGCATTACGTTTAGGAATATTCAATCAACTCGCTGCTCAGTAAGGTTTGGTGTTTACGATAAATGTAACAGAAATAAAGTACCCCTTACTACCGTTTCTTATCTTCCCTACTTTATAGAGCGATAAAACGAGGAGACGATACATATGTGAAACAAGAATAGGAAGTAATGTAAGTTAAGATATGTTGCAGAAAAACTTATCCAAAATAATAAGACTTGTTGGCGAATATATTTGCTCCAACCGAAAGGTGGACTTAGCTCCAGTCAACGTAAAGCGTATAAGTAGATAGGTGTGTGTAACATATTTTTACTTCACTATGCAAAGTCTTCTGTCATTATTACTCTATAGGTGCCTTTGCTATGTAAAAGTAACATTTCAATTTTACTAGGTATCATCAGTGATTGTTTCAGAGATCTTGTGAACATAAAAGACAGTTAGTTCGCATTTTTCTCACCTACATTGGTGATTTTTGAGTACAATTAAGCACGCTTCTGAGCAGACTGTTAAAGCTGCTGAAAACTAGCACAAAAAGCGTTGTCTGTAGGTTTTGTCCCATTGATTTGGTTTACATTTAAACCACACACTGTGATATTCTTTTTTTTTGTCTAGATTCCCAAAACATCATGTACAACAGGGGATGGATCAGCTACTACTACTATTACTACTACTACTACTAATCCGTTTGTACATAACAAGTACCAAACCCCACCCGAGATACCTTTTCGTTTGTTAAACCCAACTTCCCCATCTCCTCGACCTCCTCCAGAGCCTATAATCCGTATTCGAACTTTTCCTGAGGGAAATCGTTTAAATTTCACAGCGAAACAATTGTTAGTTCCAACGGGTCAACCTGTATTCGTAATTACACGCCATATGACAATGCCCTCAGGTAAGAGTCCCATATTGTTTCTAAGATATCGAGTTTTCAAGTATTGGTTTTGTAGGGATTTTGTTTGACTGCATGGAGGATTTCATCATGAGCTGACATCAGTTAGAGAACCACTGGAAAACCTGGGAGTACTGGACAGCTGTTTCGTCCTAGTTTGGGACTCTTCAGCAGTACGCACCCACCGGGATTCGAACCCAGGGCCTTCTGGTTGCAAGGTGAGCTCGTAGACCATTGAGCCACTGGGACCCGATCCAATGGTCCTTGAATTCTAACTTCGGCCAATTCACGACATAGCGCGACCATTTCGCAATGTCTTCTTCGATGAGTTACTGCCTCATCTTCAACCTGCTGTATCGAGTTTTGTTGACTTTCATCACATGTCTTGTTTTAAGTCACGAATCCCAATGCATTTAGAAGCGTTTTCTCTTGAACTCATCGTTTCTCACTCAACATATTAATGACAAGATCAGTCAAAATCTTCGAAATTCAGTTTTACTGAATGGGTAGTTACTTTTCTTTCTCTCAAACTACTGATAATATTATTTAACATTTTTGACAAAATACTAATTTTCACACAACACATTTATGTTGAATATGCTATCACTTCATCTAAGTGGAAAGTTTATTCCATGTAATCCTACAGAATATACTTATTCTCCTCTACTTGCCTTTTCATCACCAAAGTAGGATTACCTTACCTAGGAAACTTCAAGGCGTATTAGTCGCCATGTATATACCAAGTTATTAAATAGTTCCTGTTATTATTACAGTATATAAAAACATTGTTTTACCAACATTTAAAAAACAATTTTTATTATTATTGGGTTTCTTGCAGGTGAGGTATATCAACAACAGTTCACTCATCCACTTGTACCACCATCGCAGTTTGAGCGCATGGTATCCCAGTTACACAAGCCTTCTGGTAGTATTCCCCAAACCCCCAAGTTGTATGAAGCATGTCAAATTCGACCTCGATTAACAGTTCAATCCACAATAATATCTCGGTCGTCTTTGTTGAACGACTCAATTCCCGTCCACCCTACAGAAACAGTACAAATTAAAACAGCTACTAAAATCCCAAGCACATTGAATGTATCCCCTAATGTAGGATTGCAAAATACGGTATATGCAAAGCAATTTACTCAGTTTTCTAGATCACCAGCTAATGGTATAAGATGTGGGACAAGCATCCCTGTGATAAGAATGATTAATTGTAGCACTAACAAGACAACTCCTCTTATACGTTTGACTACTCCAGAAAATAATTTTGTAAACAATGATATCGTTCATTCACCCAGCACTCAACCTTCAATACACACTTCACCTAATGCTATTCGGATTGGGGACGCTGTGCGACTGATTCCCAATCACGTCCCCAGTGCCAAAGCTCCGATCGTTAAGTTGCAACGCGTAGCGTCCAATCTGACGTATCCTAAAACTACGATCTCTCACTAAAACAGACCAATAACTAAAGTCTCAATGTACATAGGATTTTGAATATGTATTTAAATTGTACATTATTGTATAGTTATTTTATATTTGTCAGAAATAAACTTTGTTGATTTACCATGCCTTATTGTGTTACACCTGACGTTGTTCAGCATATATATATTCTTTCTAGCCCAAAGAGAATAAAAATAAGGTATTAGGAAGTGTGTATTCTGTGAAAGCAAAATGGTATGAAAAGTGGTCTCAGTCATTTACTTTAGACTTGAGTTCTTCTATAGCTTGTTTCATTGCCCATGTTACCTTGATACGCTTCCTTTTACGCTTTCGTTTAGGTTTCGATAAAATTATGGCGGGTGTCTCACGTGCTTTTCGTTTGCAAGACAGCGGATTGGGTCCTTTAGTTTTTTTTCTGCGTATAGGTTTTACTTCGGAGAAGCCAAACCTGTCTCCTAGTTGTTTGATTATAGTGCTCTGAAAATAAATAATACACGTAACTGACAGTGAGTTGAATTGGAAAATAGCTTACCCGGATCCATATCAGGACTACTATCTTCGAAATTACCAATGTCGTCTTACGCAAAGATGACCTTTTTACCAAAAAACAAACCAATCAGTGAGTAGCCATGAAGATGAATGCACACTGAGGATACGTGTTATAAAAAAACTTAAGGATTGTGGCGATGAACTATTGACTGAATCATTAGCTAGAGTATGGGATCCTGAAATATTTCTAACGGGTTGGTGTAAGTAGTCCATCCCAGTTTATGGAAAAACAAATCATTCTGTGATAATCACAGGGGGGAGTTGGATTGACTAACATAGGTTATATAGTCAAAGACTACGTTAGGTTTAGAATATGTTAATCATATCTCCAGCGGTCGACAGGTTCTGGGACATAGGTATACTTACCGGCGTCCAAAACTTGCCATATTTCTGAAGGCGGCGTTTGACTCCGTCAACCATAATGAAGTTTAGTAATGTTTTGCTGCGAATGGAATCCTAAGAAAGCATAGTGTATGAGTCAGAACGCTGGAACTCATGCAATCGTGTGAAAGCTTATAAAGAGTTGCCAATTGAAGTGACAACAGTCGATAGTGTTCCTAAGACACGTCCTATGTGAACAATTTTATTTAATCTTATTATAGATCTACTGCTGGTGGTGACGTGTGTCGACTTAAATATATCAGAGATTAACCTGTTGCCAGGGTGGAGTCTCGGTAATCTGAAGTACGCAAATGATAGCGACGAACATGTCGAGGCGCTGCCCACCTTGTTGAGCAGAATTAAATCGGAAGAGTTAGCGATGATCAGACGAAAACATGAAGCCAATTTCTGAAGTTTCTGTCTGTTGGTTTGAGCCATACCTGAGAATGTTGGCTGTTTGGCTGGGTCTTCGAAGTCTTCAGAATCAGTCGTTAGACACTTGCCTAGATGGCTCAAAATTTTTTGCAGTAATAGAGATCAATTAACTTCTAATCATCTCTCAGATTTCGAAAATCCTCACTAGTCTTCATCCAACTGCTCTTTCATACACTTCGTCCACTGAATTTTCATTATAATTTATTCCTTTACTTTTCATAAGAATGGCAATTTGGAGTCATGCACTTTTGTGCAAAATCCTACATCGATGATTTGGTTTATTTTACGTTTAACTGTATTGTTTTCATTTATCCGATCCTCATTTTGTCACTTTCTTGATGCGTGAATATTAGTTGTGGCAACTTGGTCTGCTAAAACAGCAGTCTTATATACTGTTTCTGTCCTATTCATTTGAAAACATATTTAGTTTGTCTGTAATCCTCTTTAGAAACAAATTAAATGATATCCTGGTACTTTCTTATGTATGTTTCTCTTGCCCAGCTGGTTCTGTTGATTTTCAACTTTCTGGACTAGGTTTTGACGGATTTAAGTAACGAATATTTGCATACAATACTTAATAACATAGGGGTTCGATGGAGCATGGTAAAATCAAAAACCGTAACATGAAATGATTACTGCATGAAGTCCTTGATGATTTTTTGATTCCCTGCTTTCCCAATGGGAAATAGAGCTTCAGTCTTCTCCAAATTTCGGTAGATGCGTTCTTTCTACACGATGGAGTTGTTAATATCACTTTCAACATTTCCTCTTTTTCAAACTAACTAACGACCAGGCTTAGAGGTGGGTCGGGCAGGGATTGATGGTTAATTACTGCTCGGCAATAATTCAGTCACTTATCACCTTTTTCTGATGTTCAAAGTTTGTTATGACGGAGTGTTACTGAGGTTGTGGGTTCGTTTAAGTGTACTAGAATATGCTCCCTGACACGATACTACAACTAATTGATCACTTGAAGGTATCCTTTACACTGAGATAGACACAAAAGTCAGACTGGGAAAAACGACGACCTAAATGACAACAACTTCTACTAGATAAAATGCATGGTATGTGATATTTACAAAATCTTAGACAATTAAGTCAAATATGAATGGTTGTCTGACCTCATAAAATCACACAATAAATAAACGAATCAAGACTATCCAGTGGGGTATTACGTTAGTATATCCATAAATCATAACTCCGCGGCTAATGAAAAAGCTTGTCTGACCTAACAAAACGTCTAGTAGTTTTAATTACTTATACCGTGTAAATTTAGAATAATACCTCATTATTTGTGACATTACTACTCAAATCCCAGGAAAACTTGTGTTCTCTTACTTACCAACTTCAGTGAAGTATACATCTATCTTAAAAATAAATAAACACGTGTACAAATCTACTTAGCTCAATTTTCTTAGGATGTCACATTTCTTTGCGAACAGAGCATGCTTTGAAATCGAGTGGTTAACCAACGAACTCTAGAACACTCAAGATGCTTTGGATAACAACGGGCAAACCTCATCTGCCCAACATTTATACTACAAGCAATAGATAACATTGATATATAACTGAGCAACCATTCTATTCTTTATATATATATATATATATATATATATATATATATATATATATATATAACTGTCTCAACTCATTAGTAGCATGCGATTTTGCACACTTAGTTTATAAAACATGGTTCCTCAGGCTTCGGCAGCAGGGAATACAGTCAGATTTACAACCTTATAGTTGAAAATTAAGTGTTTAAGCTAATGACTCAAAACAACATATAAATATTAGTAACTAAGTCTTTTCCAGCAGTTATGCTCAGCACAGCTAAGTAAGACAATGAGACTAGTTGTTTGTCTTACTCAGTACTCGTTATCGAAAGGGACCAACAACACTTTATTACGCACACGTCCACCATTCATAAGGGTTTATATTTCGTCACTATGATACAAAAAAGATGAGTGAGATAAGTCATTTTGAACTTCAGTGAATCTGAAAAGCAGTGCATGTGCATCTACTACATTCAAAAGGGCAGAAATACACTACAGAAATGAAAACTATCGCAAATGAAGCTGAATTTTACATAACCACAAGCGATCACTGAAGATCGTAATTCCCAAAGGTTGAAGGATCTTTAGAAACTCCAACAGAGTATAACCGATATCTATTTTCCGGAAAACATTTTCAACAGTGTTGCCATGTAACCAAGAGTCACACTCACTGTTCTTCTTAAAATCTGAGAAACAATCAGACAGACACGCACGGTTACAAGCCTTGTGGAGTATGGAACAATATGATTGTGCAGTTTTTCTTCGTAAAATGTTAAAAACGGAAACATTGTACATGCATTTTGTTTAGAACGATTCGTTGTAAAATTTACATAACTTCGGAGTACAATCTAAAATACAGTGAGCTGCTCGACGCTTCGTCTTGTTACTGTTTACTTGCTTCACTATTAACCATGTTGTATCCTTTGAATTTTGGCCAAACCTCTCATTCGAAGACTATTTTAAAACCGTTGCACAGTTTCTACTATTAGAAACGACTCCAGAAATGAACACTTCTGTGTATCATATTAATAATTTGTAGCAGCGGACTTCAACTTTATCACCAAGTAACCCTTAATTTATATAACTCGTCAACTGTATTTTATATAATATATGGTTACATCATTTAATTAACTTGGACATTTATTCTCAAATTTGTTCCGTTACCATGCTCGCTATAAAGTCCCTTATAGACCAGACTTATTACAACAATTGATATCTTATCAGCAATTGTATTTTGACAACATTACGTCGTAATCTTATTTATTGTTTGGAGCAAAATGTGAGAATTAAAAAAAACCACACCTACATCTCTAAACAAAACTTACCTCTGCACAGGTCAAACCAAGTGCCTTTGTTGCCTTCTCTTTTAAAAGCAACGCAACTTCTTCAGGCATGCTTTCCATATTAATCCGTCTGTGTGCAACGTAGAATATTGGCATTCCAGGAATTGCTCTAGCATGTTGCTGAAGAGATTCATCATTGGTAGCCACGGCAAACAACAAACTACGCTTCTTGGCGTTTGATTCAGACCACTTTTTGGACCCAGCTGTTCGAATTCTCTTTTTTATGCAAGAAAATGCGGAATTATTGGGATTGATTTTGTGTGTACATTTTAGAACTTTATATCCCTTGAGGATACATAGTGCTCCATGGAATAACTGACCCAGACTTTCACACTCTGAAACAACACAAGATGTTGTAACAAGACTAAATTCACATGATAAAGTACATTGAAATTGTTGTTCTATGTGGAGTTGTTGTACTAGAGCCTGACGTGCAAAAGTGCTATCTACTAATATTTCAAGTGGATTAGTCTCAAGACCGAAATGTGCGTCATAAATGTCGATTGTTTTCCTATAATGCTTAACACGCTTAACCTTCATTTAAAAACCTGCCAGGGTTGCTATCAATTTAAACACATGAAACTTCTGGAAGAAGAATAGATCTTTTCTACTGTTTGAAGGAGCTAAAAATATCTGAATCTCCATCTCTGAATCAAAAAAGTAGTAATTTATCCACAACTCTGTTGTATCATTTGAGAATTGATGTGCAAGCTGAAATCAAACCTCAGGTAGTGAATGATTGAATTCTAAATTAGCTAACATAAAGCTCATGAACTCAACTACAGTGATATGAGAGAATCTGGAATTATTTTCATAGCAACGCTTGTGTTGTGGAGGAGAAAACTGATAGTCGTAAGTCTAAGTGACGAAGAATGCTGTTTACACATTATGTGTTGCAAACGTAAGTACTTATGTGGTGAGAGCTGTCTACTAGCCAAATTGGTAGACAGTAATTTACGTCAATATTTACGTTCCCAAGATTTGTCGTGAGAAAATGTGAACAAAGATTGATTCAAAACCGACCACCGCATACTTTGCGTAGGCGGATGCAGTTAACATATAGAGGATTTGACATTCAAGAAACAGTCACAAATAGATGAAAGATTAACTTTACGTGAGAAACAACCAATCGGAAGACTGTGTTTGTTTGCTTAACTATCCATAGTAATGTACATGAAAATATATAAATATGCGTTGATTTTCTTAATAAATGATCTGTTGCCTGACTCTTGCCTTCTGTCGTTACACTTATACTGTGACTTCCATGGTGCTTCTTCTTTTGAGACCAGGGATTGTTGGAAAATACAAACTGATCATCTTAAATCTGGGATGTATTTCAAGTTTGGAAACGCAAAGTGACGATGATTGCTCAACTATCTACGATTCATGCCCGAACGACCGAAAGTTTACCGACGGCTTGTTAGATGGCGGCGATGATTGACCGCGAATCGCCGAATTAGCAGGTTGACTTAGACAGTGATGACAAGCGTTTATAGTTGGATTATGAATGCTGTAGATTAATAGTTTTGGTGAGCTATTCATCGCTACGGCTCAACCTCCCTTGGTATTACTATGAGGACCTTAAAGTGAAAATTTAATGGTAACACCATCAGCACAACTCTTCCTTTGGGCGTGATGGCGATAAGTTGCCCTCTGATCGGTTGCATTTTCTAATGTGTTGTAAGAAGAGGACCTCAAGAGTTTTCGTCCGCTAGTACTCGTGCTTGGTTTACTTTTTATCCAGTGCTTATCACACCTAGAAAAGAGAACACGAACAGTGAAAACTTTCTCAAAAAATTTACCCAAACTTTTGGTGAGGCTAAGACATATATAAACCATGAGAAAATATCGATCGTCGGACACACGTCGATTTTATTGAAGGTTTCAGTTCGGCACATAAAAAGCCACAAAACCTACACCTTACTTATGGCGTGGGATACAGAGAAAAATAATCCAAGGTGTAAAGGCTTGGCCAAAAACATATTAGATTGCACTTTTCAAAGTGAGACATGTTCGTATCATCCCGCAAGATAAGGATAAAGGTACTCTTGGACACTCATAGTCCATTCAGAACGTGATTTTCTTCGTGTCTTGTACGTGGCTTTTGTCATCCTAGAGGTGATGGTTACCCCTTTGAGTACTAATGGGTATTCTGGTTGTCATGTGGAACGACTGGTTCGGGGCTCATTGGATGGCTCTCTAAATAGGCTTGTTTCTATTTTAGTGACTGCTTTTGTATAGAGCGTGGAATCTGTGTCAGCAACAATTAGCTTTTCAGGTTCATTCTGTGGAGGTTTCGGTGGCTAATACTCAAATTCAAGACAAATAAAGAACGTGCAAAGACTTCTTAGGACATGCGTGAACTACAAGGCTAACGTTCTTCCGTCGAAGGGGTGAGGCCTTAGCTTAAGTATTTCGTTTTTGAGCTTGATGAGACACGAGGCATTGTCAACAGATAGTGGGAAGACGGAGGGCAAAGCACACTCGGCAGTCGTACTGTTGTTCCATATGCTAGCTCATCAGTAGTCAACCGGTAAAAGTTTAACCTATCTCATATGCCCAGAGGTATTAAGGGTAGTGGCCTAGTCCAGTGTGGGGTGTTCGTATCTGATAATTCGGTCTTCAACCATCTCTGGAGACTTTCCACCTTGTCGTTTTCTTGAGGGTGTTGGGCTGTCATTTATAACTCATGGAGTCCGGAAGTCCTGTCAAAGACCGATTTCGAAATTTCTCCCTTGATCTGTCATAATAGAAGGTGAGTGCTCGAAATTTGTGACCCAGAATTCCACGTAACCACGTGCGATTGTTTCCGTATATACCTTAATGAGAGGTACTACTTCATTCCCCTGAGTACAGTCATCAACGCAGGTCAACATATAAATATAATTATGAGATTTCAGAAGAAGTTCAACCGGATCCGTGAGATAGTGAGCCTCCGGAGTAACAATGATAACTTGTGTTTCGTATAAACAGGTGAGTTTACATGAAATTCACCCCAATTCATCGGGCACATTCATAGCCGTCTGTCTGCTTAAATCACTGGGTTACAGGAATTTTCATCAGTCAAGTCTTGAAACTCTCCTGCACTTCTTATTTTTTTAATTGTGCAGTTATATCAAATGTCCGATAGATGAACTCGCGCGCATACTTAATTAGTTTCATACTATAGGCTGTGAAATTTTCGATGGAATTGGAGAATATACATAGCTTGTTCTCTTCTCATATGCAGAACAACTACGACAAATGATGTACCTCAGATTATTGCTTTACATGTGAGTTCTGTATGAAAAGAAAATATCTTGGAACGAAATACGCTGAAAAATTCTGAAATAGACGTTCCCACATTGTCTGAAATAAAGCCCTAACATTATTATCACTAAAAAAATTTCATAGGCGAAATACCAATAAATTAGTCATGTTCCAACATTTTAAATGATACAACCAACGATAACAGGCCCATATAAATGTTAATTCGTAAAATCGTCACCAAAATCATCATCCGGTTTGAGGGGCAATCCAGGATTCGTTTCTTTCTCTGTTAATTGTTTTAGTCAACCGACGAACAATCATTATTTAGGTAGGCGCCATAACTTTTCGTGATTGAAAGCTTTCTTAAGGAAAACAGAACGTTATGAGAACTGTTAACTGGAATAAAACACAAGTAAAGGTAATTTGTCAGTATAAATGAATTTACAGAAAATAAACGAGGTAGCTATATCGGCCTTAGAATGATAACGTTCATTTGCAATATATAATGCTGACCAAACCGGTCTAACAATTATAACTGGTAGGAAATGTGATGTTTGTTAATATAAGTCAAGACCGAAATCATTGGTTTGCATGAGGAAAATATTTTAAAAAATACAAAAGCCTAGATAAGTGATTTGTTAAATTTGCTTTGAGCATAACAAGGTATTAGATGTTGCGTTAAATCAGAATTTTAATCTATAATCTATAATCAGGTCTGATATTAAAGGCACAAAGCGCTTCTACCCAGAGCTCATCCCAGATAACGACTTAGTTCGAGCTATTAGAAGGCTGTCTCACTCCAGTCCCTATCTTATAAGTTGCATATATCATCCCCCATGCTCAGCTGTTGAATGTGATATGAAGCTTGCTAACACGTTCGCTTATGCCACCTCACTACCTCAAACGACTAAAACTATATGTTGGGTCTTTAATATGCCTGATGTAGTCTGGCAACCACTTTGCTCACCAAACGGTAAAATGGATTTTCGAACACTAAAGAAACAAAAGACTGGTAACAACATGTAAAGCATCCAACCTCGGTATATAAGATTTTACCACATGGACACCAATCAGTCTGATTTTTCTTAAGCACCATGTGTATCGGCGAAACACACTGACTTTTGAGGGTAGAATAATCCTCAACTGAAACATGTAATCAAATTCGGCTCCCACCATTTTTAGCTTAACAATTACCAAAGGCCACGTTTCCTATTTTTTGGGGGCCCGACGAGGGGCTTTTGTCGTCTCGGCTTAGCCTTCGCTTTTAGTGTGACACTGAGTGCAGCTCCTGCATTACCCAAGAAGTCTTTGACAGGGTTTTGTCCTTAATGTATTATAGGTAACTGTTTGAGCAACCCTCCTCACTGGTCGCTACCAGGAACGGGCTTAATCTTTTCCCTTGCTTATGGGTCCAGGCCAGGCTCATGGCTCTGTGCATTTCGTTGAATGTGCACCGAGCCTTAACCGACACTAGCAGAATTAGTCTGTTGATCTGTATTATCTACGCTTATTCTTTGACCGAGAACGTCTTCTATTGGGTGACCTACCTCGTCTGCCCTGAGTTAGCTGCATTTGTGCCAGTTGTTCCGTGTGTGACCTAATGTTGGCCACTAGTTCTGAGATTATTAGGTCTCTGTTCATACCCGTATGTTTCAGCTACCCTTCTGTTATTCATCTCCTATCCTTCAGCTGGCCAGCAATGCTCGCTCACTCTTCAAGAGAAATGTGATATTGTGCATCTTCTGCCTGTTGCATACGCTCCGTGAAGGTTTGAGGGCAACCTCTCTTCCGTACAGCCTCCCGCACTGTGCTGCTTCCTACAAGCTACTGCTGGTGGTGCACGAACTGTGCCGGGGATTTGTACCCACTGTTAGCCCCTTGAAACAACCGTTGTGCAGGCTGGTTTTCTGACATAGAGAGTCGTTTCACCACCTCGCGCTTAAGTACTGTGTATGGTTGCTTATTTGATGGTTGAATTATAAATTCCCTCACTTTCTTCCCAATCTAATAAGGAAATTGAGAAAACACGACCCTATACCTCGTGGTTTCAGAATGAATGCTATGCCAGTCAAAGTGGTGATTTAGTTGATCGAACCATATTTCTAGGTCATGTCAATCAAATTCAAGTAGCCTAAATTTAATAGTGACTAAAGAACCCACCTCCACAGAAGCATTTTTTTCAAAGTTGGTACCCGTGTTTGGCAGGTGGGGTTCGCTTTAACTAATTCATCGACTTCTAACTTGTGCTTACAGTTCGGCAATACAAAGTAAGAGCAATGAACTAATCATTCAAGTAAAGAATTATATTTAATAATGGATGTTTATGGAAGAATACGTTGGTCAAAATGGGATGATAGCATGTTCCATGTCCGTCAAAACAAAATGATTTCACTGCTCAAAGTTGGATACCGTTGGGGTGAAAACTCAGGGCTTTTTAATTTTTGCAGACTTTTTGCTGGTTATGGTCCAGGAGGATAAGAAGTGCTCATCATGTCTACTTTTCAGCCACATATATGATTCCACGAATTTCTGGTACAGCAGCCTACAGGATTTTCACGAAAAACATCTATATGCTCACTCTTGAGCTGTGTATAACATACGACCATACCATGAAGTGTGCATTATCACTGCCTCCTCATTACTTAGAAGTGATGCCAATCTTATAGTAAGAGTCCAAAGATAGACGACAAAATGGGTAACAGGTTTCCAGAACAAACCGTATTAGAGGCTGAAGAAATGCAGCTTTTACGTCTTTAGCCACTGTCGGATTAGCAGGGACCTATTTACTGTCTGCGAGATCATAAGTGACCAGAATAACGCAAACTAAGGCATTCTTCCATCAAGTTATTACGGGTTTCCTTGTGGCTACCCACGAAGGATAGCGCACAATACAGAAAAGAAGTGAGAGCTCTCCTACTTCTTTTCGCCTGAACTTCGCTGTTCCGAGAACTCTTTGCCAACACTTGTGGATGCTACGCGATCTGTATAAAGCTTTAGGTGGAGACTGGATAATCACGAGGGCACACAAGGTCTGAGTCCAAATGATCTGTCCCCTTAAAACCCACGCACCACAATATTAATTGGCATACAACTAAACTGCTTTCCATTCTGCCTTGTCCCACTCTACTCACTACTCTACATATTCATCCACTTATTCATATTTTAATTGTTAACTTTTATCTCTCTACCTGTATGAGTTTCCTTTTGTCTACGTCATCTAATAATTTTTTCCATCATTGTCATTATTATTACCCTTCTCTTAGATTGCACTGGACAGTAAGAGGGTCAAAGGAACAACTATATCATCCTCAGCAACACTGACTTAACATCGCATACTGCGAACCAAATATAACTAAAACCGCCTTACTTCCCTTGGAGACAACCCAACCTACGGCACTCGAGTGGCGGTACACACTACCGAAGATAAGGAAGATTCTCCCCTTAAAATCAAGAAGCGGGTACAAAGCAGTCAATTTTATTTACACTACTTAGTAGAAACGACATTGGAATATTGGATGTTGGACAGCGCAAATACAGATGTTGGCGTCCCACAGCGGTCTGCACAATGTGGGAGTTACAAGAACATGAAATGGGGAGAGGTAGTTTATTTTACACATTCTCATTACTTTTAGATTCCTACTTATCTTATTTAATCGGTCAACTAGGTGGTATTAATTTTGGGGGTTCAGAGTGTGATTTCATGATATCCACTGATAAAAATGGGGAGGCTACAGCCTTAATATCTGTTAGCAATGAGGTACGTAGATAATTTCTTGTAAATACTTTAGGATGAATGTCGTTTAATTTTGTCACGGAGATCCCCTGGGCAGGCAATCGTCAACGGTGGAACACTGTCTCCAGGTTGTCGGAGTATACGTTCAGGAGATATAATACAATTCGTTAGTGCACCGAGCAAATTCTTTACGTAAAGTGTTAAATTGTTAATTTTAAAAGACTTAAGCACGTGTATGCCAATCTCCTCTTCTCTTCAATGGGCAAGCAGGCGAAGAAAAAGGCAAAGTCAACTGCCGCGCTTATCCATGCTAATGTTTTAAGTGAATGGTCCAAAGAGTGTGATCTTCTCGTTATGTCTTCTTTGATTGTCACGTCTAAGGTTCTCGGAATAAACCTCATTTTTACCTTACAGGTTATATGCGCATTACTTCATTGCATTCCGATTGTCACACCGGAATTCTTAGAAGAAGTAAAACAGATTAGTACACGTAAATTTGCAGCCAAACCGGATCCAGTAAGTCGTAAACTTCATGATCCTACGTTACTAGCAAAGCTTTTTACCTGTTATAAAGGAGGAAAAATTAACACAAAATGATGCATCCAGATTTTTGCCCAATAATTTACGCCGTGATTTATTTCGTGGGAAAACATTTTTTGTTTTCAGTAAAGATAAGGTTAGTTTACCTACTTTACTTTTATACAGTATGACCTAACGGGACGTGAAAACAAATACTTGACACTACGGTATTTTCTGTGGATGTTAAAAACTACTTTTCCAGTTAGTTAACTTAGCGCTCCACAATTCGCGAGTAATTATTGATCATTTTCTAAAGTGTTCTTAACAAGTTTCATGAAATGCTCTTAGAAAGTCTTTTTTCATTCGATCAAAAGCTTTCCATTGTAGAAGAGATGCGTGAATTTATGGCTGTCACAATTATTGGCTCTGTGTTGTCACTGATTACATATCGAGTGATTAAATCAACCTGTTAGACTGTCTATAGATTCACAAGCTACCTATGTATCCATTTGTCAATGCTATATCTTATCGGTCGACATATTTTTCATATTCACAATAACTCTATATTTCGTCAAGTGTCTTATATAATATGTTTAAGTGCTCTAAGTCAGTGTAAATAAATAGGTAACAATTGGTATTTTCTTACCGATTCATGATTTACAAAATATTCGGAAACTATATCACTTCAGATTTATTTACATTATGTCTTCAGTTCTCATTATGCTCTGCACATATTAACATAAAATGTTCCATGGTTACATCAGCTGTAACTATGCAACGTTGAATTTAGGTTTCTAGTCTCAGTTCTTTTCTTTTTGGCGTGGGGTAGTATATTTTCCCATATATTTGGGTTAGGTGTTGAGTCGCTCTTGCGGCAAATATTTCTAGTTGGTTCGGTAAACGAAGCGTGAACTGATGAACTTTACAGCCTGGTCCTTTTTGAAAATTCAGTCATCTCACTACAAGCATGAAGAATAAATGAGTTCTTTTCAAAGCTGAAATAATCAATTGTGAGTATGGGGAATAATAAAATTAGTAGTACTAATGAAGTACTAAACTGCTTTAATTCAGACTTAACCTTTATTTTGATAGAATAGATACACATAGGTTTCGTGGATGCTTTCTTTTTTACATCTACTTAATTGCTGAAACACAGATATGATGATTTCCCACTGGTATTCTGCATCGGTAACTCAGCTAAACTGCCAATCCGCGATTATCCTTGGTTTGGCGTAGGCGGTTAGCAAGTAAGACGGTATCTCTCCCTATGTTTGGGTTACTGTTGTCCAGGAACTGACTACTATCTCAACAAGTTTCCAAGAGAATATTACTGTTACCCAATAAATCGAAGTTTTCCACTATGACTGAATGTGGGAACCTTGTCATTCACGCTGTTGACACGTTTATCTTTGGGTAATTGATTATTTTGTAGCAGTAAACTGGTGATCGTCTAGAGCCACATCGGTATATTAGTACACATTGGTCAGAAGCATTACTGTGAGTATGGTTTTGAGTAGCGTGAAATTAAAGCTTAAAGTGCAAGCTGTAGTCAGACTAGTAAGGCCCATACATATCCAAACTGTTCATCTCAGAGACCCCGTTCACAAGCCGATTTTCTTGGTCGACCTAAGTTTACTGTTATCAACTTCGTATAATTATCTTCTTTCACCTATATTCTTTCTATCGATGGTATATATGCTTTAATTTGTTCATTTCCTTTCCGTGTGATTTTACCAAATGTTTCAGCTTTAGTTGATGCATTCTTATGAGGTATTATACGCTGAATCTTGTCTATTTAGATAAGTTTTATATTTTCGTCTAATAATTTCAAGATCATTTCTACTTAACCTTATTGTAACATTACCCAGTGACTAGTTTCTGAATGTTCATAATACTTTTTAATCATTGTGCATAGTTGAAGTTCACAACACCATCAGATAATTCTGACTTTTTTTAAACAATTTTACCACCAATATGAATTAACCAATAAACTCTTGTTTTCAGTACGATCGTCTTGTGGAGATTATTCGTTTGGGAAACGGCAAGATACATCTACTTGATTCGTGTGATGCTCTACTTACTTTGGCCGCAGAAAGTGATGTGTATGTTTCTGGAGATTTCGCAGTAAATGATATCCTTCGTGATGTTTTGTCGAAGTCTGGATCTTGTGTTATTCATTTACATCCTACCTCACTCACTCAACAATGGCAACGCAAGGTCTATTCAGTGTTACGTAGTTTAAATCAGCGACCCATTCTTGAATCTGAATTGGGTTTCGCTGTGATATATTGCTCCACAGAGTTATATTGTAATCCCCGGAAACATTGTCGTAAGTGGCCCTTCTAAATCCTCATTATTGCGTTTATACTTTGTTTCGAATACTTAGACACTTAGCAGGAATTCTTATTTATAAGCGTTATATGCTGCTACAATATGCTGTAGGGAATCGCTGACACTGTGAATGTGATTGTGTTGAGATTGAAAACTGACTTTCAAATATTCATACAGTCATGTAAGAGCCTAAGGAGAGCTTTTATCTGAAGTGATAGCAAACAGTAGTGTTCGTCTGAGATGCTCCGTGTCACTGTTTTTATTTTATTTCACTATGGACAGACTGATGAGTTCGATACTTGCCGACATCGTTGTATCAGCTCTTATGGATCGATTACTTATGAAATCTCATCACTGATACCAAAGGCTAGTGAAATGTTTTCCAACATGTATCATCGTTGATGCAGGCGGAGTATCTGGTTGTCGATCAATGGCCACGTGTGCCGCGCAGCAGTTCACTCCGTCCTTTTTATAGTTACGAGATATAGTTGTTAAAGGGAATGGCCATCTTTGACCATAGGTGTCTGCATTCGTTGTAAGTGATATAAAGTGGTAAAAGGGATTGGGCACAGAGAGTAATATGGGGAGGAGATTCAGTTGATGAAGCTGCATCGGTTGAAGTGGTTAGGACGTATGTTATGCTTGTCGAGCTCGTTGAGCAATACCAACTGATTTAGGATTCGGTTGGAGAAGAGTAAGGGTTGATGATTAAGGTACTAATCTATGAAGTCCTTGACTGTTGGTTTCAACTGGTTAGAGGGGTGTCAACTGTCTGGCTTGGTTCCTCGTGAACTAATAATCAAAGATTGGTGACTCCGTCCAAGATGGTTTGCAATGATACAAATGTATTCACTCCTTGAAATCTTCCAGAAGACGAAAATCCTTACCAATCTTCATCTCATTTCTCTTTCATGTATACACCTTTGTCTATCGCAGATCCATTATATTTCCTCTTGTTTTCATATGTACCTTTCCGAAAAGTGGCAGCTTTAAGTAGATAATTCAGCTTGTAAAATTTCTAAAGCAGTTTTAATTTTATTCAGGTAATGTAAACAACCAAATAATGATAATAGATAACGTGTTTATGTGAATGTAACAATAAACGTTCTATGGCTGATACTTCAATAAATGTGTAGGTTTTCAATTACTTACCTTAAGAAAGAAATCCAGGGTCATTAAGAGAATTTCTTGATGATTTTGTTGGTTAATTTTACCAAAAATTTGTTCTTGTTTAGATCTCATTTAGTTTCCTATTTTTACTACTTATTTTTCAGCTGATGGACTATATCAGGAAGTCAATGTATCCGAAGCATTTTCGGTAAATCCATTTCAAATTGACTCGGAAGCTTTTACATCACAAACCAATGAATTGTGTAATACGGTGAATGGTTTTGAGGTGTCCAGTTCATTTCAAAAAAAGTGAGTTTGCATTTTAGATGTTAGTTATTGTCTTTTTTTGTACTTGATCACAGTTAATTATATCAAATTCCTCCGATATCTCCACTTTAAACTTTGGATCATTGTTAGTAACAACCATCATAGCAGTATATCTAGCTGTGAAGACCAAATTTCTCATCTTAAAATTTAAGGCGTAAATAAACTGAATACGGAATAGGTGAATTTCATTAAGTAGAAATTGATAGTCTACATGTTCTTCATATTACCTTGATCTCTTATTATCCATGAATAGTGTTCAATCCAGGAATTAGGAAAAAAAACAAGTAGTTTAAGGAAAAGGTTCTTTTCGATAAATACAATTTCTTAATTTGTACAATTGCATTTGTTTACAATTTTTTTTACAAGGGAGGTTTGTTATAAAAGAGATGAGTTGTCATAAATCGCAGTTGTTAAATAAGGATATTATAAGCACATAATAAGATAAATAATTTAGTGTGTGAGTCGTAACGAGGATGCACACAAAAACGAAGGAAAATGTGATATTACACAAGAGTTCGAAAGATATGCAGGACATATAAGGGGTTTAAAAATGAACAAAAATCAAGTTGTTACCATAGTAGTACAAGTGGCAGAATAATTCTCTTTTGGATTTACAGCTCCAGTTTTTCTATTTGAATGGCTAGAGATCCAGCGTAACTCTATCACCCTTACTGCACTGCTCTTATGTATTGATTAATGTGAACAACTACGATTTATGACAACTCATCTCTGTTGCAACAAACATCTTTTGTAAAACAATTGTATACAAATGCGATTGTGAAACTAGAGAAATTACATTCACCGAAAAGGACCTTTTCGTTAAACTACTTGCTTTAGTTTTTTTCATCAGTGTATTACAACACAGTTATGCATAATACCAACACCAATGCTAACACTACTACTATTAATTATAATAATAATAAAGCGCTATTACTGTAAGTTATATCAGCTAAATTCATTTTTTTATGGAATTATAGTCTGCTATAGTGCTTAGATCGTACTCCCGAAATCGGAAGTAACGAAAGTGAAAAAGGTCAATAGAAAAGTAGTCAGTGACACATGTTTTTGAGATGTCTTCATCAATATTTATTACAAAAGATTATGAAGGTTTCCAATAAGGTAAATGTCTATTCAACATGAATAAATTAAAATGATTTAGATCCCAATTAATTGATTTCGGTTGTGACAGCTAATTGATCCTAAAATTGTGACAACACTGTTCGTACACAATTCATCATACAAGATTGTTTGTCACAATAAAGTTTCCTCTTTTTTATTTCGTAATACAGTGCTGTGTCATCTTGGTATTACTTCTTTTGTCGTGTCATATGAAATAGTATCTTCCTTGAAAATATCTTGTAAGATTGTTTCAGTGTGCATAAAATATTGGAACAGTAATTTGAAATCGTTAAATTACTTTATATAGCAATCTTCCTCATGCTCAAAGATGTCGATCACTCACAAGTAGAATATATCCTGATTTCTATAATGTAAGCATTTCTGTCGGAATATTAATTATCGAAAATGTAGACCTTTGGTGAAGTTTTTCACCTTATATTGTGTGAAATTTGCTGATCTTTTCCGTTTCTGCATGAAGTTTCTTACTGTTTGTCGTGCAGTGATTATTTTAACTTGATAGTCATAGGGTTCTATGAATAGCAAAAGAGCCATTAGTTAAATCTCCCCTATATATCGAATTTTATTTTTTGCTTGGTAGTTCTCTTTCACCGTTAATGATAAGTGAAATGATATTAAATTTGGAGTGATTGTCAATTGAGCTATTGAGATTGTTAAGCAGTAATTAGTAATATTTACTTTAACGACCCAATGATTTTGAACTGAAATGTTGAGGGAAAAACGAACAGTTGTATTAGGTAAGTATGTGTTGGCGCGTCATTACTGGATGAAATCGTGGAAATCATGCGATCCAATGACCTGAGAGATCAGATTTGTCCCAGCATAGAAATAAGTGGAGATCATGGTGCAACATTTTCGCTTCACCTACTATTTAAAGAAATAAAAGGTAACTATTCTCTCCACCAACACTAAGCGAATATGCTGCACCATGCTGCTCTGTAACTATCATTTTCTTTTTATATTATACTATATATTATATGTGGCGTGTTCTGTAGTGTTTATGATGTATAAAGATTGTGTCGAAATAAATAAATAAACTTATCGACACTGGTATTAAAGTAACAGGTTGCATCTGAAAGATAAAACATAATCTGGACATGCTCAAATTATCACTTATTGTGCAAACGATTATACCATGTCAGTGCCTCTATTTATCGGGACGGTGGCGCCAACACACTCTTAGTCAAATAAGATATCTCTTGCGCATTAGGCTCATCTGTAAAACAATCAGACTTAAAGATAAAAACTTATGTTAGCGTGTCTTTCATGAATTTAAATAAAGAGCAGTTGAACATCTTCTATGCACACTAATGAATATCGATACTTCACACCGAGAAAGTTTTATCTCACTTGTTAGATTTCGTTATAAATCAGCATCAGATAGAGGGATTATTAAAAACCATGGAGGAGCATTGGGTAACTGTTTCGTCCTATTCAGGAATTCTTCCTAAGTGTGCACCCACGATCCTACCACGGTTATGAGACCAAGCTAGTTGAACTTCCAGTTAATCAGGCCGCAATTCAGTGACCTTTAAGTTCCAACTTTATCAAGTAGTCATATAGCGCTACCCTCACCAATTCGTTCGATGAGCACCCCACTAGTCACGACTTCTCACTACAGCTTCAGGACATTTTTTTATTTTATTTTTAAAAAATTTTTTATTTTGATTACAGCTTGATGCCACACCGTATTTTCAGTACAAGTATGGAATTTTCAGCATGAATATCGGTAGCCCAAATTTACAGGCCGACCATAGATATCGGGTATGCGTCGGCAGGGGATCGAACCCCGGACCATGTGCATGGTTGGTGAGAGTCCTAACCACTGTGCCACCGACGCACACAGGATGTCGCTGCCAGGATCTATATGGTAGCCATCATTGAGCTCAAGATTGGTATTTAGACTGTGGGTTTTGTGACAAAGTGAGAATTTACTAGTCACTGAATTCCTGCCCAATTAGTTGAATGGTCAATGAGCTTGATCTCGTAATCTGAAGGTCTTGGGTTTGGTCCTTGGTAGGGTCGTGGATGCACATTTATGAAGAGTCCCTGAATAGGACGAAATAGTTGTCTGGTGCTCCTCCATGGTTTTCACTATTCTCTCTGACTGATTCTGGTTCGTGACGAAATAGAAAAATTGAAATTAAATTAATCCACATCCCCATGTTGGTGGCACAGCGGTAGAGTGCTCGCCGACCACCCAGGTGGTTTGGGGTTCGATCCTCGGCCGACGCACTCCTTTACCTCGCTAAGCCAGTAGTAAGACTGGTAAAGGGAGAAGGTTGGGCATGCGGCTAGCAACCTCATCCTATAAAAATAATCACCACTGCTACAGAAACTTCAAGCCTGTAGCTCGAAACCCTATGTTCCACTGGGAACGTAAAGGAATAAAAACAAAACATCCCCACAAATCCCATTATTGTCATGAATAAACGTACCAGTTCAAAACTAAGGTGTGTCCATTTTACTGTGTTGTTTTTTACTGTTTTGATTAAATTAAGTTAAACTTGTTTGTTTTTAGCTCGCTTTATGTTGTTTAGTATATGATAGTTTTGTACCGAATGCTTTCTTTAGCTTTTCATTGAAAACGGATAAAAATGAATCGAATACTGGACAGAAATTAAGTTTGTTTCAAACCACGGAGTCAAACGAGAATAAAGGCAAATCCACTGTCTCTAAAATAGTTCCTTTAGTAACTGTAAGTTTATTGTTTTTTTAAAATGACTGACTGCTTTCAACGTAGAACTTTGCACAGATGTGCAACAGTTCGAGTTGCCACACAGCATGTAGCACACAAAGCAGGAGAGGAGAGTAAAGACCGATTCAAAAGAGAGAAACAGAAATAGGGGAAAAGAATAGGAGGAACAATAGAATTTTATTGGATATTATATATTGCAAAGAGTAAATGTATCTGCGCCATTGAGAACGATTTTGAGCCATATCACCAATTGTCTCCAGCCATTGGTTTTTACCGTCCCGAGGACCCCAACCAGGAAGTCCACACCTTCCTACGTGGCTTAAACTAACTGTTGTGGATTTCATTGACTGGTGCCATGTTTTGGTTTGACCGCCGCTAGCTCTTTTCCAACCTGATTCTATGTCAGCTAACATTGACCATTAAGGAAAGCAATCGATGACTAGGCATGTATAACACATGTCCTAACCATCTCAATCGGTGCAACTTCACAACCTCGTCGATTGATTTCCCCTCCTTACCTAGCACTCAACCAATGCCTAACCTCAATATTGCTCACCCTATTACACCTACCACCTAAGATGGGAGATAGAACGCAGACACCTAAGGTCAAAGAGTTTATTGTGTAATCTAATGAGTCAAATATTCACATACCTGATAACTTGATTTGTTAGAAACTTATGTGATATGTAGTTATTTTTCAAAAGTTCAAAAGTTTGTTTTAATAAACTCAAGTAATTTGAGGTGAATGTTTACTGATTGTTGTCCGAATGCATCTTGTCTAAATATGACTTTCTACTGCAATAAATTTAGTGTCTACTTAGACCAATAGTCAGTCATCATCTATGAACGTAGACGCTTAAATTAATCAACTCATTGTGTATATATGCGTATTATACTATTTATTTCACTGTTCATATGGTTTATCTCGTTTCAAGAATTCTTTGATGTATCATTATTAAGGTGGATACATCAGTATAACAGAGTATGTGAACTTGAAATTGAGTTTTATTTTCAAAACACGAAACTCATAGGCCATTGAATTGGGTACCAGTGGCTTAATGGTCTACGAGCTTGCTCGCCTTGTAACCAGAAGGCCCTGGGTTCGAAACCCGGCGGGTGCATACTGTTGAAGAGTCCCAAACTAGGACGAAACAGCTGTCCAGTACTCCCAATAGTTCTGTAACCGGTGTCAGCTCATGATGAAATCCTCCAACCAATCAAACAAAATCCCTGCAAAAACCAATACTTGAAAAGATAAGTGGGATCATATTTGATTGATAATGACTAGCAGTGGAATCCAATGGCCAGCCCATGAATTCTAACTTCTGCCAATTCATGACATAGCGCGGCCACTTTGCAGTGTCTTCTTTGATGAGTTACTGCCTTACCTTCAACCTGCTGTACCCTACTGGTCACGGCTTCCCACAAGAACCCCAGGTAACTGCCTGACAATGATAAGTTGGTTCTATATGATAATTTTCATCATCCTCTTCAAAAGTCATTCTGTGTATTGTTTTGATTTAAAGTTGACATATGATAAAGCTGCAGTGAGCTATTGGTGATATCAAAATACTTTCTATTGTCTGTAATAAAATTGAATTTATGTATTAAGTATTTTAAACAATTTGAACTTCATAATACACTTCAAATGTGGTGAAAATGTTAATATATCATCCACATACTTCCTGTTCTTAAAATGCTACTCTCTGTCGCATTTTATGCTTAAATGGATTATTTGTTGATATCCCTTGTGTAATTTCGCTTCCTTTTGTTCTTAACAGCCTGAACGCAAAACTCCTGGGGGTTTGTTAGTGCAAGATTCAGAACCAGCATTTAGTCCAAAATTTGCTAATCGATCTCCATTTCCACCAGTGGGTTCCGAAAATCAAGAACCTCACAAACCAGAAACGGTTTCTAAGAAGACTGCAGTCATTTCAATTACTGGTAATTTATTCATCTTCCCTATTGGTTTTTCCATTGGCACACATATTATCTTCGTTTTTCTGAGGACGTTACTGGACATACTACTTGCGAGGAATGAAATCGTCATTTCTATTGAGTAGTATAGACGTTTATGTGGTTCGTTTATTGCTTCATTAACAGCCATTGATTTAACTTATTATTCATTGATATAAGAATAGAACTTGTGCACTGTGGTAGAGTATAATTCCTTTATGGGTAAAATTTATTTCGATAAAGTCTTACAGTGTTATACGGCAATATTTACTGTAATAACACTGTAAGACTTTATCGAAATAAACTTATTATTGTTTGCTGTGCAGCAAGTGAGAAAGAGCACTATATTTCGTTGTTATTTTTAGTATCCGGCTCTTATCCGAATATCGATGAATATAAAAGTTTATTGTAAATAGGTCATTATATTCATAAATTTGCATACCTCATCTTCCGTAGTTCTGTCCAGATTAATTAACTCGATAATATCCATTTACTTAATATGGTTTGTGTGACTGTTTTCACTTTATATCAACTTCATGTTTTGCTATATACATATAATTCCTATTATTCCGTTTCCCAGAATCTGCACTCGTTCATCAACCTTCAGAACACAGTGATTATGTCTTAAAATTATTTGATAGTATACCTCCACTTGAATTACCAAAGAAGAAGAAGACTGTACTATCAGAGTCAACAAATAAAAGTCAGAGTAGTGTAGTACAATCTGGTGTTAATTGTGGCCGTGAGTTAGATTCTGTTCAATGTGAGTTATCTGCATCGCGTAAAGATTCAGTTTTGGCTGTTGTCACTGAAACAGATTCAAGTGATTCAGCAAATTGTGAACCTAATGATGCTCCTTTGAAACAGTCGGACAGTGACAAAATGGTGTCAGACAAACTTGGGCGTTTGTTAGTGCAGGATTCAGAACCAGCATTTAGTCAAGAATTTGTTAATCAACCTCCATTTCCATCTCTGGGTGTTGAAAATCAAGAACCTTATAAATCAGAAACAGTTTCAAAGAAGACTGCTGTCATTTCAAATACTGGTAATTTATTCTTTAAAAATTCTTCCCAATGTTTAATTCAATTTTAGAGAATTTAGAATTGAATTAAACAATTTATATGACCCGTTGCACAAGAGGTGGCTCTAGTGGCCCAAGTGGTGGAGTGGATAGTGCTTTGGCGTTTGAAACTATGGGCACTGGGTTCGAACCTCAGTGGGAACATCATCACTCACTGTGGAATGCAGGTACATCCAGATGACGAGTACCAAATAGGACGAAATGCGCATACTGGATTCCACTGCTAGTCACCATCCACCAATTTATCTCCCCAATGTTTTTAATTTCTCGCGTTTCTTCTTTATTGGCTTCTCTATTGACACTCAAATTATCTTCGTTTTCCTGAAACCGTTACAAGATATACTACTTGTTCTCATTTATAGGTAGCACACATCAGTCCTTCTGATTAGTGTAGACCTTTATGTGGTTCGTTTATTTCGTTTTACTGCTGGACACTGCTTTGCTGATTACTATTAGTTGTGGCAATGATCACTATAATTCATTCATATTATTAGTATTTTGACCTAGTGAATCTCAGCGTAGAACTTTACACAAAAGTGCAGTTCAAGTTACCGCACTCCATGTAGCACACAAAGGTAGAATAAGGAAGTATCCAAAAAATGTGTAATAAGTAGAGATGTACAGAAGAAAGAATAGTAACATGGGGAAATACGTGAACTTATTGTGCCAGGCAGACTTCAGAAAGTGAATGCATCTGCATCATTCACAATGATTTTCAAGCGTCACCAGTCTCTAGGTTTTAGGTCTTAGCATCCTGAGGACCCCAACCAAGCAGTCTAAACCTCCCTACATAATTGGAACCTGTTGTCAAAGACTTCATGCATTGATGCCTCATTTTAGTTTGATCACCTATAACTCTTTTTCAACTTAATCCTATGTCAGCTGACATTGTCTGTCGCGGAAAGCGATTGCTTGACGCTCGCTACTCTTACCCTAGCCATCTCAATCGATGTAGCTTTGCAAACCTATTGATCGACTTACTCTCCTTACCCAACACCACGCCCAACCTCGATAGTGCTCACCCTACTATACCACTTAACACGGGAAATAGAATATAAAAGTTTATCGTGAATGTTATAACGGAGTGATACTGGGTTCGTTTAAGTTAACTAGAATGCACCTCCAAACACAACACTATAATCAACTCATCACTTGAAAATATCCCTCACACTGAGATAAACACAAAATACAGACCAAAAACAACTGTGACTATTAAATAAAGTACATGGTACATCATACTTGCAAAACCTCAAGAATTTAAGTCGTAAATAAATAAAGCTGATTGGTTGTATGACTTTGCAATCCATCATAAATAAATGAATCAAAAACTGTCCAATCAGGTTATCGTATTAGTGAATGCATAAATCATGACATCATGGCTAACAAAGAAGCCCATCCGTCCTAATAGTTAATTATGTTGATAAGTGGCATATTTTATCTTTTATAGGCTTGTTAAGTTAAATTAACTCATGCATTCTCATTTACTTAATGTTGTGTGATGGCTTTCACTTTACATCAACTCTATTTTTCGCTGTATATATACACACATATAATTTCTATTATTTCGTTTCCCAGAATCTTCATTCGTTCATCAACCTTCAGAACACAGTGATTATGTCTTAAAATTATTTGATAGTATACCTCCACTTGAATTACCAAAAAGAAGAAGACTGTACTATCAGAGTCAACAAATAAAAGTCAAAGTAGTGCAGTACAGTCTTCCTCCCCTTTTTCTAGTGTTAATTGTAGCTGTGAGTTAGATTCTGTTCAATGCGAGTTACCTGCATCGCGTAAAGATTCAGTTTTGGCTGTTGTCACTGAAACAGATTCAAGTGATGCAGTAAATTGTGAACCTAATGATGCTCCTTTGAAACAGTCGAACAGTGATGAAGGGGCGCCAGATGGATGGCTTCGGAAACGTGTGGGTGTTGAAACTGATTCCGTAAGTTCTCTATTTTAGATACGAGTACTTATACAATGTAGAGTATTGTAATCAGATGGTTAGTTTGCAGGCTTAATGACGTTGAATTTCGAATGGATTTTAATTTTTCATTCATGATTTCAAACGTGATAATGAAACCAAAATCCTTGAGATCTATGAACTTGATTTTTCGTGCTCAGAAATATCTACCTGTATGGTTAAATAAAAGTGTAGTGGAGACCAACAGCACTTCGATATTAGACCACTTGGTCCAAACACGCCATAAAGTTAGCATTGAACAGTCTTTTCCTATTATCTCTCGGGTACCGAATATTCTAACCAAAAGAAACTATTGCAGTTCTCTTAGGACAATGGTGTCTGAACTGCAAAATGAATACGTCCAGTCACTATTGCTATCTCGGCCTCCTGTGGAATCTATAAATTCATAAGCACTGTATTACGTCGCATCTTTTAGGTGTGCATTTCTATCTCTTCACTTACTTACACATAATCTTCTAAACCATTTCCTCTCCCTGTTTTGATATTATCATTCATCTATATGAAGTTTATAATCAATATGAGTAGAATTCAATATGAACATTAGTCACAACCGTTAACTACTATATATTTGTTGTTATTCATGATCATTTAGTTAAGAAAACTAGTGTTCAGTTTAGTGCTATTTGCATGCATATTATCACATGCATTTGTTTTGAACTGTCATCTTTTTGCATATGACTTTTGGAATTTTGATGTCAGTGATTCAATGTTATTTTACAAAAAAAACCCTAACGTTGTCAATAGCAATAATTCTTTAATCATGTGGATATATAACTGTAAAGCTTGATGAAGTTATCGAGAAGAATATTCTTTGTTCAGTAATCAGTCTTTTGCAATATCTATTATTCCTCTTGTCATGACGTAACGTGAGTGTGTCGTTACGTTCGCGACGGCTTTGCTGGTTAAATATAAACTGCTAGTACACACCGTAGGTCTTAATACACAGATGCTTGGTCAGCGGAGCATTCTGTTTTCTCAATATTTTGTTGTAAAGGTGGGTGAAAAAAATACATTTTGCACACCACGAAGGAAAAATAACTTGGAGGTCGGTTTGTAGACTAGTTTACGAATGAATCTTACCTATTGTCTTAAGCGCTGACCACATTCTGTCCATTTATCAATGTCTAAAGTGAAGCGACGGTTTTTTCAGTTTAGCCATTTCACCTCCAGCTAGTGAGCCACAGATTTGAACGCTGCTAAACATGTCTAGGCTTGGGCCACACCAGGTAACACTGTCAGAATTCATAGAATAGATATGGCTCATCGCTAAGTGCATATAAATGAAAGCAGTTCTCAGGTAAAGCAAATTAGACTCATAACTTTCTAATTTTGGTTTTCATGCTTATCTGCTATTGTCTGTCAGTGACACACTTTTTTATGTTAATATTACTAAACTAGTTGACGGAGTTCTTGCTAGAATATTTATGGAGTCGATATTTCACTAAAAAAATTCACGGGATGGATACTCTCATTTCATTAGTTTCTTCCTTATTAAGCATGATAATTTTTTTAGCAAAGTTATTTTCCAACAACTTGTAGTATTTGAAACCGTAGCATCCTGATTGACGAATAACAGTACATAAATCCTTTTCTATGACTTAATTGGTGTCGTGAGAACCATTCTTGTTTGGAAACAGTTTTAAAGAAACTTCGAAATGATATACCATTTAACAAAGAGACAAACTTTTAGATTTTTGTACTATTGACAATTTGAATATGGCAATTTATACAGTGTCCTATGAAATCATAGGGTTGTCTCAAAGATAGAGCATGTTAATTGTTACTGAATTTTGGAGTAGTGGATCTTAGCGTTTAGTTTGATTCATGATAGCTAATAAAAATCCAAGTTTAGGTCCCCTAGTTATATATTAAGAGTAATCATGTACTCCAACGTTTATAACTGTGTACACAACAATATTTTCCAAATAATCCTCAACAGCCACTTACGTTCCCATTCAGCCGGCTATGAGGTACACCTATGTCATGAGGGCTAATGACTGGAGAAACCTCGGTAGGTGGGGGGGGGGGGGTCGGAGCCCGTGACCGACTGGTTGGAAATCGGGCACCTGAACCAATGAACTACAGCTCCATTTTGTCAAAAGTGATATAAATGAAATTGCATATTAACTACAGTCTTAGGGCTATTCCATCCTTCCAGAAGTTTTATTCACTAAGATATATTTTAAAATTACGAGTGAAGTTAGCTGTTTTTTTTTTACCTGCATACAGGTGGATAACAACCAATGTGCAAAAGTCGCTCCTATGACCATCACAACTAAGGTTCCAAAGTTCATTGCGAGTACCCAACAGAACAATAAGAGAAATTTCAAACAATTTGTTAAAGTAAGTATATCATTCTCCGTTCAGTGTACTGAATTTATTATACAGCATTTTTAAATTGAAATTTTTGACTTAGTAAAATCTCGAATTAGAAATTCTCGCAAAAGCCTGGCAATTGAAGTTGCCACGCTTCCTAAAAGCATACATGAAGACAGAAAAGAAAATTCAATGGAACTTAAATGAACAGGAGCGAAAATAAGTAAGTGGGAAATAGGGAGGATTTGGCAGATCTAGGAGTTCATTTTGAGAGAATTCATTCGCGTCAGTGAGAACGACAGTCTTCAACCATTGCTCTTTAAGACCCCAGCCAGATGGACTGATCCCCCTCACCAAGCTGAAACCAATAGTCAAAGACTTCATGGGTTGCAGCATGTTTGTATTTGACCAGCCATAATGTTTCTCCAACCTAGTCCTATGTCAGTTAACATAACTCGACTAGGAAAGTGATGGCTTGGCATGTGCAATGTGTGTCATAACTATCTCAGTCTATGCAGCTGTGGAGCGTTCTACTGACAAGATTTACCATTAGTATATAGACGCAGATTGATAGGAAGCAGCCAAAATTGAAAAAAACAACATTTTAAGTCAATGACTGCAGGGGTAGAAGTATTTATTCCCCAAATCCGGTTCTAGTTCATGTTGTGATCAGGAAATAACCTCACCCTACAACTTTTCGTCTCAAGGTTTAACCTTAGGCAAGTTGACGACCAATCAGAACAGTCTATTGTCCGCTGACCTAGCCGACCTTTAATGTGGTTCAGAATGTATAAATAAGGTGTGTTTGTCCTTAATAAAAAAGTTCGTTACCAAGTTTCTTGTTTTCTCTCGTTACACAGCTTCATCGACTGACCTTCTTACCTTACTTAACACTACGTCTAACTTCAGTATTACTCATATTATACCACTTAACGTGGGAAACAGAACGCATAACATCTGTGGTTGGAGACAGTTAGCCTTTTCATATCTTCCACTATTATCGGCCATGTCGCGCAGAAAACCGGAGCCCCAACTCCTTTGATCGATAGTTGGATATCACGTCTATACCAAAGATGACTTAAGTTAGCAAGTGTCGAACGACCTTTTTGCATCCGCGTTGGGAATTCGTCAGCAGTCAGTTTATTAGGGTTGGTGCAACTTTCTAAATGAGTGAATTGTTCAACACACTCGACCACCTTACTTCCTATCCTAAAACTAGGATTCGTTGCAGGCCAGTCCTGTAACACTGTCTTACATATGACAGTGGTGAATCGCGTGCCAAACATTCGAAGATTTCTGCCCAATGTGTTCAGAAAACCGCATTTTTTCAACGTCTCCACCTAGAAGGACAATATCATATCTATGTTCTAAACCGATGAGACTGTACCCTGGCAATAAGGTTGCTTTAGTAAATTAGGGTCACATCCATTAGTACACCCGTAATGAAATTAAACAAAAATGGAGACAGTGAGCATCCCTGAAGGAAACCACTGGCTGTCCTTACGTCAGATGAAAACTCATGTTTCAGAAAGTGATAAAAATATTTACTCATTGAATTGCTGAGTTTTATGAAGTGTACGGAAAACACTGCATGCCTGTTAATGAATTCCTAGATTTGACACTATTTTGCGGCCATAATTGACATTCGGATGGTGATTCCCTATTCAACAAGAATACATCTTACACAATTCTATTAAAGACTTATATATGGTATTGGTCTTAACAATCGTGTAATTACTACTTACGGTTGCGTTGGCCTTAGTTGATTATTTGTTATGCAAAGATCGCAAGTCCGTGTTTTCAGTCGCCGTTCTTTTCAGTTTGACTATCAAATAAGTTACTAAATCATATATGGAGAAGATTACGGTAGTCATTTCATCCTGGAGTTAGTGTTCATGTATCACACAGTGAACTAGTATTATTTACTGGATGACGTTTCGAACAAAACATTGACTAGCCATTTAATCGATTTAAAATGTCCATCTCTTTTTCTGTTAGTTATTGTCGTACGTTGTGAATTAGAAGTTATTTTCACTTCCAGGTTTGGCCAACCCATCTTCGTCGTAATACACAGATGAGGTCTAGTATTCATCCTTGTGTGTCAAGACCTATTCCTCTAGCTCCTTTTCACCAAACACTTGAGAAGAAACGTGAAGAATGTAAAACTATTGTCCAGTCAAAAATCTCATCAGAAGATGAGAGACGAGAACGAATAAACAAGCTGTTTGAGTGAGTACATATAGGCCAACTTAGTTGTACTAATGCAGTTATTTTGAAATTAGCCTCTCTTAAACTTTTATGATATCCTAAAATAAGTAAATATATATCGCACTATGAATACATCCTCAATTCAACAAATCAATCTGAAAATATTCCTTCATCGAGTCAAATCCCACTTTCAAACTAGGGATTATTGTATAAAAAAGAGTAATTGTAGCAGAATTATTCAGTCATTCCTCTTCTCAGTATTAGATAACTTCGCCATCAATACCTGTCTATTAGAGCTTAGAAACAAAGTAATGTCATTAGCATTAATACTTTCAGTTGTTCAGTATGCACATATAACAACTTAGTAAGACTTTTAACTATAGGGATGATGGAGAAGATTAATAGTTCAAGTGGATGATAATGATGTTGTTGTGTTCTCTGGGCTGGTTGGTTTAATTTCAAAGCTTTCATCACCTTTCTAGACAACATCTTCAGAACAGACTTCAATATGAAATGACCTTCTAGATTTCTCCATGAGTTTAATTAACCGTCTCCTCTGGTGATTTTGAAGGTGGTTGTTTGTCTCTGTAGATTTTTTCACCTTCTTGTCCCATTGTATTGGTATTGGTTATTTTGTTGACCTTATGTCGACGTGACTTCTTGTTTGATATATCTGATCTATATCGATGTGTCTGTGAGTTGCATATTTGTTTAAGCACCAGGCTTTTAAGAGTTCCTTGGCATTTTTTGCCTAAGGAAGCAGAAAAAAAGTTGTCTTCACACGTATAGAAAACATCTCTCAAAATGACTTCAAGAATATTGAGAGATTTTAGAATAGGTGTCGTCTACAAATCATTTCAGTTTATAATGTTTTTTCTTATCTATTTCTGCAGCCAAAAGACAACGCGAAAGAAAAAAACGACTAATAACATCTACAAGACAAATTGCAACAACTTTGAAAATCATTATATTGGTCAATCTGGATATCCTCTTTGTCTTTGCCTCTACGAACATAACCTGGCCATTTTAAGAGATGATACCCATTCCTTCATATTATTAATGTATCCAGACGACTACGAACAACAGTTAGACTGGAAATTTGTACAAATCTTATTCAAAGGGAACGCCGAAAATGCCAGGGAATTCCTAAAAGCCTGCTTAAACAAATATGCAACTCACAGACACATCGATATAGATCAGATATATCAAACAAGAAGTCACGTCGACATAAGGTCAACAAAATAACCAATACCAATACAATGGGACAAGAAGGTGAGAAAATCTACAGAGACAAACAACCACCTTCAAAATCACCAGAGGAGACGGTTAATTAAACTCATCGAGAAATCTGAAAGGTCATTTCATATTGAAGTCTGTTCTGAAGATGTTGTCTAGAAAGGTGATGAAAGCTTCACAATTAAACCATCCAACTCAGAGAACACAACAACATCATTATCATTCAATTGAACTATTCAGGAAATACAAGTATACCAATAACTCACCCACCAGGGTTCGAACCCTGGGCCTTCTGGTTACAAGGCGAGCTCGTAGACTTTTAAGCCACTGGGACCCAGAAGGTCCTGGGTTTGAACCCCGGTGGGTGCGAACTGTTGAAGAGCCCCAAACTAGGACGGAACAGCCGTCCAGCACTCCCAGGTTTCCCAATGGTTTTCTAACCGATGTCAGTTCATGATGAAATTCTTAATCAACCAATCAAATCCCCACAAACCAATACGTGAATATACCAACAACTCTTGACTATTTTACGCATATAGTTTAGATTCAATGTTTAACGGCTCTTTTTAAACCTTGTGTTTTCGTTTTTTAATGCTATGATTACTTATACTAAAGTGGTAATTTTTCATGCATTAACAGTCACTTATCTAGACCAGTCGGAGAAAATTGTTTGATTTACTTTCAACTGTTAGACGTCGCAGTGATTTTAGTCAGTTATCGGGCGTCATCACCTTTAAATTCTTCCGGTTATTACCTACCACGATATACTATCTTCCCATAGTCAGTCTTCACAACGTATGAGCATATTTTTAACTGTAAAAACAACTAACCCCAATATTCCGAATGAAAAATATCATTTACTAATCAAACAACAGACGCAGACTTAATGTTACTGTAATGAAAAAGTGGTGTCCCTCAAGAACTTGGTGTCTTAACAAATTCGGCTTCTGCCTGATAATACCAGTTCGCAAAGATTTTGTAAATAGTTTTTGTGTCAGCTGTGCATTTATTTCTGCGTAGGGAACACTATAATCATACAAGATGTGCAGTGTCTTCAAAGAAACAGTAATTAACTAATAACCTTTATAAGTCGGTGTATTTTTTCAGTGTAACCATAACTTTCTAAGTGGATTGGTTCTTTTTAGATAAATTTTTCTGAATGTTCAGTAGCAGTGTAGAGTAACTCAATTTCTGTAACTGCAAATTAGCTGTTACACCACTAACCACACATGTACTACTTTTTTGTTTCAGAGAATGCTGCGAACCTCCACCTCTGCGGAAGTTCCGAACAACCATCGAGGTCTGAGTCTTTGTAATTTTTGGTACAGAAATATAAACGTTATTGCTTCTAGAATGGTTTTTATTACTTAATCGTTGAATGCCATGTGTCTAAATAGTTGCGCTCAAATTATTATCATTGGTAGGCTTCTGTGGCTGACGGATTCCACTAGGAAAATACGTAAAGGAAATTCAATCAGTTATTCTATATAATAGTGAATTGTTTTTGAATAATAAGCTGTCGTAGCAGTTGCTGTTCTGCATACTCGCATTCCATTCATTAATATATGTCATTTGATCGTAAGCATTGTGATTGTTGACTTAGAATATGCAAATGATATAGTCCTTCTAGGTGAAGACGCTGAAAAAATGTAGTCTTCTGAACACCTTGAGCTGCAATCTGCGTATGTTTGGCATGCAGTTCGCTCCCGCAAAATGTAAGATGATGCTACAGGACTGGACTTCATTGACTCCTAGCTCAGAAATAGGGAGAGAACTGGTAGAGCACGTTGACCACTTCACTTATTTGGGAAGTTGCATCAGCCAGCCCTAACGGATTGATCACTGACGAATTCTCAGCACTGATACAGAAGGCTCGTTTCGCATATGCCAGTTTATGCCGTCTTTGGCGTAGACGTGATATTCGGCTATCGACCAAAGGGTGTGTGCGCTGCTTGGCAGTCCACTCCATCATCCTTTATGGCTGTGAGACCTTGCCATTGAGAGTGGGAGACATGAAAAGGCTAGATGTCTTTGATTATAGGTGCCTGCGTTCTATCTCCCGTGTGAAGTGGTATAATAGGGTGAGCAATACTGAGGTTAGGCTTCGGTTAAGTGCTAGGTAAGGCGGGTAAATCAATAGACGAGACTGTGAAATTACATCGACTGAGATGGTTAGGACATGTGCTACGTATGCCTAGTCATCGCCTTTCTCGACGGGCAACGTTAGCTGATATAGGGTCAGGTTGGAAAAGAGCAAGCCGGTGGTGGTCATCATGGCTTCATCAGTCAATGAAATCCATAACAATTAGTTTAAGCCACGTAGGAAGGTGTAAACTTCCTGGTTGGGGTTCTCAGGACGGTGAAAACCAATGGCTGGAGACAAATGGTGATATGGCTCAAAATTGTTCTCAGTGGCACAGATGCATCCACTCCTCGTGACTTATAATACCCAATAAAACTACATTGTTCTTCGATATTACTATTCTTTTTGCCTAATATCTCTGTTTCCTGTCTCTATTTTGCATTTCTTTTTACTTTCTTTCCTTGCTTTGTGCGCTACATGGAATGTGACGACTTGAACTGCTGCACATCTGTGCAAAGTTCTATGTTGAAACCACTCAATCAGTCAGTGATTGAGGATTGGAATAACGGAACCTTTTCAAATGTTCTTCGTACTGAAGGACGTTAAGTGCTTCACAATTAAGCTGTACATCCCGAAGAACATAACAACACCACAAACAGCCATCTGAGTCAAAAATCTCCGTTGTTTTTAGATCTTACTAACTGTTTAAGAGTCAGTGAAAACTGAAAATATTACTGGAAAACCATCCCATCAGAACTACGAAATCTTCAACTTAAATTTCAAAAGCTGTGACGACAACAAGTAAACGATAATACAAATATCATCTATTTAAAGGTCTTTAGTGTTATTTTAAAACTGCTTTAACTCTTAGCTACAAATATGTACACTGAAGGTTAACAAATTTTAGTATTTAATATAACAAAAAAGACGTATTAATGTTGCAGTGTGAGCTTACGTAAAAAATATACAGTATGGTTTAAATTACAAGTTTCCAAAAGCACGTATCTATTTTCCACTTTTGTCGAGAGACCGGTAAGAAATTCCTTTGCTTCGTAGATAGTGCACTATATCACTGGGAAGTGTTCCATATACACTGATTGCGTATACTCCAGGTGTCAGTTTATCAATCATTTGCCACCTAGCAACCCAACTATCGTTTGGCGACATCATTGCAAGTAAGCCATCGAAGTTGGCAGAAGAGCATTCATAGACTTTTTCTCGATCACCTTGCATCTTAAGAAAGTCTTCACAATTCTCGCATCCATTTAACTGGAACTGATTAAGAGTCTTCACTAAACCGCACAACAAGCACGCCCTCAATTGACGCAGTTCTGATGGGATAACAGAGTTGACAGCCATTAGACAGGAAATAGTTCACCAACTTCTTATGAGTTCATCTGCCAAGAAAACAAGGGATACTTTTAGTGAATGTTAGGTCAAGTATGTCATAACAATAATTTTAATTTACTGGAAAAAGTGTATTCGATTATTGTACATTCACATAACCAGGTGAACTATGACACATTTGGAAAAGCTTTAGATCATACTACAACATAGAGTCAAAATACTTTAAGATTATCATCGCAGTGAATCCCACTGCTATGAAACTTTCTATGAATTCACTAAAGTTATATCCTCAAAATTGATTAATCATTGACAAAGAGAGATTGTGAACTACACTCAGTTTTCCATCATCTACATTTAAATAATAGATGAGGCTTAGAGCTTATTACGAATCTTTAGAAATAAGTAGTGTTAGGCAATGAATGATGCCTACCTTGTAAACCGAAAAAACTACGTGAATTTGGAAACATTCGTTTCGGGAGCGTGGTTAAAATTACTGCTGATTGCCCACGAAAGTATGGCAAAGCGAGAAAGTTTGATTATTTTGGAATGAAGCCATTATCGTACCCATCTTTAAAAGAGGGCCTACGTATTACGTTTGACAATTATAAGGATATAAGTTCGCTGTCAGTCGCGTCTAAAATATTCGCTGCTGTCTTGATTCGCAGACTGTGCGTAACACGTGGGAAACTAATTCGCGAGGAGCAGGTTGAATTTCGTTTAGGCTGTGGATGCACTGACCAACATGGTTATCCTTCGTAAGTTTTCAGGACACCATCACACATTGCAGGCCAACAATCGCTGTGGTTTTTGATACCAAGGCTAGTTTCGATTCGTTAGACAGAACTGCTCTTTGGAACTGTCTGTTAGGGAAAGGTGTTGCTGAGACGTTCCTTAACATCCTGAAAGCCGTAAACAGAAATACCATAGGTAGAATGAGGACATACAACTAACTGTCACCACTGTTGTCAACCGACAAAGGGACTACAGAGGGTTACCCAATTTCTCCATTTTCTCTTTAAATTAGCAATTGATGGCGTTCTGAGGAACGTGAGTGATGATAGTATAGATTTTCTTTCTGGAGACTTCGACTCTGAGTATGCAGACGATATCATCTTACTGTGCGATAAGATGCAGATTGCCCAAATTTCAATCAGTTGGCGATTAGTGCCTATAATTAGGGTATGTGCTTCTTATCACCTAAATGAAAAGTATTGTTGAAAGATTGGGACGAACCTATACTTGCACTCAACTTTGCTTCAAGTTGTTGACAAGTTCGTGTACCTCGGTAGTTGTGATTGCTGGCGGTGCGACGGATAAAGTCTCAAATCGTATAGTGGAGGCTAGGGTGGCACGCGCCAATTCGGTCCACCTCTGGTGGCGTCGCGAAATCAACCTGACTGTCAAAGGTCGGGTTTACAATACTTGAAACACCAGTTTCAATGGCTCAGGCATGTGCTAAGAATTTCATCCCAGAGGCTCCCATACCGCTCGCTGTTTGCTAGCCCAGGAAAAAAGCAAGGATGGTCAGCGTATGACATAGTGCTGCAAGAGAAAGGATATCTACGTTCGCTTAGCAACCTTTGGTACATCACGATTTCTAGGGTGGTTTCAGAGAGATAATTAAAACCGGCGGCTCGAGACGCTATTATGGCCAAGAACCCTAATCATTGGCGAACATGCTGCAATTTTCTTCTTTCTCTTTCCGCAAGTAACATGATGAATGTTGAATTATGTTGACAAGTATGCTTGCTTGCTATCTGGATAGCTTCCCTCACTTATTTTATCCATGATTTTCTTACACATATCTCCTGGTGCCCATAATGTGCTAAGTTCGCGTTTCTAATGATAATAAATATCTTGGATGAATTATTTAGTGTTTTCCGGTACAACGCACCATCGGTGAGTTAACAGTCTGATTAAGATTCAACTATATGCAAGTGCATAAGTCCGAAGCAATCACCCATGAACATCAAGCTGATTGCTTTGTAATTCTACTAATTCTTTATCTTATATCATTTCAATAATTACACAAAATGTTCTGGATTGATAATTAATCATCCAGCGCGATGGTCAAGCCTGTATATCTTACTAAACTTATCAAGTCGAGTATCACGTCAAAAACAGTTGGTATTATATAGTGTAAGTTTGGGAGTCTGAAGATGAAGTCATACTAATGATGGACGAAGCCCAAGCAACTGTATCAGCTTAATTGGTAGAAATTACAATGGATCACTTACAAATGGACGTTACAAAATACCCCATGGTTGTAACGTTCTTAGGACAGAAGAGTGTAAATACATCGTGTAACCTGTCTCTCGGACACTATTGTTGAGCGATTGATACGCAATGATACTGAAGGCCTGTTTGCACTTATATCCACCTGGCAGTGGACCACACCTATTGTGCTAAGGTTAATGACATCACCCAGCTTCTTAAGCATTAGTAAGAACAGTGGAGTCCAAACACATGACCTACTAGATGAAAGTCAAGCACGAACACCAATAAACTGCAGATCCATCGACACGCAAATACGTTGTGACTACCGAATGACAACTCAAACCAACGAATCAATTTCCAGTTTTTTAGAACTATGTTGTCAATTTCACGTTAACACGGATGCTGAAAATGATAAGTTCCATTAGTGAAAACTCTGTATTTCCAAGACATACAGTGGCCCAAAAATGTTATTCACACTACCTTACCTGAAAAAAATGTATCGGTTGACCTCCCAGCAAGAGAAGCCAATAAAGCAAATACGTGCAGTTTAAAAGAGGCGTGTAAGTGAAAATGAATTTTTACCCACAAACTAGTAGCAACATATAAATTCACCAGACCTCTATCTACTGCTATAACTCCTTTCCGCTTATTTTCTCTCTCTCAATATATATATATATATATACAGTTCACACTCGTTCTGAAGATTACTACAGATAATAGAGAAGAGGGAAAACTAGCAAATAAAATAACAGCAATACATAGAGAAAGAACCAACTAACTAAATGTTTGAGATGTCTCCAATTGTCCGTAAGAACAATTTTTCGTAGCGGGAACAAAGGAAAGCCCGCCTATATCCAATAACACGTATTTTTACAATGAGCTTTGTAATGAGATAATTTCGCTCCATGAGCTTGAATATGCAGTTTCTTCAAGTAAAATTAGGGATATAGATGAGATAAATGAAGGATATGACAACAACATTGATGCGCGAACTTTGAAAAGGAAGTTGATTATGCACGCTCTTGTTTAATTTCGGTTTTTGTTGTGTTGTGCATCCCGAAAGTCTGTAGATTAACTTTAAATCAGTTTATTCTGATCGGGGTTAGTTTAATTTCAGTTTTGAGTTTATTTAACTATAGGAAGAGTGTTCTAGTAAAGTTGTAGTTATTTATATCCATTCTTGTATTGTCATTGGTTTATTTATCTCTGATTTATATAGAGGCCATATTATAAGGTCACATTCGAATCTAGTCCTTATTCACTCTTAAAAGTAAACTTATCAAAAAGAACCACTGCAGAAGAGTTATGGGTTAATTCCCAGTTGAAGAAGTAATGCAGTGTGATATCTGCATGAGATGGTTTTACGACAGGTGCACAAACCTAACACCTGCAGCATATAATCGCTGCTACAAACCTCTAGCGAAATGGCTGTGCAATGAATGCCGTAGTGCGACTGAGTTTCATATTACGAAGGCCATCGCCACACTAAGCAGGGCTCAAAAGCTCCTGGACTTCAAAGGTTCTCTACCACAGAAGACCGACTACCATTCAGACACCGATGACGTGGCTGGAGTCATCAACAAGATGGGGCACGTCTCTTCAGTACAGAAGAGCACTCACCATACTGCGGACATCCGTGCTGCTCCTAAGATACCGGGTAGGCCCTCCAGTGACAGTAATGGAAAGGCTTGCACGAGGAAGAGACGTTTCAGGGGTCGAAAACCCGCTGCTAAAGTGGCCCAGGAATTGCAGACCAAGCCTTATCCACACCGGTACATAGAAATCAGACAGAAATGACGACAGATAGCTAGGAAGATGCGAGCCAGTGGCGTAATTTAATTTCCTGCAAAAGGCGATATAAGGACTCCAGAAGAAGGGTGGAAAGACACTTGCATTGCAGAGCAAGAAAGCCATAGCAAGCAAGCCTGATCTCTCCGACAGGTCGCCCATTCTCCACAAGGTGGAAGAAGCACTGTTTTCGGATCCCACGGTTGGGTTAGCACATGACCCTATCCTAGTCAACCCCTCTTAGATTAGCTACTGCCAACAAGAGTATCAGGTGCAACAATGCACTGCTAGTATAGAATCGGCCAAAAGCCTGACTTTACAGTAAATCAGCCGGTACGTATTCTCAAGGTAGTACTAAACTCTTAAGTATAGAGGGATGCTATACTAGGCAACTCTTAAAGGATCAGGCATATATTTATTTTTTTTAAATTTTCGGTTACAGCTTGATGCCACATCGTATTTTCAGTACAAGTGTGGAATTTTCAGCATGGATATCGGTAGCCCGAATTTTACAGGCCAACCATAGATATCGGGTGTGCGTCGGCAGGGGATCGAACCTCGGACCATGTGCATGGTCGGCGAGAGTCCTAACCACTGTGCCACCGACGCACAGTGCTGACTTGTACCTAACAGACCGCATCAGAAGGCAATCTGTGGCCCTAGAATTAAGCAAATGGCGCTGAAATGGCAGGAAATTCCTTAAGACTAAGGGTTTTTGGGCATTCAGATTTCGAAGTTTGATGATTCCGAAATCTCTATCGGTAGGCCGCGGAAGCATCAAACTGAGTAAATGGTTTGCTACACAAATGCCTACAGCCTGTTGAACTAACAGACTGAGCTGAGTAAAATGATAGACTCCGAAGACTAGGACACAACTATCATTACGGAGATATGGCTCACATCCGATATCACTGATAACAAAGCTAGCCTTTCAAACTCCATGGTGTAAAAGGCGGACAGTCTAAGCTACAGAGGAGGTGGCGTAGTCATCTTCCTCAAGACATGTCTAACCGTGCGTAGCACTGAAGCTCTCACACACGCAAGT